AGTGATGTTCCGTCCCAGGTTTTCGGCCCCTGCCTGTGTAGGTGTTTGAAAGATTCGTTGTGGTTCCGCATCCTCCCCCATCCGTTCCTCTTCATCCTCTCCCCCTCTTTCCCTGAGACAGAAGCCGTCCAAAAGATTGTACCTTTCGCTCTCTCCTCTCTCTATCCAAGCCCTGTTGAGTCAGACCTTCGGCTTCTGTGTTTCCCCCCCCGTGGGCTACGTTCTCCCGACCCTTCCCCGTGGACCGGTCGACCAGTCCCTATGGATGACGCTCTCCTGGTCGCCCTGGGGCCCGAGAGCTGCAGATGGCGGCCCTTCCCCCCCTTCGAGACGTTGGAGTCCTGGGCCTCGCCCCAACGGCGTCGACCTCGTGGCCTCTCCGTGGGGAGGTGCACGGCAAGCCTCGCGACGCGTGCGCGCCGCAGAGCCCGCGGCGTGCCGCGGGGCCCCGCGGGCCTGCGCTCCGCCCCGCGTGGCGGCTGGGCCCCGCGCGGGGCGGAGCGCAGGCCAGGCCTTGCTCCCAGCATCGTGTCGCCGATCCCGATCCCCAGCCCGATCCCCATCCTCGGCCCCACCACTGGAGGGAAGGGAAACCGGCACAGACAGAAGTTTTTGGCGCTCCGCGCGGGTTTCTGGGATCCGCGCTGGGGCCCCCCGGCGGCGCCTCCGGCGCCGCCCCTGCGCGCCAGGGAGGGGGGCCCAGCGCAGATCCAAGAAATTCTAGCGGAGCGCCAGAAGTTTATATCTGTTTGTGCCGTTTTTTCATCGTGTAAGCCTCCTTGTCCCCACCATCCTCATCCCCATCCGCGTGCTAGTCCCCCCCCCATCCCCATCCCCAGCATCCCAGTCCCCGCCCCCATCCCCATCCTGGTCCCTGCCCCATCCCCACCGCACCCGTCCCGGCCACCCCTGTCCCCATCCCCGCCTCCTGAAGCCCGCAGGGAGCAGAGTGCACCCCCATCTAGGGGGGCCAGGGGGGGCCAATCGGCCAGTGGGACCGAGGCCGTGCCCCTGGGGAGAAGGATCGGTCAAGCGGTGCTCATGCTCCCTCGGGGGGAGATGCAGAGCAGCCGGGGCGCGCGCGTCGTCTTTCGGGCTGTGCGTCCTGCTCGCTCGCCTGCTGGTGCGATGGCCACGCGCTACCCCTCGGCAGCAGCGCGCGCTGACGGGGTCGCCAGTGCGGCGTGGCACTGATGCTGTTTTGCTCTCCGGTCCCTGCTCCGTCACCCCTCCCATCCCCTATCATCCTCGTCCCCGTCGCTGCAGCAGATCAGAGGAGGAAAAGGTAGCCATACGCCGCTACCCGTATCCCCCATTTTCGCCTTCTTGGGCCTCCTTTGGGCGGCCCTCGTCGCCACCGTTGGGGTTCGCCCCGAAATTCTGGTCACAGCGCACCCCGGGTGAGCTCCGGGGAGCAACGGTATCGGTATCTTTCAGTTTCCCCAGCAGACACACGATAGAACACATGACACCAGAGAGAAACCCCAATCATAATCTTTTTTGGGGCTATGGGGCTAAAGGGCTATAGGGCTATGGGGCTATGGGGCTACAGGGCTAGAGGGCTAGAGGGCTATAGTGCTATTGGGCTGTTGGGCTATAGGGCTTGGGCTATTGGGCTATAGAGCTAAAGGGCTATTGGGCTATTGTATATAGGGCTATAGGGCTGCTGGGCTAGAGGGCTAGAGGGCTAGAGGGCCATAGGGCTATAGGGCTTAGGGCTAGAAGGCTGTAGGGTTATTGGGCTGTTGGGCTATAGGGCTATAGGGCTATATAGCTACAAGCTGTAGGGCTATAGGGCAAAAGGGCTAGAGCTGTTGGGCTATAGGGCTATGGGGCACCCGGGCACCCAGGCGGGCCGCCAAGTTCGGCGACGCAGCTAACCTAACCATATGAGTCCGCCCGGACCCCTACAGAGGCAAGCTCTGATTGGGGAGCCTTGCTGTCCAGTGGCGCTGCCGCGCGATTCCGCCACCGCGCTCGGGCGGGCGCCCAGGGGGGGGGGGTGGGGGGGGCGGGTGCCAGGGGGGGAGGGTCCACTGAGCGTCCCTCTCCCAACCTCTCTGCACGAACGAGATGGGCACGGAAAGAATGGGTACAATGCCCAACAACAGTTCCTGTTCATTCTGAAAAGGACTCGCTGTCCGCGCCGCCGCGGCCTGTGTCCATTTGAGACAGAAGGCCGCCTGCCCAACAGCGGCCGCTGTTGGTTTGGGACAACATTTGTTGTTGGGCATTGTGCCCGTTCTTCCCGTGCCTATTTCGGGAGTCCCAAACCGCTCAGGAGGGGAAGAAACACACAGACACAATTAATCGTCGACTCCCCAGAAAATATGGAAAAATATGGGCAGTGGTGGGGAAGACAAAAACCCAGAAAATATGGGAAAATATGGGGAATCTTTTTATTCGTGTGTATTTATTTGTGTGTCCTTGGGCCTCTTGAACCTCGTAGTTGGCCACGTCTTCTGCCCGGGACCTGGTCACACCAACGAGCGCACCTTGAAGGGCTTGATGCGCCGGGGGCCCCGAATACTGCCTCGCAGGGAGCGAGGGGGCCCGGCGCACGCCCGACGCCGCTGCAAGCGCGGTGGCCGGCAGTAGTCCTCGCGGCGCAATCTCCGTCGAACTTTGAGGGTCCTCCGGCGTCCCGGAGCTTCTTGCTGTAGGTCCTCGGGGAATGAGAGAGTCGAACTTCATGAGGTCCGCGCGGCCTTCTCGAGGCGGCGGAGGCGCCGCCAGGGGCGCCAGCTGTCATCCGAGACATCCGAGGCTGTCCTTTCCGGCATGCTCCCGAAGAGGTCGATCTTCGACGCTCGTGCTGTATATGTCTGACGTACTGCCAGAATTTTGTACGTTGACGCCCTTTTTGGTTCCCCTTTTCTCGCCGGCTTCGCGCCTCTACGCTTGTGCGCCGCTCGTGTGGCGCCGCCTATTCGCGCGCAAGCTTCCTGCGTGAGGCCGCGCGTACGCGTTCTCTTCTCCACGCGGTGTGCCGCGCTGGCGGCCCGCGCAAGCCACCGCGGAGGGCGGCTATTAATGGCATCGTGCCTGAGACCCCTCCGCCCCCCGCCGCCGCCCGAAACGCCTCCTGGCGCGTCGCCGTCGTCGTCGCCGTCGTCGTCCCTCGCCGTCGTCGTCGTCGCCGCCGTCGCCGTCGTCGCCGCCGTCGCCGTCGTCGTCGCCGTCGTCGACGTCCTTCGCCTCCGTCGCCGTCGTCGTCGCTGCCGCCGTCGTCGTTGTCGTCGCCGTCGTCGTCGCCGTCGTCGCCGTCGCCGCCGTCGGCGTCGTCGTCGTCGCTTTCGCCGTCCGTGTCGTCGTCGCCGCCGCCGACGTCCCTCGCCTCCTGCCGTCCGCCGGCCATCGCGCCCGGCGCCCAGCACCACGGCGGCGGCCGCTTCGCCGGCGGCGGCAACCCCTACGTGCTGCCCTGGGAGGACGGCCGGCGCCGGCGGCACCGCTCGCGGCCAGGCTCGGAGGCTGGGGAGGAGGCATGTTGCCAAACGGAGAGAGGAGGCATGTTGCCAAATGGAGAGAAGGCCAGTTGTGGACGAGGGCCAATGGAGAGGAAGCATGCTGCCAGATGATCACCGCCCGCCGAACCACCCCAACCCTGCCCGAGGGCCTCGGTTTGCCGTCCATTTCCAGTTTGGGGGGGGCCGGGGGGAACATTGAAAAACACACACGAAGCCCGTGCCTCCCCCAACCCGAAATTCGGTTCTTCGGGTTGGGTTGGGATGGCCTGGTAGGTAGTCAAATGATTTCCAGATGTCTAAGACATGTTTTAAACATGTCTTGGAATGTAGCAAAAACATGCTTCAAGCACTGGTAGAATTTTTTCCGACATGTTAGACACATTTTAAATGCAGCGATAGGAGTGTTAGGGTGTCTATTGGCATGGCATCCACAAGGCTTAGGTTGGGCATGCCCCTCCACAGGAGGAGTATTCAAACATAGTCGAGACATAGTTGGTCTGCTGGGGTCGATGTTTGTGATCGCGGCTCCGAGTCGCCTGGGAGCCAAAGTCGATCGAGGGAGGAAGCACGACGACCATGGCCACGAGATCACGGGACCTTGGCGACCCCGATCTTGGTCATGGTCTATGCCGGCCGTGGCCGACTAGCGAGGATGATGAGAGAATTGACGGTGACCGAGATGGACGGTTTCGGATGCAATTCTTAGGTCAAAATTTGATTTTGCCCTGGTCCAAAATCCGGCTTTATCCAGCTTGATCCCGTTTGATCCGGCTTGATCCCGCTTGATCAGGCTTAATCCCGCTCAATCCCACTTAATCCGGCTTGATCCGGCTTGATCCGCTTGATCTGGCTTGATCTGCCTTGATCCCGTTCAATCCGAGGCCTGATCCAGCGTAGCAGCCCCCCCTAATGGGGCTCAATTCTCTCTATGTCACTCTTACGACGAAGACCCCCCCGCAGTTGCCTCCTCAGGCGGTGGCCGAGGTCGACTTCGACGCTTCCGCGTGCCACTGAGCGCGTTCCACTGCTCGCAGAGTGCCTCCCCGCAGACCTCAGGAAAAAAACACATGTCTGCCTCGATGTCACGCCTCGTAAGCCTCCCGCGGCTGATCCGGGCCACTTCTGCGAGCAGTGTTAAGTCGGGCCTGTCCCTCTACAGGAGGAGTATTCAGAAATAGTCAAAAAATAGTCAGGGGAGGATTTTTTGACCATTTTTGAATATTTTAGGGTATTTTTTGACCATTTTTATCGGGCCGGACGAAAGGGGGGGATTGGGAAAGGAGGGGTTACGAAATTTGCTGCATGCAGCTGGTTTCGGCCCCACCGAGGGCCCCATTCCTCGATACACAGTCGCCTCCGACGCCGGCAGGCGCCGGGAAAATCAGCTACGTGAGCTGATTCTCAACCCCCCCCTTTGTTATCCCCCCCTTTCGCCCGACCCGATTTTAATGTTTCGTCCAAAATTCCCATTGTAGGGGGACGGGCCCGACTAAGGAGCAGTGGCGCGCGCCTGTCCATGGCGTGCCCCTCCGGTCGCCCCGCGCGAGCGCGCGGGGGCGGTTCCGAGACACCCGCGCGCTTTTTTCCGCGGCCCTGGGCCGCGCGAGGAGGCGCGGCCCTTCTTCTCCTCCTCCTCCTCCTCCTCCTCCTCCTCCTTCTCCTCCTCCTCCTCCTCCTCCTCGTCCTCCTCCTCCTCGTCCTCCTCCTCGTCCTCCTCCTCGTCCTCCTCCTCCCCCTCCTCCTCCTCCTCCTCCTCCTCCTCCTCCTCCTCCTCGTCCTCCTCGTCCTCCTCCTCCTCCTCCTCCTCCGCTGCTGTCGCGCGTGGCCTCGCGCCCATGGGCCGCTTTCCAGGGACAGCCGAGATGTCACAACGAAACACACCCTCTGAACTTCGCCAGGACCGAGAATATGAGTATGTCAAATTCACCTACACCAGCCAGCAGGGTAAAATCCTCCTCCTCTCCATCTCCTCCTTCTTCTCCTCCTCCTCCTCCTCCTCCTCCTCATTCCTCTCCACCGAGCGCCAAGTGCGGCGGAGGCGATCGATCGACCCATGGCGCGATCGGGCGTGCCGTGTGCGTCTCCCGCGGAGCGGTGCGGTTCGGCGGCGAGCGGGGGGGGGAGGCGAGCAGGAGGAGGCCTTCCCAGAAGGCTCACCACGCACCACCACCCCAACCCAACCCGAAGGCCTCGAGTTGCCCTCCACTTCTATCGAAGTCAAAGGAGCCACGAGCGGCAAACGTATCCAGATCCATGCTCTCGCGGTCTGGACTTTGGGGCGCGATCCCGCAGATACGCGGTCGCACGGAGGTACAATCCACGCGGGGCATTTGAGAAAGAACGTTCCGTATCCGCTGTGTCGCGGCCCGTGGGCCCGGCTTGCGAGGCCGCGGATATGGCTGTGTTCCTCGCCAAAGAAGAAGGGGTTGTCTTCGTTGGTTCTTCGAGGATTTCTCGGAGGCGTCCATTGTCACGCGTCTGGCGCGTTTGCTTTCCGCCAGATGACGCATTTTGGCGTCGTGAGCACGCTCGCCACATTGTCTTGCCCACGCGCGTTTGGCGTATGGCTGCTTCGTTCCTTCGTTGTCCCCTCTCCTCCCTGCTCCGAGTCCAGGGGAGTGGTGACGACTGAAGGGGGATCGGGGTGGGTGTATCGCCGTCGGTCAGGCGATTGCAAACATGGATCAATTGGGCATGGATTCGCGACGGGTCCCGCTTCCATGGGAAATCGCGGATCTCCGCCGTCCAACGAGGCGACACTGGCCGCATTTTGGGGAGGGCCCCGTCCCCGATCCATGGATTTGGCGACCGCGCGCCAAATCCATGGATCGTTACTCCATGTTTGCGCACCCCCGAGTTGTCTCAACTCGCCTCGGCTCCGAGTCCCAACGGAGTGATGAGGACTGAGGGTGGGGTCGGGGCGGGCGTATCGCCGTCGGAAGGGGAGGAGGGAAGTTTCCGCTGGTTCTCGGCCGCTCTCTCATCTCGGGACACCTCTCAGCAGCTGCGCCTTGTCGAGAGCTTTCCCCAGGGTGCCCGAAAAGTCCCGAACGGTGTCGGAGGCCCAAGTCATGGCTCGAAAGCCATGCGGCGCCGAAGAGGTGTTCCAGAGGAGGGTGAGGTTCGGAAGCAAATCATGGGAGCCTTGCGTACCCTCGTAATTTTTGTCTTTAGCGTCGACTAGCGTCGATTTGCGTCTGGGAGTCGATGCGGTAGCGCCGATACAGCGTCGGTGAGCGTCGACGAACGTCGATTTCGCGTTGATGAGCGTCGATTAGTGCCGATTTAGCGTCGACCAGTGTCGATTCGCAAGAGCCGACACGATGTCATGGGAGGCTCCAATGCGTTGCCTGCGCAGGGCGAGGACTGCGTACCCCGCCTCTTCACGTCGTGGGCAACAAATCACGACGGGTGGCTTTTCGCGGTGGTCGGCCCCAAGGGGCCGTCGCGGGCTTCCCCCGCGGACCCTCCCCGGGACCAGAATCTTCATCCCGAGCAGTCTTTTTGGCGGTCGCGGGGCCCGCCGGGGGCTCCCAGCGGCCCACAGCGGCCAGGATCTTAAGCCTCCTAGACCGGGTCGGAGCAGATGGGGCCGGAGGATCGCGCCGCATCGCCGATGCATCGCCGATGCATCGCCGATGCATCGCCGATGCGGCTCGATGCGGGGCCCGATTTGCTTCACGCCGGCGTCGCCGAGGCGTCGCCGACGTCGACGATGCATCGCCTGTGCATCGCGGATGCATCGCCGATGCATCGCTGATGCGGCGTGATCGTCCGACCCCACCTACTCGGAACCCTTCCAGGAGGCCTCTACAGGAGCGGCCCGCCGTGTTCTCTCTCCTTTTCTCACGGCGCGAGGGGGTAACGGGTTGGTCGGTGGTCAAAGGGGATCTCCCCCTCTCCAAGACCCCCCCCCCGCAGGACAGGGGCGGGCACAGCAGCGGGCTCGACGAGAGCAGCCTGCCCCCGGACTACTCGTCCGCGTCGCTGCAGGGCGGCGACGGGGACGACAAGGGCGCGCGCGCGCGCCGGCCTCCGCCCGGCGTGCTGCCTCCACCTCCGGGATGTGCGTGCATTTCCACGGCTCCGGAGTCGTGCCCTGGGATCTCGAGGAGTGGTGCGCGTGGACATCGCCCGCCCGCATGGGCGGGCATGTTTTCCTTTACACGTATGCACACACGTAAGACATCATCCATGCATACATACAGACAGACATACGAAAGAGCGCGTTCTGTGGGCGCTTGCTCTTCTCGTCCCCAGAGGAAAAGGGGTTCGACCCCCCCCCCCTCCTGTGGTGGTGTGGTGGTTGGTGGTGGTGTTGGTGGTGCTGGTGGTGGTGGTTGTGGTGGCGTGGTGGTTTGTGGTGGTTGTGGAGGTGGTGTGGTTGTTTGTGGTGGTGGTGGTACTTGTCGTGGTGGTGGGTTGTGGTGGTGGTGGTGGTGTTGACAGTTGTTGCCTGGTGGCTTGTCGTGGTGGTTGTTTCGGTGTTGGTGGTGGTGGTAGTGGTGGTGGTGGTGGTAGTGGTGGTGGTGACGATGGCGGTGGTGGTGGTTGTGGTGGTGGTGGCGGTGTGGTGGTTTGTCGTGGTGATTTGTGGTTGTGGTGGTGGTAGTGTTGTGGTGGTTGTGGTGGTGGTTTGTGGTGGTGGTGGTGGCGGTGGTTGTGTGGTGGTTTGTGGTGGTGGTGGTAGTGGTGGTGTGGTGGTTGTGGTGGTGGTGGTGGGTTGTGGTGGTGGTGTTGGTGGTGGTTTGTGGTAATGGTGGTGGTGGTGTGTTGGATCGTGGTGGTGGTTGTGGTGGTGGCTGTGGTGGTGGTGGTGGTGGTGTTGTGGTTTGTTGTGGTGGTCGTGGTGGTGGCTGTGATGGTGGTGGTGGTGGTTGTTTGGTGGTTTGTGGTTGCGGTATTGGTGGGTTGTGGTGGTGGTGGTGGAGGTAGTGGTTGTGGCGGTGGTGTTTGAAGTGGTGGTGGTGGGCTGTGATGGTGGTGGTGGTGATGCTGGTGGTGGTGCTGGTGGTAGTGGTGGTGGTGGGCAGTGGTGGTGGTGGTGGTGGTGGGTTGGTGGTTTGTGGTTGTGGTGGTAGTGGTGGGCTGTGGTTTTGGTCTGTGGTGATGGTGGTGGCGGTTGTGTTTAGCTGTTGTGGGTTGTGGTGGTGGTGGTGGCGGTCGTGGTGGTGGTGGTGTGGTGGTTCGTGGAGGTGGTCGTGGTGGTGCTGTGGCCTTCGGGTCTTCCCGCCACCGTGCCTTGGCTTTGGGTCAGAGTTCTAATGGATGCCTCTTGGGGTCTCGTCAGAGGGGTCTCGGGGGCGTCTGAGGAGCATCTGTGAAGCCTCCTGGGCACCTCTTGGGCGTCTCTTGCACCTTTCTGAGGGCCTCCCGGTGGCTTTTGGGGGGCGAGGGCTCGACATGGCGATTTGTGTTTCCGATCTGCGACCTCTTGGCCTTCTCTGGTCATCGTCCCTGCATCCTTTCCGTCGGCGCTGCCGGCCGCCGCCAGCGCCCGCGCCAGCGCCGGCGCCGGGGGGGGGCGTTCGAACCCCGCCCCCCTGGGGAGGGGGTTCGGGGAGGGGGGGGGGGGTAGGGGGGAGGGGAGTCCTCGTGGTTCTGATCGACGGCGCCGAATGTTGAGCGGGGATGGCCCCCCCCAGTTCGAAACGCGCCCCCGAATGTTCCCAAGGCAAGCGCCCGTGAAAAACGCTCGCTCATACACACATACGTACATACACACATACATACATTCAGACAGAAAGACAGACAAACAGACAGGCAGACAGACAGACGAACAGACAGGCAGACAGACATAGACATAGACATACACATACACATACACATACACGTACACGTACACGTACACGTACACGTACACGTACACGTACACGTACACGTACACGTACACGTACACGTACACGTACACTTACACATACTCAAACACATACACATATACACATACACATACATACATGCATACACATACACATTCACACACATGCGTACATACATGCATACATACATAAATACATACCTGCATGCATGCATACACACATATATATATATATATATGATTATATGAAAGAGCGTGTTCTACCGCTGCTGGCGGAAAACCAGGGGGGGTCACTCCCGGTTCGAACCCCTCCCCCCCCCCGCGGAAAACCGCTGGGGGTCACTACCGGTTCGAACCCCTCCCCCCCCCCCAGCTCATCATGAAAAGGGGGGGGGGGTCACTACCGGTTCGAACCCCTCCCCCCCCCCCTCGAAAACCGAGTGGGGGTGCGGACAGAGGTGGGGACGGTGTTGGTGGGACAGTGGTGAGGGGACAGCGGGACAGTGGTGGGGACAGTGGGACAGTGGGACAGTAGAGGGCCGGTAGTGGTGGGGACAGTGGTGAGGACAATGGTGGGAACAGGGGGGACAGTGGACAGTGGTGGGGACGGTGGTGGTGGTGACAGTGGTGTGGGCACAGTGGGAATGAGGTGGAAACAATGGGACAGTGGAGGGTACAATGGTGGTGGGGACAGTGGTGAAGGCGGTGGCGAGGACGGCGGTGGGACAATGGGACAAAGGTACAGTGGGGACAGTGGTGGGGACAGTGGGGACAGTGGTGGGAACAGTGGAACAGCTCAGTGGGACAGCGGCGGAGTCGGTGAGACAGTGGGGACAGTGGGGATAGTCGGGCAGTGGTTGGGGCCGTGGAGACAGTGGGGAGAGTGGAACCGTGGTGGGAACAGTGGTGGGGACAGTGGGGACAGTATCCCCCTCCGGTTTTCGAGGGGGGGGGGGTTCGAACCGGTAGTGACCCCCCTCCCGTTTTCCGGATCCGGGGGGGGGGGGGGGAGAGGTTCGAACCGGTAGTGACCCCCCCGGTTTTCGAGGGGGAAGGGGTTCCAGCAGGGGGTGGGGGGGGATTTTCGGAGGGGGGGGGGGCGACCCCCGGGTTCTGGAGGAAAAGGTTGGCAATTTAATTTTCCACAGTAAAGCGGCGGTGGATCACGCTCTCTCAATTATATACACATCTATCTATACAATGTTGCAGTGGCGTTTCGCGCCATGCACCTTGGTCCTTGAAGTTTTGTATGCAGGCGGACTAGCAGGAAGGTCAAGCCGACAATTTAGCGATAACTCCTGGTTGCCTTTTCCGGCATCGCCGCTATAATCATATTATTCGTTATCTTTCCTCCATGTTTTTTATTTTCGCCATGCCCTGCGCATTCTCCCCATCCTCCTCAGCTCTTTTTTGCGGAGGCTCCTCCTCGGAGAGCCTTTAGGGGCCTCACAAAAGTTGTTTCAGGCTTTCTTAAGGCCTTCTGGAGGCCTCCTGGGCGTATTCAGGGGCCCTCTGGGGGCTTCCTCGGGCCACCCTGCCTCCAACCGCGGTCTCCCTGAACGACCGAATCACGATTTGGAATTCTTCGGAGGGTGTCTTTGGGCCATCTTGGGCCGCCATGGGGCTCTCTGAGGGCCATCTTGGACCCGTGTTGTGCCGTTTTGGGGCTCTCTTGGACTGCCTGGAAGCCCTTTCGGATGATTGTGGGGCGATTTTGGAGCCCGCCAGGCGGCTTCGGACGCCCAGAAGACCGCCGTCTTGGAGCGTCGGGAAGCCGAAAAGAGGAGAACCCCAATATTCACCAAAAACTGATAAAATTAATGATTTTTGCCTCGGGGGGCCTTCTTGGGAGTGCTCTTGGAGGCCTCTTTGGGGCCGTCCTGGAGGCCTCTTGGGCCATCTTGAGGTCACGTCGGTCACTCTTGGAGCGCTCTTGTGCTGTCTTGGTGGTCTCTGGGACGTCTCCGATGACCCCCCTGATCGCCCTAGGTGTGCTGGGAAGGCTTGGCATAACGCCCTGCGAGGCCCGGTGGCCGCTTCGAGGTCCGTCCGGAGGGTCCCAAAGCCCCAGATCTAGGGAGTCTGGTTTTTGGGGGGAGGGTGACGGGTTTTCCCCCCGCCCGGGCTTATAAAAATATAGACAGAGGTATATCTGTACATACCCATCGGTCGTTGGAAGTAGGTAGTTTCGGAGTCCCAGACTCCAATCTACTTTAACCGCCTTCCTAGTTGAATGATCGGGTGGTGTCACCCTTTCCGTCCTCTGTAGGGGGCAAGCGGACACCCGATCTAATTTCAACGCTGTCCTACTTCGTGTTTCTACCTATTTCTTCCGACCGACGGGTACATATATACATCCAGCCATACATCCATCCATATACCCATTTCTCTACCTATCTATCTGCACATACATACAATTCATACATCCACACATACATACATCCAAACATACATGCATACACGCGTTCATCCATACATGTGTACATACCTACACATATACACACGCACACATACATACATACATACATCCATCCATCCATGCATACACACATACATACATGTATACATACATAAACATACACACATGCACACATGCATACATACATACATACATACATACATACATCCATACATACTTACATACTTACATACATACACCACATACATACATACATACATACATACATACATGCATACATACATACATACATACATACATGCACACATACATACATACATACATACATACATACACACATGCACACAAACAAACACACATACATCCATACATACATACACATATGCATCCATACACACATACATACATACATACATACATACATACATACATACATACATACATACATGCATGCATACATACATGCATGCATGCATACATACATACACATACTTACATACACACATACATACATACATTCGTACGTACGTACGTACACACACACGCACACGCATACATACATACATACATACACGCATACATACCAACCCATACATACATACATGCATGTATGCATGCATACATACATACATACATACGTGCATACATACACACATACATACATACATGCATACACATGTACTGACATACACACCGATACATACACACATCTCTATATATATGTGCAACTACACATAACGACGTACTTACGTACGTATATACATACCGTACACTCATGCATTTACAACGTATGTAAATACACACAGTTGCATGCGACAAACATGCATACGTACACATACATGTATGCATACAAACATGCACACATCCATTCACACATACATACATGCGTGCATCCATCCATCCATACATAAATACGATCAGACATACAGACATACGAACACATAAACGTATGCATGCATACATGCATACACCCGTACACACAGCATGACACTTCTTAGAAAGGCCGAGGCTCTCCGACGCTCCAGAGAAGGCCCTGCGAACCTCCTCTTCTCTTCACCGCCCGCCCCATGGCCCAATGCCTGTGGCAAGGCCACCAGCATCAGCTTGTTCGTTGTCGTTGCCGTCGTGTTCGCCGTCGTGCTCGTCGTCGACGTCGCCGCAGATCGCAGGTCCAGAGGTTGACACCAACACCAGTATCTGCGGTGTGCCTCCACCGAGGGAAGAGGATCCCGATCTCGGTGATGATGGTCATTGCCACCAACACCGAAGTCTAGGACCACCTCACCCCTGTGGAGGCAGCGCCCTATGTTGGTGTTGGTGCCCATTCCCAGGTCTCACAGCAGATCCACGGCGCATCCTCCTCCTCCTCCTCTTCCTCCACCTCCTCCTCCTCCTCCTCCTCCACCTCCTCCTCCTCCTCCTCCTCCTCTTCCTCCACCTCCTCCTCCTCCTCCTCCTCCTCCTCCTCCTCCTCTTCCTCCTCCTCTTCCTCCTCCTCCTCCTCCTCCTCCTCAGAACGTGCTCTCCCTGGACGGGCTCCGCCTTGCAGCGGGGCATGGGGCGGCCGGCCCTCGTGGCCGCTCCCCGCGGCCCGAGGGCGGCCCTGCGGCGCCGCCCCTCCCCCCCCGCTAGGCCTCGCGCACGGGCGCCGCAGCCGGCGGCAGGGGACCCCCGCCGCCGCGACGCACCTCCGCGGCTGAACGACGACGACGACGACGGCGACGAGAGGAGGAGGAGGAGGAGGAGGAGGAGGAGGAGGAGGAGGAGGAGGAGGAGGAGGAGGAGGAGGAGGGAGGAGGAGGAGGAGGAGGAAAGGAGGAGGTTGGAGGGGGAGGAAAAGGAGGAGGAGGAGGAAAAGGAGGAGGTTGGAGGAGGAGGAGGAGGAGGAGGAGGAGGAGGAGAAGGAAAAGGGGAGGAGAAGGAAAAGGGGAGGAGAAGGAAAAGGAGAAGGATGAGGTTGATGGCGGAGCGGGAGGGAGGACAGACGCGTGGCCCCAGCGTGCCGTGGCGAGGACCGGCGAGGCTCCCGGGCCCCCCGTGCTCGCCGACTGGGACGCCGGCGGGCGGCTCGCCGCAGACAGGCCTGGGCGGGGGGGGAGGGGAAGGATCACGTCAGAGGAGGAAAAGGCACAGTCGACACGCAGAGCAAGGATAGGCATCCCTCCCGCGGGTATCCTCGCATCCTTGCTTCCTGGGTCCATCCTTGGACACTCTCGTTGGCCGCGCCCCGCTCGGGAAGCTTCGAAATGGGCGTCCAAGGCCCTTGCATCCTTATCGCGCATCCTTGCTCTGCGGGTTGACTGTACCCATGCCTCGCCTGAGATCCTGGCGTTGCAATTCCACCGAGCCGTGCGTTTTCGCACAATTTCGGGCTCGAGACCCTCGCAGACCAATCTGGCTCGACAAATGACGCAGAAAGATGGGGTCAAGGGCCCTGGGCGTGAATTTTTACGATGTTGAGATTTTTCGCTTCTCAGGGTCTACCCTATGCTTGTTTTCCCCTTCCTGGGCCTCCTGGGAGGCCTTTGTCGCCACCGCTGGATTCGCCTCGGAATCCTGGTCAGAACGCACTGTGGGAGAGGTCCGGGGAGTAGCGGCGTCGGTACCTGTTGGTTTCCCCATCAGGGGTTCGCAGGGACGGGGGGTTCTCCCAATGTAGGGTCAGGGCACGAAGCTAGGCGGATGCGCACGCTTCTTTTGCCAGGGTCCGTCTGAGGCTAGTCTTTTCTGACCCCACCTCTGCTTCACCCCCGCCTTTACATCCCACCGACACGTGGACCCAAAAGGATCCTAAAACGGTTCGAGGCAATCTCCTCGAACGTTTCACCCTCGATCATCCGAAGGCCCCCGCTCTCGCTGTCGCTGTTGGTGGCCTCGTCGTCGTCGTCGTCGTCGTCGTCGTCGTCGTAGTCGTCGTCGTCGTCGTCGTCGTCGGCGGCGGCTGCCTCGTCGTCGTTGTCGTCGACGTCGGTCTCGTCGCCGTCGTCGTCGTCGTCGTCAACGGTGCCTCGTTGTCTTCGTCGTCGTCGTCGTCGTCGTTGTCGTGGTTGTCGTCGTCCTCGCCATCGCCTCCCCCTCCAAAGTCGTGATTTGATTTCCGTGACACCAACATGCTCCCCACCCTTCCTCCAGCACCAGTTTTCCATCGCAGCCGTTAATGGGGATGGACCGCAGGCCCCCCAAAGGGGCCAACAGAACCCAGAGTTGTGTGAAGCAGCGTTGTGACTTCTCAGAAGAAGCACGACGTCGGCGGTCTGGGCCCCCATCGTCGCCATCATCCACGTTTTCCTCGTCGCCAGCCATGGCCGGCTACACCGACGAGGCAATACACGGTGGAGGGGCTCTCTGGAATGCTGTGCAGGCGCGCCGACGGGGCCAGGGTGGCGTTTGACTTGGAGCAGCACGCCAGCCAGCAACGACCCAGCGACGCCGTCGACGACGCGGCGCTCGCCAGCTTCCTGGCCAACTCAACTCCTCGGCCGCCACGCTGGCGTACCTTTGCGTGCTCAAGGCGCCCGCCGCTGGCGCCTTCTTCCAGGCGCCGCCTTGCGACGCCGCATGAAGCCGCTTCCAGCACTGCCTCTCCCGGGTCACGGTCCAGCGACGACTCCGAGTCCAGCTCCTCGTCCTTGAGGCTTTTTGCCCTGCTTGCGAAGAGGTGATGGACGTGTGACTAGACCACGCCATTGCGTGCTCTTGCCGCAGGGACAGGACGAAGCGCCACAGCGCGCTTTGGAACCATGGGTTATTCGACGCGCAAGCGGCTTGCTTCGTTGGAGCGGACCTGGCATGGCTAGGGCTCTTCCCGCCGCGCGCCGCCAACGAAAGGTCTCCGAGCGGCGGGCAGGACGTGCAGGATTCTGATGCCAGGGACAGGCGCCCCGCTGACGTTTGTCTGCCCGGGCCGCGCAACGGGGTGCGAGCGGCTTGGGATTTCGCTGCCGCTTCCGCGCTTCGCGCCGACCTCCTCGTCGCTACGGGTGCGTCCTCCGCCGCGGATGCGGAGGGCCAGTGCGCGGTTCGGGGCCTCACCTTCATATTTATGGCGGTGGAGGCCCAGGTTGGCGGGTAGGGGCGCGAGGCCAGGAGAGCTTTTGCGATCTTGGCCAACTGGGTGGCTGACGCCACCGGGGAGGACGCCGCCCTAGTGGCGGACCGGCGCGCCCAGCGACTTTCGGTCTCTTGGGAGGGCGCGCGGGCGGGTTTGTCTCGGCTACAGCCGTCGATGGGGGTGGCTGTTGCGCGCCTTACATCGGCCACCGCGGCTGACGCCGTTTGAGTCGCCGCTGGCGCCGCCTTGCGCCGCCCCCTCACCCACCTGAACGGCGAGCGGGGCCTCCTGGCAGGGGGCGGGGTGGGCGGGCTCCAGTCCGGCGGCTACCATTACCTGGAAGGGTCCCTGTTGCCCAAGCGACAACGCGGCCCCCCCCGCCCCCCCCCCTTCCCAGGGTCATCGCCGCCTCTCGGTCCTGGCCCCCCCACCGCCAGCAGCTGCCGCGCTGCCCCCCCCCCGCGCGCGCGCGCGCCTGCCGCGTCCCCCGCCGCCGTCAGCAGCAACCGCGCTGCTCCCGACGCTCTCGCGCCCGCCGCGCCCGCGTCCGCCCCGACGACCGCTCCCTACGACCGCTCGCGACGACCTCTCCCTGCGACCGTCCCCGCCCCCGCCCTCAACCATTTGCCTGCTTCTCTGCCTGTTTGCTGCTGTTGCTGGCCCCCTTTCCCTCTCTTCGCCTTCCCCTACGTCCAGCCGAACGAGGGCGTGCAGGATATCCCAGGGTGGGCCAAGATTTTGACGCAGTGTGCCCATGCATTTTGCTACGCCTAGCAGTTGTTAGGGGCCGCTCCTCGTTCCTCCTCTTCCTCCGCCGCCGCCTCCTCCTCCTCCTCCTTTTTTCCCCCACTCCGCAGTGCAGCGTCCTAGCCTTGCACGCGCTGACCCGCGAAAAGCGTGCAGTGCCGTCGTTTTTGTTATCGTTTGGCGCGTAAAGCCGTTCTCCTGGCAATTCTTGGTCCCCGAGTCAGAGAGGCCTTGCGTTGCAGGGCTAATCGGTTCGTGATTCTGGGCAGCTGGGCTTCCGCGCTCTCGTCGGCACGGCGCGCCGGGGCCACACGTGGCACAGGTCGTCGTCCGTGTGCTCGTGTACGCCATCGCGGCGCGAATGTTCAGGCTCGGGGAACAGGTTTGTTCGGATGCAGATCCTGGGAGGTCAAATTCTGAGTTTGCCCTGGTCCGAAATCCGGCTCCATCTGCCTCGATCCGCTTGAATCCCGCTTCATCCCGCGCATTCTGGCCGAATCCGGCCTGGCCCCGCTTCCTCCGTGGCCGAATCTTGCGCAGTAGCCCCCCAACGGGGCTTCCTTCTCCTTGATCCTTCCGGCGAAGACCTCCCAGCGGTTGCCTCCTAAGGCTTGCCCGATCGTGCTTCGTCGCCCGTGTCCGCGGCACCCGGGCTGTGCGGGTCGAGGCTCTCCGCGCCCTCCTCGTGCGCGGGCCGCCCCCTCCCGGCCGCCGCCCCCGGAGGGGGCCCCTGGCCCTCGGCCGGTGCAGCTCGGATGCCCGCTGGGGGCAAAAAGCTGCCAGGGATCTCGGTCGGGCGAAGAGAACTGTGCACGTGCACCGATCCTGGCATGGCCCATCCTTGACCCAGGATCGGTGCATAGGCCTTCCCGGCCAAGGCAGGAGGCCGTGTGCACCGATCCTGGGCTTTGGATGGGCCTGGCCAGGATCGGTGTATGTGCATAGTTCTTTTTCCTCTGCTCAGGGACGTCCGACGGCGTGTCGTGCGGGGGGGTCGACATTCGCAATCCACCAAGCTACCCCAGCCCCACAGTGGGGTGGGGGTCGGGGAACGCTGAAAAATCACACATGGGACACGCACCCCCCAGCCCGAAATCCGGGTCTTCGGGTTGGGTCGGGGTGGTCTGGTAGGTAGTCAGACATATGTACGGCACCGACGGGTGCGAACACCGACCGCAGCTCTTCTTGTCGATCCTGAACCTGGCTCGCCGTCGGCGTCGCCGCGGGCGTGATCCCTTCGAGAAAGCAGAGAGCCTGGCCTACCGCGGCCGCTGTCGGTTTCGACACGCGTTCGCTGCTGGGCATCGGGCCCGTTTTTTGCCGTACGCATGCCGGGCGTCCCAGGTCGAGGGAGAGGCAAAGAGACACACACGGGATCGTTCTCTTCTTCATTGTTCTGCCGATAGGCGCAGGCCCCCCCCCCCATCTCCCTCCCCTATGGAGTAGATCTTGGCTGTTGTCTTGGCGCCTGTTTCGGGCAGGTGGAGTCCGTCCCCCAGAGGCCGCACTCCTGCAAACAGCCGCGCACAAAGCGGAGGCCTGGAGCCAGCCCCCCCCCCCCTTGCCGCCCGATGCCGACACGACGAACCAACAAAAATCGCTCACCACGCAAAGCTTCGGAGGGCGGCGCGGGTGTCTCGGATCGGCGCTGGGCCTCCATTCCGTGGGGTCCACGAGGGCCTCCGGAGGCCTCCGCGCTCGTGCCGTTGGCTGTTGCGGCGGCTCCCCGTGGGTCGGTGCAGGAAGGGGCCAGGAGCGGCCGGCGCGCGGCGCGGCACGGCATCGGCGGGGGCGTGATGCCCAGAGGAGGACGGGGGAGGAGGAGGAGGAGGAGGAGGAGGAGGAGGAGGAGGAGGAGGCCGAGCTCCAGGCTTGCGCACCGTTTCTCGTCCTGGCCTCGCCCGCCTGATGTCGAAGGCTTTCTGGTGGGAAGCCGGGCGCCTGTTGCAAGCACGTTGCATCCTTGCCTGTCCCGCGGAACACCGCGGGCCCTGACCGCCAGGCGTTCTCAGCGCCCCCGCAGCCAGCGCAACAAAAAGGGGCGGCGGATGAGGGACGAGGACGAGGAGGAGCAGCATGATGGCGAAGAGGTTCTGGCGACGCCGTCGATGGCGATGGCGATGAATCTGTTGATGATGATGCGGATGGTGATGCTGATGATTGTGGCGACGATTGCGGTGATTATAATGATGGTGGTGATCCTGACGATGACGATGATGACGATGATGATAATGCTGATGATGCTGATGATGATGATTCTGATGATTCTGATGATGGTGATGGTGGATGGTGGTGGTGGTGGTGATGGTGATGGTGATGATGGTGGTGTTGATGGTGATGGTGATGCTGATGGTGATTGTGATTGTGATGATGCTGCTGGTGCTACTGATGCTGATGCTGCTCATGGTGGCAATGATGAGGGTGATACTGCTGATGATGATGAAGATGATTATGCTGATGATGATGCTGATGGCGATTATGATATTGTTGATGCTGTTAATTATGATGCTGATGAATCTGATGTTGATGCTGATGATGATGATGATGATGATGATGATGATGATGATGACGGTGGGGGGGTGATGATGAGTATGATGATGATTAGTATAATGATGGTAATGATGATGATCAATCAGTTGATGCTGATGATGTTGTTGTTGATGCTGATGGTGGGTCGATGATGGATGATATCCTGTGCTGCTGCTGATGATAATGCTGAGTTGGAGGAGCAGGAGGATGACTATGGTTGTGGTGATGACAATGATGATAACCACCATCACCATCATCATCGTCATCGTCGTCGTCCTCCTCATCAATCATTCTCATCACCACAACCATCATCATCAGCATCATCAGCAGCAACACCACCACCACCACCACCACCACCACCACCACCATCATCATCATCATCATCATCATCATCATCATCATCATCATCATCATCATCATCATCATCATCATCATCATCATCATCATCAAGATCATCATCATCATCGTCATCAGCATCGTCATCGTCATCGTCATCGTCATCGTCATCGTCATCGTGCTCATGACCACGATCCTGATGGTGGTGGTGCTGCTCAGGAGGAGGCGCAGGGGGCGGAGACGGAGGAGGCGCCGGGGGCGGCGGCGTGCACGCGAGCGCCCCCGGGGGGCGTGCGCCCGCGCCAGGGGCACGCCCGGCGCCGCCGACCGCGGCGGGGCCGCCGCGTTCGGGCTGCACGGCGGGCCTCCCGCAGAGCCCGCCGCGCGGGCGTGCTCACGCCAGCAAACGGCGCATCGGCTCGAGGATGGAGGCATCGAGGCATCGAGGCATCATGGCATCGAGGAGCGAGGATGGAGGCATCGAGACTAGGGCGTCGAGGCATCGAGGCATCGAGGCGTCGAGGCCCGAGGAGCGAGGCCCGAGGAGCGAGGCTCCAGGCTCCAGGCTCCAGGCTCCAGGCTCCAGGCTCGGATCGGCGCTCGCTCGGCGGCGCGCCCAGGGGGGGCAAGGGCTGAGGGGGGCAAGGGCTGAGGGGGGCCAAGGGCAGAGGGGGCAAGGGCAGAGGGGGGCAAGGGCAGAGGGGCCAGGGCAGAGGAGGGCAAGCTCTTCGGCCTCCCGGGGAGCTCCTCGGGCCCCCTCTGCGGGAGCGGGCGGCCTCTCTCCGGGAGGCCCGGGGGGGTGGCTTTGGGAAGGCCCCGCCGCCCGCCGAGGCGGCCCGCCCCCCTCCGGCCCGCCCCCCCCCCCTCGGGGCGCGGCGCCGCTGCGAGGGCCGCGGGCGCCGCCACCGCCGAGACGCGAGGGCGGCGATGGAGCTTCGACAGAGGCCTCCCAGATCCAGGCGATCGCAAGCATGGGTCACGGGGGCGTGGATCAGTTACGGGCACCGTCTCCATGGGAGATCGCGGATGTCGGCCGCCGAGCGAGGCGGCACCAGCCGCTTTTTGGGGAAGGGCACCTCCCCCGAACCATGTGGGTTTGGCGAGGCACAGTTGCTGGAGCCAGGGGCGGACAGGGCTGGGACGAGGATCCATCCGTTCCAGGGCGATACGGAAGGCTCTGAGAAGGCCGCGTCGCCCGAGACAGTTCCCGGAGCCGCCGGATCCCAGGGATTCTCGATTTTGGCCCTGGCCTCCTTTTGGGCGCGGCGCAGTTGCTGGAGCGAAGCGCACCCCGAGGCGGCTGGAAGGCTTGTCAGAACCGACGAATCGATCGAGCCGGAGATCGACCACACGATCGGTTTACCCCAGGGTTTTTCTCCTCGAGTCTGCCACAGACAACGGCTCACTTTCGCAGATCTCCGAATCCTGTACGTCTTCTCCCCGAAGCCTCGACGGGCAAACCAGCGCTGGCGCAACTCGGATCTTAAGCTCGGCGATCTCCTGCTCGAGCGGCGCCCGAGAGCCCTCGAGCTCCAGCCTTCAGCCCGGCCGCCGGCCGAGCCGAGCCCCCGACCCCCTTGCCGCGCGCATCTCGGCCGACGCGCCCTTCGTGCGCGCCCGCGGCGCGCCGGCCCGCGGCCCCCCGTGGCGACCTCGGCCGGCCGCGGGCCGCCCCTCGCCCCGCCTCGTGCCCCGGGGATGCGCAGCCCGGAGGGTCAGGAAAGTCCTCGCTCGCCGTGCTTCGGGAACATCGGAGCAGCACACGGGCGATAGCACACACAAGCGTGTGGCGCTCCGCGCGGATGTCTCGGATCCGCGCTGGGGCCCCGCGCAGAAGGAAAAGGGCGATAATCACGAGCGTGTGGCGCTCCGCGCGGCTGTCTCAGATCCGCGCTGGGGCCCGCGCCGCCCCTGGCGCGCTCCGCGCGCCGGGGAGAGGTGCCCCGCGCGGATCCAGGGAATCTGCGCGGAGCGCCAACAGTTTACTTCTGTTCGTGTTGCTTGTTCTCCTTCTATTGCTGTGCGTCGGGAAATAATCCGGGAATCCACAGGGAGGTCGGTCTCAGACTCGCCCGCCGCCGCGCGGGCGCCCGGAGGCGGCGGCGCCTCCCGGGGCGGCGGCGCCCGCGGCGGCGGCGGCGGCGCCCGCCCGCCTCGCGCTGCCGCCCGCGCTGCCGCTTTGGGGCCTTCGCCTGGGGTTACCAGCCTGGAACATATCCCTATCCCTATGCTGGGCACCTCCTCATCACGATGCCAATCTTAGGGATTCCCTTTTTTTTGAGGGCGAATCCCTAAGATTGTCATCGCCTTTGGGCGTGGCAATCTTAGGGATAGGGATACGTTCGAGGCTGGTAAGGGGGGGGCCCTTCGGCGCCGATGAATGCAAGTCGGGCGTGTCCTCTACAGGAGGGGGATTCAAAAATAGTAAAAAAATAGTCAGGGGACGGTTTTTCGATCACTTCTCATAAGTTGTGAGGATTTTTGGTTTGTTTTACTACTTCTTTGATTTTCTTGTAAGAAGATCCGCCTGTAGGGGGACATGCCCGACGCAACGAGAAAAATCTGGGCGTGCGAAGACGCGGTGTTCGGGAGACTCTCCATGCCCCCCACATGGGATCTCCATGGGATCCCCTCCTGCCCCCCACATGGGATCCCCAGGGGATCCTATGGGATCCCCCCCCCCCTGGGATCCCATCCCCCCGTGGGATCCCCCCCATGGGGAGTCTCCCGCGGTGTGCGCTGCCGAAGGCGTGGCGGAGGAGGGCGGGGGCGAGGAGGACGGCGGCGGCGGGGAGGCGGCGGGGAGGCCGGGCCCCGCTCCGGCCCCACGCCCCGAGAGGAGGAGAGCCAGGCTCGAGCCTCCACTGATGGGCGTGTTTTCCACCACCACTACCATAAGTTGGAGGGGGGGTTCTCCTCCTCCTCCTCCTCCTCCTCCTCCTCTTCCTCTTCCTCCTCTTCGTCCTCCTCCTTCTCCTCCTCCTTCTCCTTCCCCCTCCAACTTATGGTGGTGGAGGTGGGAAACAGGCTCAAGCCTCCACAGCAGGAATATTCCCGAAGTAGTCCTAATATTGTCCGGGGACGATTCGTTGAGTGTTCTGTTTTTTTTTTGCTATTCTTTCATATTTTTGGGGGTATTTCTCATTGAGGCTCAAGTCGGGCCTGTCCCTCCACAGCAGGAGTATTCTGAAGGAGGCCAAATATAGTCGGGGGACGATTCTGGAGTATGGTTTGGCCATTCTTGAGTATTTTTTGGGGGTATCTCTCATGCTTCGTCCAAAATCCGCCTGGCTGGGGGGGATGCGCCCGAGCGAGCACCAGGCGGGTGCGACGCGCGCCGCCTCGGCTGGCGGCGTCGACCCCGCGTCACTGGGGGGGCCGAGGGCCGCCTCCTCTTCGGGCACAGCCGATGCGTGTTGTACAGTGCTCTGCGTGGCCAGTGTTACGTCGGGCCTGTCCCTCTACAGGAGGAGTATCCAAAGATAGTAAAGAACATCGTATGGGGACGTTTTTTGTGTGTTTTTTTTGTTGCGTTTTCTTTATAAATTATGCTAACGGAGTTCCCCACATAAAGAGATTAACGGTTTCGTGGGACCCATTTTCTTGATGCCCTCCTCGCTTTGGCGGGGCCCCGCTGGAAGGGGGGAGGGCTACGAAACCTGGCGAAGAGTAATGCTTTCCGCGACCCTCCTCGTTCAAGCGCGGCCTCTCTGGAGGAGTGGAGGGGGGACACGAAACCGTGTAAACAGCATGTTTTCCGATACCCTCCAGGAAGAGGAGGAGGAGGAGGAGGAGGAGGAGGAGGAGGAGGAGGAGGAGGAGGAGGAGGAGGATAAGATGGATGATGGCGAAGAGCAGCAGCAGGAACCGCAGCAGGAGCAGCAGCGGGAGGTTGGTTTGAGTGGTCTCATTTTCCTCGTGAGGTCCGATTCGCGAGGTTGGTCTGAGTGGTCTCATTTCCCTCGTCCAGTCGAGGTTATACAAGAGGGTGGGCGACACGAGTTCGCTAGACGAGAGGTGGGAGGGGCACGAAACCATGTAAATGGTATGGTTTTCGGATACCCTCCTCGCTCAGGCGGGGCCTCCCTGGAGGTGTGGGAGGGGCACGAAACCATGTAAATAGTATGGTTTTGCCTCCCTGGAGAGGTGGGCTGGGGCACGAAACCATGTAAATAGTATGGTTTTCGGATACCCTCCTCGCTCAGGCGGGGCCTCCCTGGAGGGGTGGGAGGGGCACGAAACCATGTAAATAGTATGGTTTTCGATACCCTCCTCGCTCAGGCTGGGCTCCTCTCGCTCAGGCGGGGCCTCCCTGGAGGGGCACGGAAACCATGAAATAGTGTAAATAGTATGGTATTCCGATACCCTCCTCGCTCAGGCGGGGCCTCCCTGGAGGGGTGGGAGGGGCACGAAACCATGTAAATAGTATGGTTTTCCGATACCCTCCTCGCTCAGGCGGGGCCTCCCTGGAGGGGTGGGAGGGGCACGAAACCATGTAAATAGTATGGTTTTCCGATACCCTCCTCGCTCAGGCGGGGCCTCCCTGGAGGGGTGGGAGGGGCACGAAACCATGTAAATAGTATGGTTTTCCGATACCCTCCTCGCTCAGGCGGGGCCTCCCTGGAGGGGTGGGAGGGGCACGAAACCATGTAAATAGTATGGTATTCCGATACCCTCCTCGCTCAGGCGGGGCCTCCCTGGAGGGTGGGAGGGGCACGAAACCATGTAAATAGTATGGTTTTCCGAGACCCTCCTCGCTCAGGCGGGGCCTCCCTGGAGGTGTGGGAGGGGCACGAAACCATGTAAATAGTATGGTTTTCGGATACCCTCCTCGCTCAGGCGGGGCCTCCGTGGAGGTGTGGGAGGGGCACGAAACCATGTAAATAGTATGGTTTTCCGATACCCTCCTCGCTCAGGCTGGGCCTCCCTGGAGGGGTGGGAGGGGCACGAAACCATGTAAATAGTATGGTTTTCGGATACCCTCCTCGCTCAGGCGGGGCCTCCCTGGAGGGGTGGGAGGGGCACGAAACCATGTAAATAGTATGGTTTTCCGATACCCTCCTCGCTCAGGCGGGGCCTCCCTGGAGGGGTGGGAGGGGCACGAAACCATGTAAGTAGTATGGTTTTCGGTATGGAGTGGTATGGAATGGTATGGTAGGTATGGTATGGTACGGTATGGTATGATATGGTATGGTATGGTACTGGAGGTATGGTATGGTATGGTACGGTGTGGCATTGGTGTGATATGGTATGGTATGCTATGGTACGCCATGGTATGGTATGGTACGGTATGGTACGTATGGTGTGGTATGGTATGGTATGGTATGGTATGGTATGTGTGGTAGGAACTATGGTATGGTATGGTGTGTGTGGTAGGAATAATATTGTGCTGTATGGAAGATGGAGCGGGAGGTGGGTGGGAAGGAGAGGGTGTTCTGGGAAAACAAGAACCCCACTCAGGATGTGGGGGAAAAAAGCAACTATATATATACAAATAGTATTTCGTCCAAAACGCGCCTGTAGGGGGGTATGCCCGACTTAAGGCCAGTGCGCTCTCGACTTTCTCGCGCGGATCCCGCCGGACTCCATTTCGTCGCAAACTGGCAGAGGCGGGCTGCTTCTCAAGCCCAGGACTTCGGGGACAGCGCCGGGGTGGTGTGGTGCATCTGTTTTCCCCTGCTTTCCTGGGGAAACAACGAAAAATGTATGCACCAGGATTCCGTATAAACCAGGACCCACTTCCCTGTGCGAGTTTCAGCGCGGGGCCAGAAAAAGCGTCGGCGTATAGAGTTCGGCTCCTTACAACAGGCGCTTTCGCCCAGTTTCGGCCCCGGGGCCCTCTCATATCGGCTCTGCTCGAAGATCGCCGCAGGAAGATGGGGGATCCTGGGCTCCGGTGGTGATTGTGTAGGATGTTGCAGTTGTTTGGCAACGTTGGATCACAGGGAAGGGTATGGTTAACGCCAGGGTGCGGTCTGCAATCGGCGCCGTTGGGGGCCTGGGGAGCGCGACGCTGTCCTCGTCGGGCCGCCTCGGGACGCGGCGGGGAGCCCTGTCGAGGTCCTCGCCCGCTTCCCAGGGTGCCCCCCAGGGTGCCTGGTTGCAAGCCACACCCTCTGCAAACCACACCATTCGGAGTCGCCGACCTTCGATTCGATTCGATTTCGATAGCTTCTGAGTCCGATTCGATTCGACTTCGGATTCCGATGTGGGCTCCGATTTTTTGAGAACGGCCTACCAGCTTGCCGAAATCCGCCGAGTCGACGTTTCCCGACTCGGCTGCCGATTTTCTCCGATCGAAGTCATTTCGATCGCCGATGATTCGATTCTGGGCTCTTCTGGGGGCCCCTGTTGAGTGTGGTGGGCCTCGGTCACAACTCATGGAAGCCTCCTGTGTTCTCGTCGTTCCGTGCTTTGAGTGCAGTAGCGTCGATTTGGTGAATCGATGACATCGCACCGATTGAGCGCCGTTCAGCGTCGATGCAGCGTCGACTAGCGTTGATCAGCGTCGGTTCGTAAGAGCAGCATGATGGTTTGAGTCGGCGGCGAGCGAAGGGGGGAAGTGAGAAGGAGTGGGCCTTCTCAGAGGGCTCGGAATTCCGCCAGCCTTTGAGAAGTTTCCTAAGCCTTCCCCGAAGACGCAGAAAACTTCTCAGAAGACTCGAGGGCTTCTGAGAAGTTCCGCCGCCTTCTGGGGAGGCGTTCTCCTTCTCATTTCCCCCCTCGCTTGCCGCTGATTGGAATCCCCCGAGTTCCGAACTCGGAGTGACCGCACGGTTTCGGGACTTGGGTCGCTCTTCGAGGACGTCTCTCGGGCGACCGCGGCCCCCGAGGTCCCAAGACGGCGCGGTGACGGACCGTGTGGTGAGGTCTGTGGTTCGGTAGCAAATCATGGGAGCGTTGTGTGCCTTCGCAATTCTGTTTTTCGACTGCGTTAGCGTCGATTAGCGTCTGGGAGGCGATGAGATAGCGCCGATGTGGCGTCGGCTAGCGTCGACTAGCATCGATTTGGCGTCGATGAGCGTCGATGTAGCGTCGACTAGCGTCGATTCGCAAGAGCCAGCACGATGGTATGGGAGGCTCCCATGAGTTGCCATCGAATGTGGGGGTGCCGAGGTCACCGCGTGATCTGTCACCACCCGGATTTGTGACCCCCAACAGACCCAGACCTCCAACGTATTGGAGAAACGCGACGGGGTTTGTTCGTCGCTTTCGGCCTCTGGGGGAGCCCTCGCTGGAGCCTGGGACGGTCAACAAAAGAGCTCTGGACGAGAAACCGTTCCTGGGGAAGGGATCCAGACCACTGTGTGGGTCGGCGTTGTGACACAATCACGGTGTCGGAGCTCTTGGCTAGGGGCGTTGCTTGCAGCCAGGACGCTGAAGTAATGACCTTTTTGGGCTCAGGAGGGGTTCCGGTTTTCGAGCCGTTCCTTACAGTCGACCTGCAGAGTAAGGATAGGCATCCGTCCCAAGGGTAACCTTGCATCCTTGCTTCCTGGGTCCATCCTTGGACACTCTCGTTGGCCGCGCCCCGCTCGAAACGCTTCGAGATGGGCTTCCAAGGGCCTTGCATCCTTATCGCGCATCCTTACTCTGCGGGTTGACTGTACAGGCAGTCAACCTTTATAATAAGGAAGCGTAGGAAGGATGTAAGGGCCTTGGAAGGCCATGTTCACGTGTCTCGAACGAGGTTGGCCAGCGAACATCACTAAGGACTGGCCGAAGGGGCAAGGAGACCTCCCCCCTCCGCAGGGGCAACGGGCGCTGCTACCCCTGGGAGTGTCGCTAAACACTCCTCGACAGGCCACATTTCGTTCCTCCTCCTCCTCCTCCTCCTCCTCCTCCTCCTCCTCCTCCTCCTCCTCCTCCTCCTCCTCCTCCTCTCAAGCAGTCGCGTGAAGCAGAGGTCCAGAGCCAGATACCCCAATGTTCTTGAGAGCTCTGCCCTCTTCGAGGTCGCGTGTGCGTCGCTCAGCCTGTCGATAGTCGTGGGCGACCCTCGTTCTCGCGAGGGCCTGCCAGGAGTTGCCTCCCACTGCCCTCGGCCCGCGCCCGAGGCTCTGGCGCCGACGGCGGCGACCGGCGGGACCGCGGGCAAGGCCGCGGCGACCTCTCCGTGCGGGGGCGACGATGGGGGCGGGGGACAGGCACAGGGGGCGATGCATCGACCCCCAAGATCGCCCACTGATCGCCGACAGGGGCCCGACAGCCCCACCGTGGCCCAGGAAGGTGCCCATCGCCGATCCATCGGCGATGCATCGCCGATTCCAGGTCGATGCATCCCCCCCTGCTTATGCCCATCCCCCCCCCTATCGTTGCCCCTCAGACCTCTCCGTCGCCGCCGCCCGCGGCAGTCGTCGCCGCCTGCCGCCTGCCGCCCTCGGCGCCGTGGCCCTCGGCGGTCGGGCGCCCTCGCCGCCGCCGCGTCGCCGCCGGGGCCGCCGTCGACGGCCCCGTCGCAGCCGCCGCTCCGGAGGATGGGCACGGGTGATTACCAAGGTCGGGATCCCGCAGAGGGGGTGTGCCCCGGCGTGTGTGTGTGTGAGAGAGAGAGAGAGAGGGAGAGAGTTCGATCGGTTTTGGTACCGGACCGCCCACAACAGGTGCCCCCCGGCCGCAGGCCAGCCCCCGACGATATGCCGACAGGCGGGGCATGCGGGGGGCACCTGTCTTTGCTGCGGCGGTTCGGCGCACCAGCGGATCGAGCTCGCGCCCCCCCTCAGGGTCCCCCCCCCGCTGGTGGATCCCGACGAGGGCGCCCGCGAGGGCGCGAGGCTGTGCGCGCTTCGCGCTCCGCGGGGCGGCGCCGCGAGGGCGTGGAGGTGGTCGCGCTGCGCGCAGCATGGGGCGCAGAGTGAGGCGCCCTTCAGGTATGGAAGGGATGGCGACGGATCAGAGCCCCGAATCATCAGGGGTAACTCGGGTCAGGGATAACTCGGGCTCGTTTTTCGGGAATCCAAGCCCGAGTTACCCCGGACCCGAGTTACCCCAGATAACTCGGGCGTCCAGAGCCCCACATCATCAGGGGTAACTCGGGTCAGGGCTAACTCGGATTCCTTTTTCGGGAATCCAAACCCGAGTTACCCCGGACCCGAGTTACCCCAGATAACTCGGGCGCCCAAACGGAGCCTGATCTTATGATGTTCCAGCCTACTTTAGCCCTGACCGCCAGAAAGAGTCTCGAGCGCCAGAAGAGTGCCCCCCGAAAACTCTGGGGTTTTCACGGGTCGGGCCCTGTTTCGACACCATTTCGACAGTATTTCGACACTCTTTAAAGTGTGGTCCTTAAGTGCGACGGGAGAAACGTAAGACTGATCGAGGTTTTTGTCCATATTGGGCAGGACTCACTGGCGGTGTCGCCGCGGACGGTGTCCATCCGCAACAAAGAGGCGCCTGCCTAACAGCAGCCGCTGCTGGTGGTTTGGGACAACTTTTGCTGTTGGGCAATGCGCCCGTTTGTTTTCGTACCAATTTCGGGTGTGCCCTGCCGCCCGCCGCCGCTCGTCAATCGTCGTGTCGTTCGCGTCGCCATCTTGGGCCATCTTGGGCGTTCGCATACCGAAACAGGTGAGAATTCGGCAATCCGTCAACAGCCTAAAGAGCATCACTTGCTTTTTTCTTCTCGGGCTCTCCTTTACGACCTCTTGGAGCCCCGGTTTGACGTATTGGAGGTCTCTTTGGGCTGTCTTAAGGCCGTCGTGGGAGCCTTCGGAGCGGTCTTGTGCCATTTTTTGGCTGTCTTGGTGTCGTCTTCGCCGTCTTCTAGGCCGTCTTGGATACCATTTTGGCCGTCCCGAGGCCGAAAAGACCCGGGAAAGCGAGCAACATCAGAGAGGGGGCCATGTTTTAGGGGTGCGTGCGATGAGTGGGGGTGTCGGCTCTAGAAAACATGTCTCAAACACCCACCCAGAAGAGCACTGTAACACGGACACTCCGTGCAGGCGCGGCGGCCGCTTGGGCAACGGTACGAGGGGAGGGAGATGAACATGGATCAGGATCGAATGAGGAGGGGCAGCATGTGGCAATGGCAAGAAGACGGGGGGCGTAGGGAAAGCGAGACATAGAGACGCAGCGTGGACACCGTATAGGGGGGCGTTTGCGGGATCCCCTCACGAGAGCTGGCGGGTGCCTCCTAGGAGGAGGAGGTGGAGGAGTAGGAGGAGGAGAAGGAGGAGGAGAAGGAGGAGGAGGAGGAGGAGGGAGGGGAGGAAGAAGGAGGAGCAACACTGAGAATATTTACGACGAGCAGGAGAGGATGAGCACAGAGGAGAGGGAGGGAGCAGCATAGAGACAGAGAGAGAGAGGGGCCGCCGACGAGCACGATGACGACGGCCGCGGCGGTGTCGGCGTCGCCCCATCGTCGGCGAAGAGCACCAGCCGCGCCACTATCGTCGTCGCCCTCGGCATCGGCGTCGTCGACGGCGTCGGCGCCGTCGTCGTCGTCGTCGTCGTCGTCGTCGGCGGCGCCGGCGGCGTCGGCGCCGCCCGCGGAGGCGGCCCGCAGCACCAGCCGCGGCACGGCAACGCCGGCCCGCAGCACCACGCCGCCACGGCGGGCACCGGGGGCTCGGAGGAGGGCCCCGCCCCCTGCCGCGGGCGCCCCGCCGCTCTTCATTCTCAGGGGGAAAAGAAGCACACAGACACAATTCATCGTCGACTCCCAGGAAAAGATGCAAAAATATGGGAAGATGGGGGGGAAGACAAGAACCCAGAAAATATGGGAAAATACGGGGAATCATTTTACTTGTGTGTATCTATTTGTGTGTCCTGATTTCCCTTTATCATTCAGAGCCCCGAATCGTCAGGGGTAACTCGGGTCAGGGATAACTCGGGCTCCTGTTTCGGGAATCCAAGCCCGAGTTACCCCGGACCCGAGTTGCCCCAGATAACTCGGGCGTCCAGAGCCCCACATCATCAGGGGTAACTCGGGTCAGGGCTAACTCGGGTTCCTTTTTTCGGGAATCCAAGCCCGAGTTACCCCGGACCCGAGTTACCCCGGATAACTCGGGCGTCCAGAGCCCCACATCATCAGGGGTAACTCGGGTCAGGGCTAACTCGGGTTCGTTTTTCGGGAGTCCAAGCCCGAGTTACCCCGGACCCGAGTTACCCCAGATAACTCGGGCGTCCAGAGCCCCACATCATCAGGGGTAACTCGGGTCAGGGCTAACTCGGGTTCGTTTTTCGGGAAGCCAAACCCGAGTTACCCCGGACCCGAGTTACCCCAGATAACTCGGGCGTCCAGAGCCCCACATCATCAGGGGTAACTCGGGTCAGGGCTAACTCGGGTTCCTTCTTCGGGAATCCAAACCCGAGTTGCCCCGGACCCGAGTTACCCCAGATAACTCGGGCGCCCAATTCATCGAGCACATGAGAGCCCGTAGCCCTAATGACAGGATGAAGGCGTGGCCTCTCTGAGGTCCCCGTCTTCGGATCAGGGAGGATCGGTCTGGGCGGCTTGGTCTGCTGCATCTGCAGAATGCAGCTTTAATGCCTAATGTTTTGGGCCCGCTGCAGCCCCGATGCCTAATGTGTTTGGCCCGCCTAACTTAGGTCCCCTCGCAAAAGGGGTGTGTGTGTGCGTGTGTGTGGTTGACCCTTTTTTGGTTAATCAACTCTCTCTCTCTCTCTCTCGGGGACAACGTTTGGGGGGGTACGGTCAGGAACTTTTGGATAGCGGTCGGGAATTCTCGGATCTCAGGTCCCCCGAGTTACCAAAAACGCTGGACAGTGGTCAGGAACTTTTGAACAACAGCGTTCCAGAGCGTTCCGGAACGCTCCGAGAGCGTTTCGGGACACTCTGAGAAGGCCGCGGCGCCCGAGACTTCCTCCAAGGCCGCCAGACCTCAAAGATCCTCGATTTATATCCTCACCCGAACGGATCCTCGTTCTGGCTTCGTCTCAGCCTGTGTTAATTCGTAGAAGGAGGAGGAGGAGGAGGCGGAGGAGGAGGAGGAGGAGGAACTTCGAGGATTTTTTTGAGGAGGAGGAGGAGGAAGAGGAGGAGGAGGAGGAGGAGGAGGAGGAGGAGGAGGAGGAGGGGGAGGAGGAGGAGTAGGAGGAGGAGTAGGCGGAGAAGGAAGCTCGAGGGCTTTTTGGAGGAGGAGGCGGGGGGGTGGCTCAGAGGCAGCCTCCCGCGGCCCCCAGTCTCGGAGAGGAGGGCGGGCGTCGCGGGCGTGGTCGCCGCCGCCGCCGCGGGCGGCGTCGTCGTCGTCGTCGTCGTCGTCGTCGTCGTCGTCGTCGTCGTCGTCGTCGTTCAGGCTAGAGGATCGACTCTCGAGGAGAGAGAAACAGGGTGCCCCTACCCCTGCCCTTCGACTGTTGTTTTTTCCTGTTTCGGCCTCCTGGGAGGTCCTTGGATTCGCCTCGAAGTTCTGGTAAGAGCTCACCCCTGGAGAGGTGCAGGGAGTAGCAGTATCGGCACCTTTGGTCCCCCAGACTAGGGATGTGAGGAGGCGGAGTGTGTAGTCGGAGAAGGAGGAGTAGGGGGAGCAGGAATATCCACATGAGAACGAGGAGACGGGTGAGGAGATGGAGGAGGAGGAGGAGTCTGGAGGAGGATGATAAGGAGGTGGGGGAGGAGGTGGATGAGGGGGAGAGGATGACACAGGGGGGGTGAGAACAGAGCGGTCGGCTCGTAGAAATAATTGCGGGACTGTAGGGCCTGTTCGCGAAGGGGTGGTCCCAGCAGAGTTGTTGCGGGCTGGTGCCAGCAAAGTCCCTTCGCCATTGCGTTTTTTACGATTTGCAAACAAGGTCCGATGGGAAATTACACTCACGGTCGCCAGAGTTTTGCCTTTGCGTTGCGGGTGGGCGTGTGGGATTTGTAGTGAAGCATTTGGAGTGCGCTAGCGCGCGACACCGCTCAGGCTAGCTGTCATATGCACAGCACAGACTGCATCACGCAGACTGCGCACCACGCACACAAACTGCACCATACACAGGTGCTGCATCCCACAGTTTTCGCCACACAGAAATGTACACAGGCACCCCCCAATGGATTGTTCCTGGGCCTCGGGGGAGGCCGGCGGTGTATACAATTCCATTGAGGGCCAGCGACTCTCTACCAGGGCTGGACCTAAACGGTGTTTTTGGCGATTTCGTGGACCGTTTTCGTTTCGACTTCGTGTTGCGGTAAAGGCGGATTCGAGACAAAAGCGAGGGGGAACGAGAATAAACCAAAAAGGAAGACCACTGTTTAGGTTCAGCCCTGGTGTATACAATTCCATTGAGGGCCAGCTTCTTTCTACACAGCCACCCTCCGTGCAAAATTCGTCGGAGGGTGTCTGTGCAGGAGGAGGAGGAGGATGAGGAGGAGGAGGAGGAGGAGGAGGAATGTATTGCCGTGGCGAACAGCCTGCGCCCCACGGCGTGAGCCCCAGGAGTGCACGCCGAACCTCGGGGAGAGGAGCGGGAGGAGGGAGACGCTCGCCCCCCGCCCGCCCCCCAGCGCGCCCCCGCCTCCTCCTCGTCCTCCTCCTCCTCCTCCCCCTCCTCCTCCTCCTCCTCCTCCCTCCTCCTCCTCCTCCTCCCTCCCTCCCTCCCTCCCTCCCTCCCTCCCTCCCTCCTCCTCCTTACACGTGTCCTACGAGACAGCCTCGACGATCGTCCTCCTCGTCTTCCTCTTCCTCCCCCTCCTCCTCCTCCTCCTCCTCCTCCTCCTCCTCCTCCTCCTCCTCCTCCTCCTCCTCCTCCTCCTCCTCCTCCAGGAGTGGCCGTCGACGCGGAACGTTCGCGGCGGCCTGCGCGAGCAGCCCGACGCCGAGGAGGACCGGAAGCTCGCCGAGGCTCCCGCCCTGCGGGAGCCTGCGGCCGGCCGGTATCTCCGAAGAGGAAAAGATCCCCGTTTTGCGACCCTTCCCTCGATTTTCCCAGTTTTTGGCCTCCTGTGAGTCGACCAAACAACAAACGACACCACCCCGCCTACGGCCCTTTATGTTGCGCGTGCTACGGCCCATCGGGCGACGTAGCGTATACCACGCAATATCCCAGCAAGATCTTCTGGTACACGCGAAGCCCCGCAGGGGCGCAGGTGGGTTGGTGTCGCTTGTCTTCTGGTCCAGTGAGGCCCTCGTCGCCACCGCCGGATTCGCTTCGAAATGCTGGTCAGAGTCAGAAAGCACCCAAGGAGAGGTCCGGGGAGTGGCGGCATCTGCACTTTATCGGAGGGCACCAACTATACACCAACACCGATCCTGGCCCAGGATCACCCTGGGCCCAGGATCGGTGTATATGCCTTCTTGCCCAAGGCAGGAGGGCGTATACACCGATCCTGGCCCAGGGTGATCCTGGCCAGGATCGGTGTTGGTGTATAGTTGGTGCCTTCCTACTTTACGGTTTCCCCAGGCAGCGGCGTCTGGATGCCCATCAAGAGGACCCCCCCCCCGAGGCCCCAGGAGGCAGTGGGCCGCCGCGGGGGCGCGAAGCTCTTCGCGGCGCGCGGGTCGCGATTCCTCACTCATATGTTCGTCCTTCTCTTCTCCTCCGCCTCCACCTCCTCCTCCTGCTCCTCCTCCTCCTTCTCCTCCTCCTCCTCCTCCATCTCCTGCTCCTCCTCCTCCTCCTCCTCCTCCTCCCCCCTCCTCCTCCCCCTCCTCCTCCTCCTCTCCCTCCTCCTCCTCCTCCTCCTCCTCCTCCTCCTCCTCCTCCTCCTCCTCCTCCTCCCCTCCTCCTCCTCCTCCTCCTCCTCCCTCCTTCTCCCCTTCTTCCTCCTCCTCCTCCTCCTCCTCCTCCTCCTCCTCCTCCTCCTCCTCCTCCTCTTCCTCCTCCTTCCTCCTCCTCCTCCTCCTCCTCCTCCTCCTCCTCCTCCTCCTCCTCCTCCTCCTCCTCCTCCTCCTCCCCCCCCGAGGGGCGGCGCGAGAGCGCAGAGCCGTTCGCGCTTCGCGAGGCGCGCGCAAGTGCGAAGCGCGAACACAGCTGCTGCTGCGGCGGCTTTGGGGCGCCACAGAGGAGGTCGATGTGTACACCACGTCGGGGCTCGCCTCGTCCTCCTCCTCTTCTTCTTCCTCCTCCTCCTCCTCCTCTTCCTCCTCCTCCTCCTCCTCTTCCTCCTCTGTCCTCCAGGGCTGTGGCCGGCCGCTCTCTCCGAGGCTGCCCCACCCCGTGGCCGCAGCCGCCCCCCCCCGGGGGCGGGGGGCGTGGCCTGTGGTAAGAAGGCGGCTGGCCGAGGGCTCTGATGTTCCAACCTACTTTAGCCTGGACCACGAGAAAGAAGTTAGAGCCCCCCCACAAGTACCGAAACTCATTGGCTTTCACGTGTCGGGCCCTGGCAGACACTCGTGCGACACTGTTTCGACACTGTTTGGACACTCTTTCGACATTTTTCCGGGTGCTCGAAATCATTTCTGGGATGTGATGGGAGCAACATAAGCCGAGGGCCAAAAAGGTGTGAGGGACAACAGAGGCATGGGAAAGCACGGCACAAGTTGTGCCTCCCATACCCCCCTCGCGTCGTGGCAAACATCGTGGAGCGAGGTGTTTCGCTATTTTCGGCCTCCGGGGGCCCTTACTGGGCCTCGGGACCGTCAGAACATGATTCCGGATGAAAAGCGGTCCTGGGGAAGGGGTCGGGACCTCTCGGGGTCGACATCGTGAAGCAATTCACGACGTCGTGGGCCTGGGCTATCGGCACTGAACGAGGCTCTGCGCTCGCGGGGCTCACTCTGGTCGGCGTGAGGGCCCCTCCTCTTGTGCCTATGCTACGAGGGCGGAGGGGGGCTCGGACACGGCGAAAGGGGCTTCTGGGAAGCCCGCCCCCGCCTCCCAGACGCCCTCTTGTTACCAGCATCGAACGTATCCCTATCCCTAAGGTTGACACGCCAAAAGGCGGTGACAATCCTCGGGAGCCGCCCTCCAAAAATAAGGGGATCCCCTAGATTGGCATCGTGATGAGGAGGTGCCCAGCATAGGGGATAGGGATATGTTCCAGGAGGAGGAGGAGGAGGAGGAGGAGGAGGAGGAGGAGGAGGAGGAGGAGGAGGAGGCTGGTAATCTTGCCGGACTCCCCGGTCTCGGCCGGGCCCCCCCGGCGAGCGTCGCCGCCCCCCGCCTCCGCCGGGGCCGCGCACGCCGCTACATAGACCGCGCGGCAGGCCCAGTGGCGACGAGGCGTCGCCCGCGGCGTCAGCGAAGCCTCCCGCGCGGCCTCCGCGCCGCCAGCGCACTCGGCGGCCGACTGACCGGCAGGTCGACCCTGCCAACTCAGGGGTGCCCTCGTGCCCTGCATCTTTCCGCGGCCCAGGCCTCTTCTGCACTCCGGGTGCCACGTGGCCCTCCCAGGGGGCTCGTGTCCTCCCGCGTGCCCCCCATACGGTCGACCTCGTCGGACGGGGCTTGCATTACGTCGGGCCTGTCTCCCTACAGGAGGAACATTTAAGAAGAGTGAAAAATAGTCTGGGGACTACTTTTGGAATTTTTGTTTACCATATTGGAGTATTTTTTGAATATTTTTCATCTTTCGTCCAAAATATCCCTGTAGGGGGGCAGGCCCGACTTAAGGCTTGCACGGGGATGAATCCGTTCCAGAGCGTTCCGGAACGCTCCGAGAAGGCCGCGACGCCGGAGACCTTCTCGAGAGCCGCCGGATCTCAGAGTTTCTCGATTCATCCTCACCCGATGTTACCCTCGCCCTGGCTTCGTCTTACTCTCGCGTGCCCCCCACGATCAACCTCGACTGCAGCAGCCTCTGGGTCAAGCAGTGGCGAACCGTCCTGGCTCGCCCATAGGCCCCCCAAGGAATGTTCTCAGAAGGTCTTGTGTGGTCTGCACGAAATGCTCTTCGAACTTTTCTGGCCGAGACAGTCGTGTTCTGACACATCGGGCTCATGTTCTGAGAACCTGGCGTTGTTGCCCCTCAGAACACTTTCGGGTTCGAAGAACATGTCGTTGTAGGCCTGCAGGAATGCCGGGGCGGCCGCTCCCGGCTCACCCGTGGCCCCGTCGTCCTCGCGCCGCGGCCCCCTCCTCCTCCTCCTCCTCCTCTTCCTCCTCCTCCTCCTCCCTCCTCCTTCCTTTTCTCTCCTCCACCTCCTCCTCCTCCTCCACCTCCTCCTCCTCCTCCTCCCCTCCTCCTCCTCCTCCTCCTCCTCCCCTCCTCCTCCTCCTCCTCCCCCTCCTCCTCCTCCTCAGTACTCCTCCTCCCCCCCCTGGCCGCCGCGGCGCGGCGAGGCGGCGCCCCCTCGCGGCGCGGAGGCGGGCTGGCCGAAGCGGAAGCCCGGCCGGCACGCGGGCGGCCTAGGCGGCGCGTCGCGCCCCCGCTGGGCTGGGCGGCGGCGTCGTCGTCGTCGTCGTCGTCGTCGTCGTCGTCGTCGTCGGCGTCCGCGTCTTCGTCGGCGTCGGCGTCGACGTCGGCGTCCGCGTGGTCGTCGTCGTCGTCGTCGTCGGCGGCGGCGGCGGCGGCGTCGTCGTCGGCGTCGTCGTCGGCGTCGTCGTCGGCGTCGGCGTCGTCGGCGTCGTCGGCGTCCGCGCCTTCGTCGGCGTCGGCGTCGACGTCGGCGTCCGCGTGGTCGTCGTCGGCGTTGCCCCAGGGGGAATTTTCCCAGGGGAGGGTTGGGGGTTGGGGTGGGTGGGGGGCTCCGGGGTCAGCAAGGGTGCCCTCGAGGACGCGAAGTTGTTCGCGCTTCGCGGTTCGGCTCCGGTTCCTCCTCATCCTCCTTTTCTCCCTTGGGGGGCGGCGCGAGAACGCGAAGTTGTTTGCGCTTCGAGCTTCTCGCAGCTGGGGTCAGGGGCAACGAGAAGGGTGGGATGCATCGAAGATCGATCCCCAGGCGGTTGCTATGGGTAGTTAGATCGATCCCGCAGGCGGTGGTCACGGAAAGATCCCCGCCTCGCAGACCTGGCTCCCACGGGGGGGCATTGTCCGTGCAAGTGTAGAAGTGCGGCTCGGCATGCCTGTATTCGGCGGCATCCCAATCTGTTAATACTATGCGTGCGCCGCCCCCCCCCAGGGGCGGCGCGCGCACCGAGAAGTCTTGTAGTGTATGCGCCGTGGCGGGCGCTTTCTGGCTACACCGCTCGGGAGACGAGATATTACACGATGGGTATAGTAGATGTTCGGGTCGGACGCGCGCCTCCAAGGATGACATGAAGTGCTAGTATGTCTATGTGCGTCCCAGGGAAGTGAGGGAAACGCTTAGGTGCACTTTTCAGGGACACCGCTAACCGCAAGCCCCAGATAACAAAGCATCCCTCCCGCCCCCTTACGACCTGAGTGTTGATTATCCCCGGCCGAGACAGTTTTGGTCGGCGGCGGGGAGCGGCGTGGCCAATCTTCACTATCACCGGGGAATGTACGAATCGTAGATTGGATCATCTTGTCATGAATCATCCTTGCCAACGTCCTCAGCATGCTCCTCAACATCCTCTTTCCCAGGGAAGACGTTTATTATCCTCTCTGTACCCCGAACTTTTCAGGAGGGAAGAAAACACAGACACAATTAATCGGCGATTCCTTCGAAAATATGGGAAGCTATGGGAAGTGGGGGGGAAGACACAAAAGCCCAGAAGATATGGAAGAATGTAGGAGAACCCTGCTATTTGTGTGTGTGTGTATATATTTGTTTGTGTTCCCCAGGGCCCCTTCAACTTGATTCTCCCCACCCTGTGAAAATCTCAGGGCATAGGGCTATACATAGGGGGGAACGGGCTCAGAGGAGGGGACGCACCGACCCCCCCGGTCGTCTCGCCCTTTGCCCGACTGCCGGGGAACGGCAGCCCCGCCCCGCCCAGGCAGGCGCGGCTGTGCGATCGGGGGCTACACCGCCGACCTATCGGCGATGCATCCCCGATGCCAGGTTCGAGTCGGGCGTGTCCCTCCACAGGGGGAATATTCAAAAATAGCAACCAACATATCTGGGGACTGTTTGTTGAGCATTTTTTTGGCCAATTTAGAGTATTTTGTGTGTGAGTATTTTTGGTTCGTCGACAATTCCCCTTGTCGGGGAACGCGCCCGACTCAACGCCAGGCCGATGTTCCCCCCCCATGGTTAAGTCGGTGCCCCCCTGCCGATGCCCCTCGAGGCGGGGGGGGAGGGGCGCGGGTCGCCATGGGGGGAAGACGGGTCCCGAGAGGAGCAGGTCGACAAGTGTTTCGCCGCCGTCGGGCTCGATCGGGCCCCCCACGACGGGCCGCCCCGGGGACGGCCAGGCGACGACTTGAAGGATATTGGCCCCGGGGGAAGGCCTGGAGGGCCCAGGACCCTTGGCATCGCTCGGACGTGTGCATTTTTTTTTTCTCGGCGAGGACCACTGAGGACGATCCTGGACCGTCGAGCAACAAGAAACACGCACGACACCGAGCAGTGCACGGGAACTGGACGTCCGAGCGATGGCGAGGGCCCGTTTCCCTCAGGACCCGTTGCCCCTGTGCTGACCCCCCCCCCCCCCCGCTGGGCTGGGCGGTGTCTTCTTGGAGCGCAGGGGGGCCGTCCTCTGCGCTCGGCCTCGCTCGGACGTGCGCATGTTCTGTCGGCGAGGGCCATCGAGGAGCAGCATGAGCCTTCCTGCGAGAAGGCAGCAGAGCGGGCCGGACGAAAGGGGGGGATTGGGAAAGGGGGGGGTTACGAAATCTGCTGCATTCCTCGATACATGGCCGCCTCCGGCGCCGGGAGGCGCCGGGAAAATCAGCTACGCGAGCTGATTCTCAACCCCCCCTTTGCTATCCCCCCCTTTCGCCCAGAGCGCACCAAACCGAACCGTGCACGGGGAATGGACGTCCGAGCGATGGCGGGAGTTGGCCAACAGCAACGGCAGAAACAGCAACTTTCGGGGTTCGCGCGGATTTCTTGGATCTGCGATTGGCCCCCCTGGCGGCACCTCTGGCGCCGCCCCTTGCGCGCTCCGCGCGCTAGGAAGGGGGTCCAGCGCGGATCCAAGAAATCCGTGCGGACCTCCAGAAGTTGAGATCTATGAAAGAGCGTGGTCTACCGCTGCTGGCGGAAAACCGGAGGGGTCACTGGGGGTTCCCAACCAGTCCCCCCCCCTCGAAAACAGGGGGGGTCACTACTGGTTCGACCCCCCCCCTCCCCTCCCCCTGTTCATCATGGGGGGGTCACTACTGGTTCGAACCCCCCCCCTCGCCGCTGGCAAACGATTCCCGCTCCTCGGGACAGCGGGACAGTGGTGGGGCCAGTGGGACAGTGGTGGGGACGGAGGTGGTGGGGACAGTGGTGTGGGGACAGTTGGACAGTGGTGGGGACAATGGGGACAGTGGGACAGTGATGGGGACGGTGGTGGGGACAGTGGTGCGGGGACAGTTGGACAGTAGTGGGGACAGTGGGGACAGTGGGGACTGGGACATTGGTGGGGACGGTAGTGGTGGGGACGGTGGTGAGGGCGGTGGTGAGGACGGTGGTGGGACAATGGGGACAGTGGTACAGTGGGGAGAGTGGTGGGGACAGTGGGGACAGTGGGACAGTTGTGGGGACAGTGGGGACAGTGGGACAATGTTGAGGACGGTGGTGGTGGTGGGGACAGCTGTGAGGGCGGTGGAGGACGGTGGTGGGACAATGGGACAGTGGTACAGTGGGGACAGTGTCGGGGCCAGTGGGGACAGTGGGACAGTGGTGGGAACAGTGGGACAGCTCAGTGAGACAGCGGCGGGAACACAGGGGACAGTGGGACAGTGGTGGGGACCGTGGGGGCAGTGGCGGGGACAATGTGGCCAGTGGGGACGGTGGGACAGTGGTGGGAACAGTGGTGGGGACAGTGCGGACAGTGCGACAGTGGTGGGTGCACTGGTGGGGACAGTGGGGACAGTGTTGGGAGCAGTGGGGACAGTGCGACAGTGGTGGTGGGGGTGGTGGGGACGGTGGTGGTGGGTGGAGGCAGCGGTGAGGGCGGTGGTGAGGTCGACGGTGGTGACCCGGGAGTCGTTTGCCGGCGGCGAGGGGGGGGGGGGGCTCGAACCAGTAGTGACCTCCCCTGGTTTTCTAGAGGGGGGCCGCGGGGGTTCTAACTGGCAGTGACCCCCCCCTGGTTTTCCAGACGGGGGGAGGTCGGAGGGGGGGGGGGCAGGGGAAGAAAGGAGGAGGGGGGGGGTCGAGCAGGGGGGCTGGATTTTCGGAGGGGGGGGACCCCTGGGTTCCGCAGGAAGAGGGGGGGAATTCTCCACAGTAAAGCGGCGGTGGATCACGCTTTCTCAGATTTATGCAGTTCTTGCAGTTTTTCCACATCCGGCGATTTGGCTCGGCTTCCGGGCTCGGGATCCGCCACAATTTAACACCTTCCAAGGGATTGTTCTTGGGTTTCAGGGGAGGGTGGCGGTGTATGGGTCACCACTGAGAGTCAGCGGTTCTATACACCGGCACCCTCCCTGAATTCACATGCAATGTTCGTCGGAGGGTATTTGTATATGTATAAGTAGATGCTCATACATACATACATGCATACATACATATATACATAAATATATACATACATACATACATACATACATACATGCATGCATGCATGCATGCATGCATGCATGCATGCATACCTACCTACCTACCTACCTACCTACCTACCTACCTACGTACGTACATACATACATACATACATACATACATGCATTCATGCATACATACGTACGTACGTACGTACGTGCATGCACACATACATACATACATGCATGTATGCATACATACACATACACATACACATACACATACACACATACATACATACATACATACATACATACATACATACATACACACACATACACACATACACACATACACACATACACACACATACATACACATACATACACATACACACATACACACACATACACACATGCATACATACAGTCATACATGCATACATACATACATGCATACATGCATGCATGCATACATGCACACATGCATACATGCATACATGCATACATGCATACATGCATGCATGCATACATACATACATCCATACATACATACATACACACACAAACACACACACATACGTATATTTACATACATGTGCACACATTTACATACATTTACATACATGTCCAGACATGTACATCCACCTACATACATGCACATGCATTTACATACATTTATATACATTTACATATATGTTCATGCATTTACATGCATGCACATACGTACGTACATACGTACGTATATACATACACATGTTTGTGGCTGGCAGTACCATCACTGAGCAATGCGGCTCGAAAGAAGTTATTCCCTTTCAGACTCTGACAGGGATGTTTGTATCGCATTATCCCGGCCGCAGCCGTTTCAAGCAGCGCTGGGTCGAGAAGGCGTGCAAGCGAGTCCCGACTTGCGTGAAGGTCCGATTTCATTTTCGGCCTCGCCACGCCCCCCGGCCCCCCCCCCTCCGTGCAAGTAAACTCGCCAGAGTCAGCAGAAAACCGTCTCCAGGAGGGTGGGGCTTCCCCGAGATCCGGGCGCTGCATTTCTTGCACACGGGGCGTTTTCGCCCGGTTTCAGGCCCCCGGACCATGACGGACTCACTGATGCCGCTCGAAGCATTTCGCAGAAAGATGGGGTCTGGGGATCCGGTTGTGATTTTTGATGTCACCAGTCGGCGCAGCAGCAGCAGCAGCATGAAGATGGGGAGGAAGGGGGGCGACGACGACGAGCGTAAGTCAATCATGGAGGCCTTCGCGCATTCGTCCTCGAAGGATCCTCTTGGAAGCCAAGTGGAAGGTTCCTGGAGCCATCTCGGAGCCTCTTGCTGCCCTCTGAGCTCTGCCTTCTTTGTGGGCCTCGCCCTCTTTGGGCCATCTCAGAAGGAGCCAATCAAACGAGGGGGCCGTTGACGAATCGCCCCGCCCCTGAGAAGGCCCAACATGTGGCCTCTTGCAGCTCTCCTCGGGTCCGTCTTGGGCCTCTTCATGGCCCTGTCGGGGCTCTCTTGATAGATGCTCGTTTTGGGGACCGTTCTGGGGCCCACCTAGCAGATCAGTTCGACTAAAATTCGACTCCAGCCCGACTCGAGTCCGACTCAAGTTCGGCTCAGGTTCGACTCAGATTCGACTCAGGTTGGATTCGAGTCGACGGACGTTCGACGCAGCTTCAACGCACGCGTGGAGCGGGTTGCTCCAAGAAGGTTCACAGAATGAGCATCTGAGTCTTGGGCCTCTTCATGGCCCCGTCGGGGCTCTCTTGGCCGATCTCTGGGGCACTCTGGAAGCCTCAGCGGCACATGAGAAGCAAGCTGGTGAGACACCCAAGCCATTGAAACATTGCCGGAGAATCTCCCCAAGTATGGCACCGACGGGCCCTGCATGCTCAGTTCATTGCGTTTGTGTGTTGGCATCTTACAGTCGGGGCCCTGAAGAAGGAACCCTTTTCGTTGGGGAGGGGCTCCTTGTTCCTCAATTGTTTCGCAGCTTGCCTTGGATTTTCCTTAGGTTTTCGATACGAAATCGAAGTTCAACTTTATGGAAAATAGGGGCCTCGTTCCTTATTTAGGGTTCCTCAGGTCAACGCCTCGACTGTACGAACACGCCCTCCAGGGCACGCGAGGACGCCCCCCCCCGGCTCCTGCGAGGCTCCCCCCAGCTGCTCTTGGGAGGCGTCTGCGACGCCCTGTGAGCGTGGCGCGGGCAGGGTACCCCCACATGCGCACCCCCTCTCGGTGTCGAAGAAGTGACACGCCTGCCACAGCATGCGAGCGTGGGACGGATGATTCGGGGAACCATCTCCCAGGACACCCGATCTGGTGTCGAGGAAGTGCCATGCCTGCCACGCCCTGCGAGCAACGTGTTGAGTCGGACCATTCCCTGCGCACTCCCCCGGTGTCGAGAAAGTGCCAGGCCTGCCAGGCCTTGTAAGGGTCGTGTTGGGCTTGGCGATGCACCAGGGAACTGCGACGCAACCACCCCTGCGCACCACCTCTGGGATCGAGAAAGTGTGGCGCCTGCGAGGCTCTGCGGACGTCGTGTTGGGTTCGGCGATGCGTTAGGGAGCTCCGAAACCACGCCCTGCGCACACCCTCTGGCGTCGAGAAGTGCCACCCCTGCCGATCCCTGCGAGCGTCGTGTTGGGTCGGGCATTGCGTCAGGGAAATTCGAAGCCACCTCATGTGCGCCCCCTTGTGACGGTGTGGAGAAAGTGTGGCGCAATTCAGGCCCTTCAAGCGTCCTGTTGGGTTGGACGAGACCAGAAAGCTCCGACATCACCCCGTGCGCACCCCCTCCGGTGTCGAGGACGTGCTGCTCCTGCCAGGCCCTGCGAGTGTCAGGCTGGGTTGGGCGATGGGTCAGAGAGCTCCGAAACCACCCCCTGCGCAGCCCCCTGGTCTCGAGAACGCTTGGCGCCTGCGAGGCGCTGCGGACGTGTCGTGTTGGGCTGGGCGCTGCGCCAGGGAGCTCCGAAAAACCACGCCCTGCACAGCCTCTCTGGCGCCGAGGCAGTGCCGCGCCCGCAGGGCCCAGCGATTGTCGGGTGGGGTCGGGCCGATGGGCCAAAGAAGCCCCTTCCTCCTCCTCCTCCTCCTCCTCCTCCTCCTCCTCCTCCTCCTCCTGAGTCCCCAGGGCAAAAAAAATACACCAGAGAGAAGCCCCAATAAGTGGATGGTTTGATCGATGAGGAGATCGACCGGGAACCCCGGCACCCGGAACCCCCCTGCATCGGCCCGGAACCAATAACCAGGAATCCAGTAACCCGGAACCAGGAACCCGGGAACCCAGCTGGCCACCAACATCGGCGGGAAACTTTCGCCAAATCTTTCAAGCTCCGCTAGGACCCCTTCAGTGCAAGCACTGATTGGGGAATAGCACTAGGACATCGACGTCCTACTTCCTGGCGAGGTTTGAGGCAGTCCAGATAGCTCCATGGTTCTGGAGTGCTATTTGTTTTTTGCACTCCGGAAGGTCAGGGGGCACGGGGGTCCATGCAGAACGGGGGCCAGCCAGAGAGCGTCGGATCTTGCAGGATCCTGCGGGGCCACGGGTTGGGGTGCAGGATCCTGCAGGATTGCTGCAGGTTCCAAGCCTGACGGACCCGGGTCTGGATCGGCCCGGGGCAGTAGGTTCCCGAAAACGACGGAACATCAGCCCTCTGTTCATCGAGAGCAAGAAGAACCCCTAACCATAATGACACGATGAAGTCGTGGCCTCACGGAGGTCCCCGTGTTCGCATTTGGATAATAATTCTGGGCGGTTTCGTTTGGCACATCTGCAGAAAGACCCTCTATCCATAATGTTCTTGGTCCTCCTAACTGAAGTCTCCTCCCAAAGGGTTAGGGGTCCTTCTAAATCAAGTAGATCCCTGAGCGCCAGAACACATCCCCACTGCGATCCGACATAGCGACAACATTGCAACATCGCGAAAAATCACGCCCGGAGCCCTAGGCCTATCTTTCTGCATCATTTTTCGAGCCGGATCGATGTGAGAGGGTCCCAGGGCCCAAAATTTTGCGAGAACGCCAACATGGAGTCTCCAGGACCCTGACCTTCCAGAGTGCTAGAAACATAACACTCCAGACCTATAGATCGACCTGGACGGCCTTACACCTAGACAGGAATTCGGACGTCGACGTCCTGGTGCTGTTTTTCTTAGCCCTTCTGGAAGGTCAGGGTCCTTTACACCAGAGGGGGTGCGCAGTCGGTCGGCGTCGGGGACCCCCTTGGCGCAAGGAGCGCCCGACCCGACACGACGCTCGCAGGCCGCAGCAGGCGCCGCACCCGAGGTCGATCTCCTCATCGATCAAACCATCCACTTATTGGGGCTTCTCTCTGGTGTATTTTTTTTTGCCCTGGGGACTCAGGAGGAGGAGGAGGAGGAGGAGGAGGAGGAGGAGGAGGAGGAAGGCGCTTCTTTGGCCCATCGCCCGACCCAGCCCGACGCTCGCTGGGCCTTCCAGGCTGCGCTCAGGGCACCTCCGGGAGCCCCGCGCGCCCGCGGAACAGGCAACGTGCCGGCGCCCTCCGTCCGGCGCAGCCCGGACCCGGACGCCTGGCAGCAGGACCGGCGGGGCTCCCTCTCTTTGGGCGGCCGGCGGGGCGGGGAGCGTCCCGCGCCGCCGCCGCCGCCATGCCGCCGCCGCCGCCGCCGTCGCCGCCGTCGTCGTCGTCGCCGTCGTCGTCGTCGTCGTCGTCGTCGTCGTCGTCGTCGTCGTCGTCGTCGTCGTCGCTGTCGTCCTCGTCGACGCCGTCGTCATGGCCCACGGTGGTCGCGGGGCTCCATGCTCCCCCATCCTTCCGACGGAGACCTCGCCTCCTGAAGACGGCCCTTGGGCTCAGGACCCGTTCCCCTCAGGCACCGCTTCCTCCTGCCGATCGTCGTCGTCGTCGTCGCAGTCGTCGTCGTCGTCGTCGTCGTCGTCGTCGTCGTCGTCGTCGTCGTCAACGCAGTTAACGCAGTCGTCGTCGTCGTCGTCGTCGTCGTCGTCGTCGTCGTCGTCGTCAACGCAGTTAACTCAGTTAACGCAGTCGTCGCCGTTGTCGTCGTCGCTGAACTCTCATTCCTATCATTGTTGATCCCCCCTCCGGTGCCCATTCTGGTGCCCAATGTCTGTTTGTCCACTGAAGTGCCCCTCCCAGGGCTTGCACCATGTTTCTTACAAGGGAAACTGTTGAGGTTCAGATTGCCCCCCTGGCCTCCGAATTACAACAACGGCTCCCGCCTGATACTCCCTCACACTTTATTCAAAAATCGCGGTCTCGCGCCGAACTGCATCGCAATGTACGTAGGAATCGCGGTCTCGCGTGTGATTTCTTTGCAGTTTATTGAGACCCCGCGTCCTCGACAATCAGGAGCCACGCTCTGGCTTTGGACTGAAGGGCGAACAGTCTTAGAATGAGTATTGAATATTCACTCAAATAACCTTTGTTGATCCTCCTCTCCAGCATTGTTTTATTTCACCCTCCCAGGGCTCGCACCCTGAGCAAAGTTTGGTGTCCCCAACATGCGTTGGTGGTGCCGGTTTGCAACAACAACAACGGATCTCGCCTGATATTTCTTCTCACTGTATTCCAAATTCGCGCTCTCGCGGGAGTTCTTTACACAGTATGCAGGAATCGTGGTTTCACGTGGGACTTCCTTGCAATGTCTTGAGACGCCGCGTCTTCGACACTCAGGAAACACGCTCTCGCGTTCGCCTTTCTCACGCTTTACTTGGGAATCGTGCTATCGCTCGACACTTGCTCGCGATTCATGCAGACCTCACGCTTCAGCAACCCGCCTGCTCGACCTGGCCGCCTGGGCCCGCCCCCCTACCCGCCCTTTAGCTAGGGTCTGCCCGCGCGATCTGCCCGGCTGGTTTTGCCACGTGTTTTCTGATCCTAGCCCCCCTCCTGGTTATCTCCCTCGTGTTCCATCTTGTTCCTTCTTTTCCGACACTCCCGCTTCTCGCCCTCGGATTAGACCCTCGTTCCATCTTTTCGGCAAAGGGACGGAGTCTTCACTCTCATTTTTCCGACCCTGCCGTTTATGGAGACGCCGCGCCTTCGACGCTCGAGAATCGCGCTCTCGCTCTGGGCTTCCTCGCGACTCATGTTAGTCAGGAGGGAACAAAACACACAGACACAATCAATCGTCGACTCCCAGGAAGATATGGGAAACCATCGGCAGTGGGGGGGGAAGACAGGACACCCAGAGAAAATATGAGAAATTATGGGGAGTCTTGTTACCTGTGTCTATGATCTTGTGTGCCCCAGGGCCCCTTCAGCTTGCGACTTTCGAATCGCGCCCTCGCTCTGGACTCCCTCGCTCTGGACTCCCAGGAAAATATGGGAAAAGATGGGAAGTGGGGGGGGAAGACAGGAAACCCAGACAACAAGTGCAGAAGATGGGGGATCCTGCTACCTGTGTCCACTCACCTGTGTGCCCCAGGGCCCCTTCAGCTGGAGCGACCCGCCCGGCCGACCCGTGGCCGCCTGAGGGCCCGACCGCCCGACCCGAGCCCGTGGGGGTCCGCGCGCCCGGCCGCCCCCTGGTCCGGTTTTTGTGCCGCCTTTGCGCTCCCTCCGGGGGCCTCGAGACGGGGGTCATTACCAGCCTCGAGCGTATCCTGATCCCTAAGATTGACACGCCAAAAGGCGATGACAATCTTAGGGATTCGCCCTCAAAACATTGGGGAATCCCTGAGATTGGCATCGTGATGAGGAGGTGCCCAGCATAGGGATAGGGATATGTTCCAGGCTGGTAAGGTCAATGTAAACGGGGGTCGGCCAGAGCGCCGGATCTTGCGGGATCCTGCAGAACCAGGGTCGCACTGACCCGGGTTTGGGTGCAGGATCCTGCAGGGATCTGGCAGGAGCCTGCGCATGGACCCGGGTTTGGGTGCCGGTTCCTGCAGGATTTTGCAGGGTTCTGCAAGGCCTGACTGACCCGGGTCTGGATTGACCCGGGTCGGAAGATCCCCGACTCCTGCTCCTAATTCTCCAGGAGGGGAAAATAAGACCCACACAGGCACAATGCATCGCCGATTCCCCAACAAAAGTGTGGGAGAACATGTGGGAGGCGGGGGGGAAGACAAGAACCCAGAACATGTGGGAACATGTTGGGGACTCCTTTTTTATTTGCGTGTATTTACTTGTGTGTCCCAGGGCCCCTGCATAACCTCTCTCCTGCAAATCTCTGTCCTGCTCCATCCGCGTGGTCTGCGTGGGTGCGCTGTCCTGAGGCAGGCGGGGGGGTCTTTCGGGCGACTCTCTCCACGGCGTGTGCGCGGCTCCCACGCTTGTTAAACTGGCGTCCAAACGGTTTCGCCCCTCAGGATGCAAGTTTTGCAGCATTCGTTGTCCTTTTGGAGTCCACCTGGAAGGTCAGCTGACGAGGGATCCCATGAGCATGTCTGTCTGTCTGTCTGTCTCCCTCCCTTCCCCAGTTGTAGGGGCTGCGCGATCCTCTCGGGGTTCGCGCTATCGCTCGACACTTCCTTGATGCGTATGTCGGATTGGCGCTTCGGCGACCCGTCCCGCTCGACCCCGCCGCTTGGGCCCGCCCCCATCGACCCGCCCGTCTGGTTGTGCCGCGTGTGCTCCTTCTTCTCCATTCCCCCCCTGTCTCTGCCCTCCTCCTCCTCCTCCTCCTCCTCCGCCTCCTTCTCCTTCTCCTTCTCCTCCACCTCCTCCTCCTCCTCTTCCGCCTCCTCCTCCTCCATCCCCCCTGTCTCTGCCCTCCTCCCTCCCTTCCCCTGTTTTAGGGTCTACGCCAACTGCACGTGGCAGGTAAGGAAGATGCACCCTCTAAGTGTGGCGCGATTGAACACGAAGAGGGCGGCGATCGAGTTTTTGTGGGATATACATGGTGAACGAATAGTCGCGCATTGATTGTTGTCGTTGTTGTATTCGCCGTTTGTTGCCGCCGCCGCCGTCGGCGTCGTCGTCGTCGTCGTCGTCGTCGTGGGCAGTTGTCGACAGCGGACGCTCGTCGAGAGCCGACAGTCGTCGTCGATCAGGCTCCGAGGTTCGAGTAGCCAGCTTGTTCATTTTTCCTGGCCCCTCATGGGGGCCTCTAGAGGCCTCTCGGGTCCCGCGAGGGCTTCCTGGGGCCTCTGGACCTGCGAGGACCTCCAGGGGTGTTCGGAGACCTTCGTCGCTGTCACCGTGGATGTCCGCTCCCAGCGACTCCCGGACTTGCTCAGTGAGGAGGAGGGGGCGGCGGCCCGGAGTGTCTCGATTTCGTGCTGAGCCCTTTTGCCGAGCCACGCTGACCATGTTTACCATCTTGAACATGCTGTCCTGGAGACTCCAAGTCACTCCCCAGACCGTGCTCGTACTTCGAGGGGCTCTCTCTCTCTTAACCTCGGGAACGGCATATGGGTCCGCCCAGGTCTCGCCCGGCGGGCGCCCGTGGGCGCCCGCGGTGGGTCCGCTGTGAATTGCGCCGCGTGGTCTGCACCACACGTAGCGTACACCAGACATCTTCCACCGTATTCTGCACCACACAGGTTGCACCGCATAGCTCGCACCATCTCTCTCTCTCTCTGTCTCTGTCTCTCCTTGTATCTATACATGTGTATGTATACGTACATGTATAGTTACGAAGAGTGTGTAAGTTGCATTACGTAGCTTACACCCAGCGCGTGTATATATATATACACACAAACATATATGTAAATATATACGTAGCACCCCGCAGTTGCGGATAAGAGAGAGGGGGCGGCGGGTATATCGGCAGTCTGCGAGGCTCTGAAGAAGCCCGCCGCAGGCGCATAATTTTTCAAGCTATAAAACGAGCCCGCCGCAGGCGCCGTTTTTTTTATTAAAATAATCAAGTGGGTCACGGCTTGGGTCGCAGGTGGGTCGACGGCGGGTCGCGGGTGGGTCGCGGGCCAGGTCGCGGTGGGTCGCGGGTGGGTCGCGGGGTGGGTCGCGGGTGGGTCGCGGGATGGGTCGCGCGTGGGTCGCGGGTGGGACGACGTCCACAAACAACCACAACATCAACAACAGCAACCACCATCACAACAACAACCTCACCACCACCACCACCAACAACAACAACAAAAACAAGCATAATCCTCACCACGGATCCCCTTGTCAGCCACGCACCCAGGGACAGTCAGTGACCGTTCGGCCCCCTTCACTCTGATACATATATATATATATGGTTGTTTGTATGTATGTATGTATGTATGTAGGTAGGTAGGTAGGTAGGTAGGTAGGTAGGTATGTAGGTAGGTAGGTAGGTAGGTAGGTATGTAGGTATGTAGGTATGTAGGTATGTAGGTATGTAGGTATGTAGGTATGTAGGTATGTAGGTATGCATGCATGCATGCATGCATGCATGCATGCATGCATGCATGTATGTATGTATGTATGTATGTATGTATGTATGTATGGATGCAGGTTTGTTGGTTTGTTTGTTTGTTTGTGCATGCATGCATGCATGCATGTATGTATGTATGTATGCATGTATGCATGTACGCATGTATGCATGTATGCATGTATGCATGTATGCATGTATGCATGTATGCATGTATGCATGCATGCATGCATGCATGCATGTATGTATGTATGTATGTATGTATGTATGTATGTATGTATGTATGTATGTAAGTATTCATGTATGTATGGACGGACGGACGGACGTACGTACGTATCTGTATGCGAGAGAGCGTGATCCACCGCCGCTTTTCCGTGGACCCCCCCCTCTTCCTCCAGAACCCGGGGTTCCCCTCCCCCCCCTCCGAAAATCCCTCCCCTGCTGTACCCCTCCTTCCCCTTCTCCCCCGGCAAACCCCCACCCTTCCCTATAACCCCCCCCGCCCCCCCCCCTCCAGAAAACCGGGGGGGGGTCACTACCGGTTCGAACCCCCCCCCCCCTCCGGAAAACCGGGGGGGTCACTTCCAGTTCGTTTTCCTCCCCCCCCCCCCCCAGAAAACCAGAGGGGGGTCACTTCCGGTTCGAACCCCTCCCCCCGGGGCCCTCCCCCTGGAGAACCGGGGGGGGGTCACTACCGGTTCGAAGGGGTCACTACCTGTTCGAACCCCCCCCCACTCGAAAACCGGGGGGGTCGCTACCGGTTCGAACCCCACCCCCCTTCGAAAACCGGGTGGGGGGTCATTACCGGTTCGAACCCCCCTCCTCCAGAAAACCGGCGGGGGGGTCACTACCGGTTCGAACCCCTCCCCCCCCCTGCGCTCCGCTCACCGCCAGCAAACGACTCCCGGGTCCCTACCACCGTCCGCACCACATCCACTGCTGTCCCCAGCACCACTGTCCTCACCACCACTGTCCCAACTGTTCCCCACCATCGTCCCCACTGTCCCCACGAGTGCCCCCACCACTGTCGCACTGTCCCCTCTGTCCCCACCACTGTTCCCACCACGGTTCCACTCTCCCCACTTTCTCCACGGTCCCAACCATTGTCCCACTGTCCCACTGTCCCACCCACTGTCCCACTGTCCCCGCCGCTGTCCCACTGAGCTGTCCCACTGTTCCCACCACTGTCCCCACTGTACCTCTGTCCCAGTGTCCCACCGCCGTCCTCGCCACCGCCCTCACCACTGTCCCCACCACCACTGTACCCTTCACTGTCCCACTGTTTCCATTACATTCCCACTGTCCCCACACCGCTGTCCCCACCACCACCGTCCCCACCACTGTCCAACTGTCCCCACTGTTCCCATCACTGTCTCCGCTGTCCCCACCACTGCCCCCACCAGTGTCTCACTGTCCCCACTCTCCCCACCATTGTCCCACCACGGTCCCACTCTCCCAGCTTTCCCCACGGTCACCACCACTGTCCCACTGTCCCCACTGTACCCATCACTGTCCCACTGTCCCCGCCGCTGTCACACTGTGCTGTCCCACAGTCCCCACTGTCCCCATCACTGTCCCACTGTCCCCACTGTCCCACCACTTTCCCCACTGTGCTACTGTCCCACCACTGCCCTCACCACTGCCTTCACCACTGTCCCCACCACTCCTGTCCCCGCCACTGTTCCACTGTCCCCACCACTGTCCCGCTGTCCCCTTACCACTGTCCCCACCACCACCGTCCCCACCACTGTCCGTACCACTGTCCCACTGTCCCCGCACCACAGTCCCCACCACCACCGTTCCCACCACTGTCCCAGCATCCCCACCATTGTCTAACTGTCCCGAGGAGCGGGAATCGTTTGCTAGCGGCGAGGAGGTGGGGGGTTCGACCCGGTAGTGACCCCCCCCTGTTTTCAAGGGGGGGGGGTTCGAACCGGAGGGGGGGGAGGAGGGGTTCGAACCAGTAGTGACCCCCCCTGGTTTTCGAGGGGGGGGGGGACGGGTTGGGAACCCCCAGTGACCCCCCCCCGGTTTTCCGCCAGCAGCGGTAGAACAATCTTTTTCTCGTAAGTATGTGTGTATGTAATGTAATGTAATGTAATGTAATGTAATGTAATGTAATGTAACGTAATGTAATGTATTGTAATGTAATGTATTGTAAGGTAAGGTAATGTAATGTAATGTAATGTAATGTAATGTAATGTAATGTAATGTAATGTAATGCGCTGTAATGCAATGTAATGTAATGTACTGTACTGTACTGTAATGTAATGTAATGCAGTGTATTGTAATGTAATGTAATGTAATGTAATGTAATGTAATGTAATGCAATGTAATGTAATGTAATGTAGTGTAATGTAATGTAATGTAATGTATTGTATTGTAATGTATTGTAATGTAATGTAATGTAATGTAATGTAATGTATGTATGTATGTATGAATGTGTGTATATATAGCTGTCTACATATCTATATATATATATCTATCCATATATGTATCTATATATCCATATATCTATCTATATATCTATATGTATGCATGTATGTATGTCTGTATGTATGTATGTACGTATGTATGTATGTATGTATGTATATATGTATGTATGTATGTATGTATGTATGTATATATTTATGTATGTATGTATGTATGTATGTATGTATGTATGTATGTGTGCACATACATATATGTATTGATTTGCCTAACTTGCAACTCATACATTGCGCCACGCACATTGCACCACAGAGGTCCGGCCACAGATATGACGCCGTTTTGGGTCCATGCTTGCAGATCTCCGACCATAGTTTTCAGTAACTCGTGCTGCCAGCACCCAGGATCCAATCTTTGTCCAGACTTGCCACTCCTGTAGCGAAGTGGCCAAACCCTGGCCTATCGCCTTTCTTTCTCTCTCTACCCCTCGGTAGTGCGCCGGTCGCCCCCAGTCCGCCCCCCCCCCCGCGAGAACAGGGTGGCGTGGCACTGCACGTGAGCAAAGCACAACTTGGGGTCGTCTGCGCCGACATTGGCGCGTACAGTGAGCCCGCATAGGAAGGATGGGCAACGTTCCCAAGGGGCCCCTGGCATCCTTGCCCCTTCGGCCGATCCTTAGCGACTTCCACTGGTCTACCTCGTTCGAAATCGCCAGCCTGGCCCTCCGAGGCCCTCCAAACCCTTACCGCGCACCCTCAAAATGACACGGGCTGACTGTGAACTGCCCGCGCATTGCCTCGCGCAAGCGCCTTCGTCTCAAAAGGGTAGCGTGCTGAGCCGGCGGCCCGCGTGAGCCGCAGCGCACGGTCGCGCAGGGCCCGCTTCGGCTCGCCGCTCGCGTGGACTCTACCCTTCCGTGCTGCGGGGCCCTGTTCACGGATCATTTCGATTCCTCCCGTTCGATGCGATTCGATCTCGATGGCTTCCGATTCCGATCCGATGCGGCTTCGAATTCCGATGCGGGCTCCGATTTCTCAACGGAGGCCTGCCAGGCTGCCGATGTCTGCCGATTCGACTTTCCCGACTCGGCGACTCGGCTGCCGATTTCCGTCGATCCGAGTCATGTCGATTGCCGATCCGACTTGTCGATTCGATTCTGGGCTCTCCTGCCATGGCGCCGCCAAGCAGCAAACTCCGTGTCGGGGGTTGGGCCTTATCCCGATCCTCCGTGCTTGTCTGGTTTTGTATCTGTTTTCTGAAGTGTCCTCTCCTTCGGGGGCAAATCATGGGAGCCTTGTGGACCCTCGTGATACAGTTTTTCGCATGTATTAGCGTCGCTTGGCGTCTGGTAATCGACGAGGCAGCGTCGACTTGCGTCGATGAGCGTCGGCTACTGTCGACTTAGCATCGATGGGCGCCGCCTTAGCATCGACGAGTGCCGATCCGCAAAAACCGACAAGATGGCACGGGTGGCTCTAAGGATTTGCAACCAAGCGCTCCAACCTCCCTCCTCTCGGAGGATGCGCAATGTGGGGGGCAATTCACATGGGGGGGCAGCGAGGGCTGCCGAAAAGGGTGCCCTGAAGGGGGCTCAGAAAGGGGCCCTTCATGGCCCAAGAGGGGGCCTGCAGAGCCCGACAACGGTACCTTTCTCCCCCCCCCCCGCTGTATAGTGGAGACCACTGCCAAGAAACGCCCTGCTTGCCTCCAGGGTGCTCTGGGTTCCTTGGGTTCCGACGGCCTCGCCACGGAAGGCGCGACGCTCCCACGCCAGGAGCCACTGGACATCCTGGGGTCTCGGGGTGGGGCTTCTTGGTGGAAGGTTTCTCGTGGTCGAGCTCCTGCTGCGTCGCCCCCCAGGAGGAGGAGGAGGAGGAGGAGGAGGAGGAGGAGGAGGAGGAGGAGGAGGAACTCGCGCCCAGCACCCTCCCCCGCGCAAGGAGGACGCGCTCGACGTCGCCGCGCGCCCGATCCAGCGTGCGCCCCCCCTCTGCCGCGCGCCCTCCCCTCGCGGGCCTCTGCGGGCGCGGCCTCTTGCGGCCCGCGCCCGCCTCGGGGAGGGGTGGGGGGGCTCCCCGCCCTCCTCCCCGCCCATGTCCCTCCTGCCTTCGATCCTTCCCTCCCTCCCTCCCTCCCTCCCTCCCTCCCTCCCTCCCCTTTCTTTCTTCCTCCTCCTCCGCCTCCTCCGCCTCGCGGCCTTCGCTTGACCCGCAGCCATTCTCCAGCTCAGGGGCGGAGGGCTCCCCTGGGAACGGAGTGGGCACCTCTGTCTGGTTCGAGGCCAGGCTATAAGAGCTTTCCACACCACGATCCCCATCACTAGGTTCCCTGCGTTGGTGGGTCTGTCTTTTCAGTCATTGCTCCCACAGGCCCGGGTAAATTGAGGTCTTCGTTCCGTTTCTTGTGCTTATCTGTACTGGAGCAATCATGGCAGCAGTCGACGTTGACATGATCGAGGCGTTGCTTGCGGCGGCCCTGCAAGCAACTAAAATCAGGCTCGCGACCTTCACTGAGCAGCGTTCCAACACCATGATGGTGACAAATAATCCGGCGAGAAGGCCACGACATCCACCGATGTCTTTAAACAGATGACGGACTTCAAAGAGGCCCTCGAGGCACAAGCCACCAGGTTCAGTACGGGCGAGATGAAAGCAGCTATGGACATCAACGTAGAGGACGACTGGCATTTCGGATTGGAGCGTGGGGAAGCTGTACATCGTTCCGCCTGTATACCATTCAGAGAGCTTTCATCTTGGCTGAGCTTGAGGCAACGCTGCCGAATCTCGAGTCGTTTGTCAATTCTCATCCTGCTTCAGTGGCCGGTTCCGTTCTGCTGGATCTACGCGTGTGGATCCATGGGCCAGCTCCCTAATATCATCACCATACGGCAGGGCAGGAACACGAGGAAGATCTGGATACGTGGTTGTCCCCGTTAACTGACGCATGAGGCGTTCAATCACAATTTCCTGGATATCCGTTCGAAGATGACCCTATCATATTCAACCATGTGCAAGTTTCAGGACCAACAGCTACAGCAGCCAGTCCGAGGATGAAAGTCATGGTTTGCTGTTCTACTCGGCGGCGCGCGCGGACCCCAAGATGCTCGCATGGACCGACCACAGGGTGGCGGAGGTCGTGGCCTTGCCTGCAGGCGGGGTGCAGCCGCTTCCCATCCGGCTCAGGCCTTGCGCCATCAGCCAGCGCTGGCAGCCGGTGAAGCACAAGTTGCGCGCGAGGGACCTGTTGCTGCCATCCATGCGCTCCTCCTCTGGTCTTTGAGACCGATGCGGGACGTGTCTGGTTTGTTGAAAATTTCTAGTAAATGTGGGCCTCCAGCGGCTAGTAATATTCACATCGGCTCCGGGATCCGCAACGCGAGGGTCCACGGAGCGATGCGCGGCTTGGCGCGCACGCTCCCCACAAAGAGTAAGCGTCTATAACGCGTCTTGCCGTGGGTTCGAATTTTCCCGAGCCAGACCTGCGGCAGGCGGTCGACTTCGGCGCCTCGTTGCCAGCTTCCGACGATGTCCTGTGGATTGAGTTTGCCATCTTGCTCGGGGGCTGCGCCGAGATCCGTCTTTTGCTGAGGCCGCCCGTCGTGCGACGTTGGGTGACCTCGCGACAAGCGCGCATACTTTAGGAGGAAAAAAAAAACACAGACACAATTAATCGTCGATTTCCCAGAAAATATGGGAAAATATGGGAAGTGGTGGGGAAGACAAAAACCCAGAAAATATAGGAAAATATGGGGAATCTTTTTATTTGTGTGTATTTATTTGTGTGTCCCAGTTTCCCTTCAATACTGGGTCGCATTTACGGTTCCGCCTCCACTGCTGAGATGGTCGGTTGGAATGGCAGGTCCAACAGTGTTGGCTCCGCTTGCGAGCGCCTCGGAGGTTCGGGTCACACTTGCCTTCGCGCACCCCCCCCCAGGAATCCCGGGCGAGCATCTCTTCGTCGATGGAGTGCTGAGCGCCCTATTGAGGGCGCGGTCGGCGCGATCGCGGATGATGTTGAATCCAGCGGAGGTCCATGGGAGCGACGTGTCGAGTGCCAGGCCGCCATGTTCGCTGCGAAGGTCGTTTCAATCCAGCAGATGGTCCGAGCCGGGCCTCGGGCGGGGCGCGGACGCGCTGCTGTTTGTCTTCGCCTTCTCTGCGCGCGTAGAGAGCATGCTGGTCCAGCGCGTCAGAGGCGTTTCCCTCGCGGCGCGAACCCGCCCACTCACGAACGCGGTGCCGCAGGGCTGGGAGCTCTTCCCCCGGCGCCGCCACATTGTCCAATGCCGCGCGGCAGCGGAAAGTACGCGGGCGATGGTTGCGCCAGACGCGCGCGCACTGCGCTTCGGGTGTCCACGCCCACTTCGCTTGTTCTACTGTGACGCTGGAGAGCGGCATGTGGATCAGCGTGCGCGCCCGCTGTGTGCCGTGCTTGTCCCCGCGCTCGCGCCCGCGACCCGCGTGAGGCACCTGGCAACTTGGGGGGCGCCCCGAGCGAAGCCGCGCCGAAACCACGCGCGACGCAAGGCCAATTGAAAGGGCGTCCCAAGCGACACCGCGCCCGGACCAGAGCGAGCCGAGCAGAGTGGGGCGTCGTCCCAATTCGAAACCGCACCAGGGCCAAGCGAAACCACACGCCGCGCGAGGCAGTCCCAGGCGTGGCCGGGCGAAGCCGGGGCGACGCCGCAGGCAAGTGGCGAGGGCGTCTCCGGCGAAGCCGCGGCTGCGCCGAGCGGAGCCGAGCAGACTGCGACGGCGTCTTCCGCGGCGCGGGGGGCGGAGTCGGTCAGGAGGGAACAAAAACACAGAGAGACACAATTCATCGTCGAGTCCCAGGAGCATATGGGAAAAGATGGGAAGTGGGGGGGATGACAGAAGCCCAGAAAATATAGGAAAATATGTGGAAAATGTTTACTTGTGTGTACTGATTTGTGTGTCCTGGGGCCCCTCGAGTCCGGGGCGCAAGCGCGCCGGCGGCGGGGGCGTCGCCGGCGGGTTGGGCCGCGCGGTGGGGCCGCGAGGCAGGCGACGCCAGGGGCGAGCCAGGCCAAAGGTGAGGGTGGGGCCACCGAGGTCGGCGGGGAGGCGCTGGGGTGGCTGCAGGCGGAGGGCGGCTGTGCCCTGCCGGCTTGCTGGTCGGGCCGTCCCTCCCCCGTCGCGGAGTGCGCGGTCGCGTCGTCGTGTGCGGCACGCCGTTCGAACCTTTCCGGGGCAGGGGGGCGCTGCTTGCCCCTGCCGCCGCAGCGGCTCGGCGGATTTTCGCCGCGCACCAGCTCCCATTTCCCCTCTCCCTTCCCGCCGCCGTCCTCCTCCTCCCAGTCCTCCTCCTCCTGCACTCTTATCACTGGAAGTCTTCGCCAAGTTCGGGACCCGGGTACGAGAGATGCTTAGGGTCTAGGGTTTTGGTGTATAGGTTTTTCGTCGTGATGCTGCAGTGTGGCCGCCACGCCGGATCTCATAACCGCCCCTCGTCCACAACTGCTCAGTATGAGTGCTGTTGCCCCCTCCTTGCGGGTATTTTCCAGTGATGGCGCCTCTCCTCTCGCGGATTGCTTCCTTCACTCATCATTTAAAACGCTGATGTGTGGTATCGTTTCATTCGATCGGTCTGTTTTCGGTCGTCCGTGAGTGCGTGCTGGGTGCAGCGCTGGCAACTTTTCAGGATCGTCGCGTTGCCCCTGTCGTCCCGTTTTGCGCCCCCCCCATGGCGGCAAGATTTCCAGGTAGTTCAGTCGTCGTCGTCGTCGTCCTCGTCCCCCTCCTTACCCAGGTCCTCCGCCTTATCCTGGACCTCCTGCTCGTCCTGCTTCTCCTGCTTCTCTAATTTTGCCTTATCCTGTTCCTCCTGTTTCTCCTGATTGTCCTTCCCCTTCCTTCCCCTTATCCTTGTCCTCCTGTGCCCCTTTTTTTTTTATCAAGTCTGCCTACCTCCTCCCTTCCGGGTTATCTGTCTTGCCCCTTCTGCTTTTTCTTCGAGCTTCTGGCGCCATCTTCTTCGTCATCGCCGCTTCCTTGTCCTCCTCTGCACAAGCCCCCTTTTCTGCCTGTTCATCGCACGGTGGGGTCGCTCTGGGAGCCGATGCTCTCTTTCTAAACGCTGCTCCTCGCCCCTTCTCATCATCATGGTTTCTCCCTCTGGTTGTCTCCCTGCTCATCCGCCACCTCCTCGTCCTCCACTGGGCAAGCCCCTCCTTTCTTGTTGTGCATCGCACGGGGGCGTCGTTCTAGGGACCGAGGCCCTCTCGTAGATCCGATCGGTGGACGGACGAGACTTCCGCGCAGTGCGAAAAGGCTGGGAGGGGGGGCAGGCACAGGCTGTCAGGCACGCTGCGGGCGCGCCTGGTCTGCAGCGCCCCTCCCCCGTGGTCATCATCCCCTCGTTTCTCTGCCCCTCGTCCTCCTCCTCCTCCTTCGCGCCCTCCCTCCCCTCCTCGTCCGCATCCCCTATCTTCGCTCTCCTCCGCCGTCTCCTCGGCTGCGCCGGGCGCCCGCCCCCTCGCTACGGCCTCCTGCTCGTGCGGTCGGGGGGGGCGTCCCCGCCGAAGTCGCGGCGGGAGGTGCGACGGAAGGTGGGGGCCTGGGGGAGGGTAGCCAGGGCCCTGCTCCTCCTCCTCGTCCTCTTCCTCCTCCTCCTCCTCCTCTCCTCCCCCTCCTCCTCCTCTCCTCCTCCTCCCTCTCCTCCTCCTCCTCCTCCTCATCCTCCTCTCTCCTCCTCCTCCTCCTCCTCCTCCTCCCCTCCTTCTCCCCCTCTCCTCCTCCTCCTCCTCCCTCCTCCTCCTCTCCTCCTCCTCCTCACTCCTCCTCCTCCTCCTCCTCCTCCTCCTCCTCCCCCCTTCTCCTCCTCCTCCTCCTCCTTTTCCTCTCCTCCTCACCAGGTTGGTTATGGTCCTCCTGTGCTACCGTCCTTCGATAACAGTTTCGAGTAAAAGGTCGACTGCAGAACTGTCTCACCCCAAATTTTACATTTGGCAGATCTGCGAAATAAGTGTGTAGAATGGGCTATAGATCTATGAAACATTCTACGCATTTATCGTCGGTTCGACGAACATATGCATTCTGGGGTAAACCAATTATGTTGTCGATCTCCTACTCGGTTCCTTCGACGACGACGACGACCGAACAGCGACGAGCAACGGGCGACGATAGCGGCCTCTAAGCGTCTCCGGAGGCCTCGGTCGGCGACCTTGAGATCCGACCTTGATATCGTGAAATATTCGATCAGGGCCCTGGACCCCATCTTCCCAAAGCCCTCTCGAGTCGTGAAAAAACGCAGCGGAGGGTTTTGCTGTATTTTCAGCTTCCGGGTGCCCTTATCGGGCTTCAGGACCATCACAGAACGACTCGGGATGAAAAGCCGGTTCCAGGGAAAGGGGCCGTGACCTCAAGGGGGCCGACGTAGTGAAAAAGATCACTGCGTCGGGGCACCCCATCCTCCTGCGGCGGGTTCCGAGCCGCACCGATCTGGGATGGCCCGGGGCCTGGCGCCAGGCAAAAGCGACGACAGACGGGCTGCGGGCGACGACGGCGGCATCCGAGAGACCTCCAGGCGCCTTCGGTCTCAGACCCTCGACTTGCCTCGATCTCTTTTTCACCGCGGGGACCTCTCGAGGTCCAGGCCCTCTTCCTGGAGGGGCCGGCTTTCGCACCCCGAGCCGTGCTCTTCGAGGGCCCAGGGCCCAGCGGGTGCCCCTGGAGGCCGAACACAGGCAGGGCCGCGTCCGTCGTGTTTATTGGGGGGTGGGGCGACGCGGGTTAACTCACAAGGGGGTCCAGCGACAAGGGGGTGGTGCAACAGAATTAGACTAAATGGACTGTGTTGCAACCCCACAAATCTATTGCACCAAATCATTTGGTGCAATAGAGTTGTGGGATTGCAATACATTTGGGGGCCTGCAGTGCGTTCCGCGGCGCAGATGCATTGCTGGATCTTCGCGCGCAACGCACTAACTACTTGCAACACAAGGCAATCGATTATTCTTTGGCGCAATACGCTTGCCCCACCTCTATCGGGGAAACGTAAGACTCGAGTTAGCCGGAACTCGGGTTTGCCGACTTTTTTTTGACGAGCGCGTCCTGGATTTTGACGGTCCGTTTTCGTGGGATGTCTGCAGCGGGAGCCCGCGTCAAATATCAGATTGGGTCTCGTCATTTGTATGATGGTCCCCGTCAGGCCAATCCGAGTCCCCCGTACCCGAGTCTTACGTCTCCCCGACTCTATTGCACCACCCCCTTTCAGCTGGACCCCCCTTTGGGCCACCTGGTCACCCAAAGCGACCCGAGGGGCTCGGCTTGTCGGGCCATGCCTCGGGTCTCCACGGGCTCTTCTCGCGACGGTCGGGTCGGCGGAGGCGCGGGGCTGCTGGAACGCTCCCCGAGGCGCCGAACATTGCCTTATGCCGGGCCTATCCCTCCACAGGAGGAGTATTGCAAAAACAGTAGAAGTAGTCCGGGGACGATTTTTCTGCATTTCTTGCACCACGTTTGGGTCTGTACTTTGAGCATCTTTCACTTCTCTTCTCGTCCAAAATCCGCCTGTGGGGGGACACGCCCGACCTGAGCAGAACCTGAAAGCCCCAACAAGCGGAAGGGGGCCCAAGGCTTCCGTCGGCGGCGCGAGGCGGTGGCGGCGTCCCCCCCCGCGCGCGCGCGACAGTTGGCGGCGGCTTCGGCGGTGGAGCCGCCCCCTGGGGCGCCGGCGACTGGCATGGCCTGGGCCACGGTGGCCCCCCGCTCGCCGCCGCGGTTCTCCAGCCGCCGTAGTCCTTCGTCCTCGTCGTCCTCGTCGTCGTCCTCGTCGTCGTCGTCGTCGTCGTCGTCTTCGTTTCGTCCTCGTCGTCGTCCTCGGCCTCCGTTGTCGTCGTCGTCGTCGTCGTTGTCGTCGTCGTCGTCCTCGTCCTCGTCGTCGTCAACCTCGTCCTCGTCGTCGTCCGTTGCGTCGTCGTCGTCGTCGTCGTCGTCGTCGTCGTCGTCGTCGTCGTCGTCGTCGTCGTCTCCCGCTTCCTCATCTTCCCTCCCCTGCCCTCCTCCCCCTCCTCCCCCTCCTCCTCCTGGACCTCGACCTGGGCCTCTCGACGTGGGAGTCCGTGGTCGGACGCTGCCTCCCCCCTCCTGCTCCCCCCTCCTCTTCCCTCCTCGAAGAAGGAGGAACGGCGTGAGCATTCACTTTTGGCGCTCCGCGCGGATTTCTTGGATCCGCGCTGGGCCCCAGCCCGCGGCGCCCCCGGCGCCGCCCCTGGCGCGCTCCGCGCGCCAGGGAGGGGGGGTTCCAGCCGCAGCTCCAAGAATCCCGCGTGGAGCGCCAACAGCTTATGTTTGTGCGGGTGCTTCTTCTTTTGTCCTCCTCCTCCCTCCATCTTCCCTCCTTTCCCCTCCATCTATCCTCCTCCCCCTCCTTCTTCTATCCTCCCTCCTCCATCTTCCACCTCCTCCGCGGCGCCCAGGCTTGGGAGCTGGCCTCCGCCGCCTCATCCACTCAGCTGCCGATCTTCCCTTTTCCCCCGTCCCTCCCTCGGGGTGGAACGTCTTCATGAAGTCGGGCTTGTCCCTCTACAGGAGGGATATTCAAAAATAGTAAAATAGTCTGGGGACGATGTTTTGATTATGTGGGTATTTTCAAATTTTTCGCCCAAAATCTCCCTGAAGGGGGGGACAGGCCCGACCGAAGTCTTGGCCCGGGTGGCTCTTGACCGCCAGGCAGGGCGGAGCACAGACGCGGGCCTGGCTGGCCTTTGAGCTGCACCAGGGGCCCCGGTCGGCGCTGCGGGGCACGACGCTGCTCCTCCTGCCGAGCCGATCCACTCGGATGCTCCTCCTCCTCCTCCTCCTCCTCCTCCTCCTCCTCCTCCTCCTCCTCCTCCTCCTGGGAGGTCTCGAAGTCTGACTTTGCCCTGGTCCGAAATCCGGCTTCATTTGGCTTGCAGGGGAGGCCCATGCCAAGAAACCCCCTTGCTTGCCTCCAGGGATCCCTGGGTTTCTTGGGTTTCGATGGTTTTGCCATGGAAAGCGTGACGTTCCCACCAACAATCAGTGGACGTCTTGGGGTCTCAGGGTTGGGTTTCTTGTGGAAGGTTGCTTGTAGACTGGCCTCCACTGCACCCCGCTTGATCCGGCTCAATCTGCCTTACTCCCGCCTCATCCCGCTGACTTCGCGGCCTCCTCCGGCGCAGCGGCCCCCCCCCTGGCGCCTCAATTTCCTTCATTTTTCCGACGAGGACCTCCCAGCAGCTGCCGCCCAAGATTCAGGAGGGAAAGAAACACACAGACACAAATAATCGTCCACTCCCAGGAAAATATGGGCAAATATGGGAAGTGGGGGGGAAGACAGAAACCCAGAAAATATAGGAAAATATGGGTAATCGTTTTATTTGTGTATATTTATTTGTGTGTCCCAGGGCCCCTTCAAAGATCCGCTGCCCCCCCCCCTCCTCGCGCAGGGCTGCACCGCGCGCTCCGCGCGCCCCGTGCCCGCGCCGGCCCCTGCGCGCCCTGCCCCGTGCTGGCCTCCTGCGTGCCCCGCCCTGCGCCGTGGCGCCCCGCCCTGCACAGGCAGCGCGCGCGCGCGGTCGCGAGCGCGCCCGCGCTCAGGCGGCGGCGGCGGCCCCAGCCCCGGGGGACAGGCGGAGCTGGCTCCAGGCGGCGCCTCTCGTCGCCGTCGTCGTCGCCGTCGTCGTCGCCGTCCTCGTCGCCGTCGTCGTCGTCGTCGTCGTCGTCGTCGTCGTCGTTAACGCAGTCGTCGTCGTCGTCGTCGTCGTCGTCGTCGTCGTCGTCGTCGTCGTCGTCGTCGTCCTCGTCCTCGTCCTCGTCCTCGTCCTCGTCGTCGTCGCTGCCGGCCCGTCGTCGCCGCCGTCGTCGTCGTCGTCGTCGTCGTCATCGTCGTTGTCGTCGTTGTCGTCGTCGTCGTCGAGCCGTGGTCGAGGATCGTGCCGGAGGCCCGGAGGTTGACGCCGTCACCGGTGTCAGCGGTTGCTCCCACCGAGGGGAGGCGATCCCGATCTCGGTGATGGTGGCAGTGCTCTGGCCCCCGAGGTGGCCGAGAGATCACCACCGAAGTCGAACTCCAGGACCGTCTTCCTCCAGTGAAGGCAGCCCCCTGCGCGGGCACTGGTGCCGATCTCCATGCCCCAAGTCGGGGGATCTATCTTTTTGGGGTGCCTGGGGGGCCTTTCGGTGCCTCCTGCAGGCTCCATCGCCACGGTCGGATCCCCTTCGAGATCCTGGCCTGAACGACCCCCAGGGACAGTGCCTGGTGGGTGATCGCAAGGAGAAGCCCAGACCTTCCAACGTCCAGAGATCTCAAGGAGCAGCTTTCGGTCCTTGGGATCGTTGTTTGTCTGTAACTACTTGATCCCTCTCTCCAGAGACTTTTTTTTTGTTGTTCTCTCTCTCTCTCTCTCTCTTTCGCTCTTTCGAAAATTCTCTCTCACCCTCATTCTCCCTCTCTCTCGCGCTCTCTAATTTCTCACACTCACGCACTATTGTTATGATAATGGGTTTGCCAGCGCGGGCCCCAAGCAGTGGGTGCTTGCATCATGCTTCCCCCAATTATGTGCAGTATTCATGGTGTAATCCGTGCATGATTGGGGCAACGGGTGCGAGCATCGGGAGGACGAGGACGAAGAGGAGGCTGAGGACGAGAGCGAGGAGGAGGCGGCAGAGGAGGAGGAGGAGGAGGAGGAGGAGGAGGAGGAGGACGAGAGCGAGGAGGATGCGGAAGAGGAGGAGGAGGAGGAGGAGGAGGAGGAGGAGGAGGAGGAGGGCATCCTTCCCGCAAGAACACGCGTGCGGGCCCGCGTGGTGTGCGTGTCCATCTGCAGCCGCTGACCTTCTTCGCTGGGAGTGGGGAGGACGCCCACGCCAACGCCCGATCCAGCCCGCACCCCTCGCCCCGCGTCCCTCCCACTCAGAAGCCAGGCGAAGGCTGGCAAACCCGTGGCTGCCAAAACGGAGCTCCGGGAAACTGTTTCTTTCTTCTGGGAAGCGGCCCTTCTACTATCGAGTGCGCCGAGGTTTCTGCCGGGCATCTTTTTCCCAACCATCCTGTGGTGTTGGGTCCTCGTTTTGAAGAGACGGTGCCCGCGTCCTCTCCTCTCCTCTCCTCCTCTTCCCCCTCCTCCCTCCTCCCCCTCCTTGCCTCTGCTCTCGGCACACCTCTCACGCGTTTCGTAGCCCCATAGGGAGCTCCACCGAAGGCCCCAGTGGGGGTGTCCACATGCGGTTCCCCCACCCAGGGCAGCGTTTCGTAGCCCCAGAGGGAGCTCCACCGAAGGCCCCAGTGGGGGTGTCCACATGCGGTTCCCCCACCCAGGGCAGCGTTTCGTAGCCCCAGAGGGAGCTCCACCGAAGGCCCCAGTGGGGGTGTCCACATGCGGTTCCCCCACCCAGGGCAGCGTTTCGTAGCCCCATAGGGAGCTCCACCGACCGGCAAGGCTGGGGGAGGGGTGTCCACATGCGGTCCTACCACCATAGGCAGCGTTTCGTAGCCCCATAGGGAGCTCCACCGAGGCCCCAGTGGGGGTGTCCACATGCGGTTTTTTTTCCCCCACCCAGGGCAGCGTTTCGTAGCCCCAGAGGGAGCTCCACCGAAGGCCCCAGTGGGGGTGTCCACATGCGGTTCCCCCACCCAGGGCAGCGTTTCGTGGCCCCATAGGGAGCTCCACCGAAGGACCCAGTGGGGGTGTCCACATGCGGTTCCCCCACCCAGGGCAGCGTTTCGTGGCCCCATAGGGAGCTCCACCGAAGGCCCCAGTGGGGGTGTCCACATGCGGTTCCCCCACCCAAGGCAGCGTTTCGTGGCCCCATAGGGAGCTCCACCGAAGGCCCCAGTGGGGGTGTCCACATGCGTTTCCCCCACCCAGGGCAGCGTTTCGTAGCCCCATAGGGAGCTCCACCGAAGGCCCCAGTGGGGGTGTCCACATGCGGTTCCCGCACCCAGGGCAGCGTTTCGTGGCCCATAATTAAACAACAACCAGGGAGCTCCACCGAAGGCCAGAGTGGGGGTGTCCAGATGCGGTTCCCCCACCCAGGGCAGCGTTTCGTGGCCCCATAGGGAGCTCCACCGAAGGCCCCAGTGGGGGTGTCCACATGCGGTTCCCCCACCCAGGGCAGCGTTTCGTGGCCCCATAGGGAGCTCCACCGAAGGCCCCAGTGGGGGTGTCCACATGCTGTTCCCCCACCCAGGGCAGCGTTTCGTGGCCCCATAGGGAGCTCCACCGAAGGCCCCAGTGGGGGTGTCCACATGCGGTTCCCCCACCCAGGGCAGCGTTTCGTGGCCCCATAGGGAGCTCCACCGAAGGCCCCAGTGGGGGTGTCCACATGCGGTTCCCCCACCCAGGAGCAAGCGTTTCGGTGGCCCCATAGGGAGCTCCACCGAAGGCCCCAGTGGGGGTGTCCACATGCGGTTCCCCCACCCAGGGCAGCGTTTAGTGGCCCCATATAGGGAGCTCCACCGAAGGCCCCAGTGGGGGTGTTTGCATGCGTCTCCCCTACCCAGGGCAGCGTTTCGTGGCCCCATATAGGGAGCTCCACCGAAGGCCCCACTGGCGCAGTTCGCATGCGGTTCCCCCACCCAGGGCAGCGTTTCGTGGCCCCATAGGGAGCTCCACCGAAGGCCCCAGTGGGGGTGTTCGCATGCGGTTCCCCCCCCCAGGGCAGCGTTTCGTAGCCCCATAGGGAGCTCCACCGAAGGCCCCAGTGGGGGTGTTCGCATGCGGTTCCCCCACCCAGGGCAGCGTTTCGTGGCCCCATAGGGAGCTCCACCGGAGGCCCCAGTGGCTGCTCTCGCATGCGGTTCCCCCACCCAGGGCAGCGCTTCGTGGCCCCATGGGGAGCTCCACCGAAAGCCCCCGTGGCGCAGTTCGCATGCGCTCCCCCCAACCAGGGCAGCGTTTCGTGGCACCATAGGGAGCTCCACCGAAGGCCCCAGTGGCGCAGTTCGCATGCGGTTCCCCCACCCAGGGCAGCGTTTCGTAGCCCCATAGGGAGCTCCACCGAAGGCCCGCCCCGGCGGCGCAGTCCGCATGCGGTTCCCCCTATCCAAGGCAGCGCTTCGTGGCCCCATATGGAGCCCCACCGAAAGCGGCACCCACAACGCGTTACCAACAATTGCTTATGGTTGGGTCTTTCGCCAGGATAATTTTGCATCTTCCGGGAAGACCGTCTTGGCAGCCACGGATTTGCCGGCCCTCGCCCTTGGTCTCTCCCACGCTTCGCCCCGCGCCCCCCCTGCCTCCCTCGAAGAAGGATTACAAAAAACGAAGGATTGCAAAAAATCCGCAGGATTGCAACCAAAAATCCCAAGGCTTTTTTCCCAACCATCCTGTGGTGTTGGGTCCTCGTTTTAAAGAGACCCGTTGCCCGCGCCCTCCTCTCCTCTCCTCCTCCATCCCTCCTGGGTGTTCGCATGCGGTTCCCCAACCCAGGGCAGCGTTTCGTGGCCCCATAGGGAGCTCCACCGAAGGCCCCAGTGGGGGTGTTCGCATGCGGTTCGCCCACCCAGGGCAGCGTTTCGTGGCCCCATAGGGAGCTCCACCGAAGGCCCCAGTGGGGGTGTTCGCATGCGGTTCCCCCACCCAGGGCAGCGTTTCGTGGCCCCATAGGGAGCTCCCCCGAAGGCCCCAGTGGGGGTGTTCGCATGCGGTTCCCCCACCCAGGGCAGCGTTTCGTCGCCCCATAGGGAGCTCCACCGAAGGCCCCAGTGGGGGTGTTCGCATGCGGTTCCCCCACCCAGGGCAGCGTTTCGTGGCCCCATAGGGAGCTCCACCGAATGCCCCAGTGGGGGTGTTCGCATGCGGTTCCCCCACCCAGGGCAGCGTTTCGTGGCCCCATAGGGAGCTCCACCGAAGGCCCCAGTGGGGGTGTCCACATGCGGTTCCCCCACCCAGGGCAGCGTTTCGTGGCCCCATAGGGAGCTCCACCGAAGGCCCCATTGGGGGTGTCCACATGCGGTTCCCCCACCCAGGGCAGCGTTTCGTGGCCCCATAGGGAGCTCCACCGAAGGCCCCAGTGGGGGTGTCCACATGCGGTTCCCCCACCCAGGGCAGCGTTTCGGGGCCCCATAGGGAGCTCCACCGAAGGCCCCAGTGGGGGTGTCCACATGCGGTTCCCCCACCCAGGGCAGCGTTTCGTGGCCCCATAGGGAGCTCCACCGAAGGCCCCAGTGGGGGTGTTCGCATGCGGTTCCCCCACCCAGGGCAGCGTTTCGTAGCCCCATAGGGAGCTCCACCGAAGGCCCCAGTGGGGGTGTTCGCATGCGGTTCCCCCACCCAGGGCAGCGTTTCGTGGCCCCATAGGGAGCTCCACCGAAGGCCCCAGTGGGGGTGTTCGCATGCGGTTCCCCCACCCAGGGCAGCGTTTCGTGGCCCCATAGGGAGCTCCACCGAAGGCCCCAGTGGGGGTGTTCGCATGCGGTTCCCCCACCCAGGGCAGCGTTTCGTGGCCCCATAGGGAGCTCCACCGAAGGCCCCAGTGGGGGTGTTCGCATGCGGTTCCCCCACCCAGGGCAGCGTTTCGTGGCCCCATAGGGAGCTCCACCGAAGGCCCCAGTGGGGGTGTCCACATGCGGTTCCCCCACCCAGGGCAGCGTTTCGTAGCCCCAGAGGGAGCTCAACCGAAGCCCCAGTGGGGGTGTCCACATACGGTTCCCCCACCCAGTGCTAGCGTTTCGTGGCCCCTATCTAGGGAGCTCCACCGAAGCCCCAGTGGGGGTTTTTGCATGCGGGTTTTTGCATGCTCTCCCCCACCCAGGAACAGCGCTTCGTGGCCCCATGGTGGCTCCACCTAGGACACAGGTTTGCCTGTCCCCCCCCCAGCATCACCAAGGAAAGCGTTGCGAGGAGGAGGGGGGGGGTGGGGCGATTTGGGAGCCTCCCAGGCGTCTTCGGACGCCCAGAAGACCGCCGTCTTGGAGCGTCGGGAAGCCGAAAAGAGGAGAACCCCCAAATTCACAAATAACCCGCAGAAAATCAATCTTTTTTGCCTCGGGGGGCCTTCTTGGGAGTGCTCTTGGAGGCCTCTTTGGGGCCGTCCTGGAGGCCTCTTGGGCCATCTTGAGGTCACGTCGGTCACTCTTTGGAGCGCTCTTGTGCTGTCTTGGGGGTCTCTGGGACGTCTCCGATGACCCCCTCTTATCGCCCTAAGTGTGCTGGGAAGGCTTGGCAAAACGCCTTGCGAGGCCCGGTGGCCGCTTCGAGCCCCGTCCGTAGGGCCCCAAAGCCCCAGGTCCCGGGAGTCCAGTTTTTTTGGGGGGGGGGATGTGTTTCCCCCCGCCCGGGCTTATACAAATATAGGAAGAGGAATATATATGTGTATATATATATATATATATATATATATATATATATTGGTTTTTGAAATCCACAGGGTAGGTGACAACTGGCACATCTCATGCACAAGGGGTTGCCTACAGTTCTCACAAACATTGTTCTGCGACGCGCATAGAAACAATATTCAAATCTCCCCTTTCGTGAATTCTCATGAGTGATCTTGCTTGTAACTTGTAAAACAGGGATCAGGGGGTACCTCGCTCACACAAGGACATCGACTTCAGAGCCAAGCAATAAACATGCACTTGTGATCCACACGATTGGGTTCAATATGCACATCCACCACATCCTGGGTTCTATTCTATAACCGCGCACTTGGATGTTTTAATGCCCAAACTACCAGTGGAATCAACGTGTAAGTCGCCCACAGGAATTGAAATGCGTCTCCTGACGAAGTGACCACTTGGAATACACAGTGATAATCAATGTGTAAGTCTGCTACAAAAGGACTTCCTTCTGAATAGGAGCCAGACTATCAAATGGGAGGAGGCCAAGAAAACAACAAAACAAACACAAACAAACTTAGCCTAGCGAAGGACCCAACCATATGCAGTTGTGGGTATCGCATTCGGTGGGGCCCTCTATGGGGCCACGAAGCGCTGTACTGGGTGGGGGGACGCATGCGAACTGCGCCACTGGGACCTTCGGTGGAGCTCCCTATGGGGCCACGAAGCGCTGTACTGGGTGGGGGGGGACGCATGCGGACGGTAGCACTGGGACCTTCGGTGGGGCTCCCTATGGGGCCACGAAGCGCTGTACTGGGTGGGGGGGACGCATGCGGACGGTAGCACTGGGACCTTCCGGGGGAAGCTCCTAATGTTCACGAAACGCGGCCTGGGTGGGTGGTGTGGGTGGGGGGGGGGGGGGGGGGGCCGCATGCGAATTGCGCCACTGGACCTTCGGTGGGGCTCCCTAGGGGCAACGAAGCCTGCCCTGGGTGGGGGAACCGCAAGCGGACTGCGCCACTGGGACCATTCGGTGAGCTCCTATGGGCTACTTAAAAAGCGCTGCCCTGGGTGGGGGAAACCGCATGCTGCTGTGCCACTGGCCTTACGTTGAGCTCCATATGGGGCTACGAAGCGCAGCCAGGTGGGGGAACCGCATGCGAAACTGCGCCACTGGGACCTTCGGTGGGGCTCCCTATGGGGCTGCGAAACGCTGCCCTGGGTAGGGGAACCGCATGCGGACCCTGCCACTGGGATCGTCGGTGGAACCCCCTATGGGGCTACGAAACGCTGCCCTGGGTGGGGGAAACGCATGCGGGCTGTGCCACTTGGACCTTCGGTGAGGCTCCTTATGGGGCCACGAAACGGTCCTGGGTGGGGGAACCGCATGCGGGCTGTGCCATTGGGACCTTCGGTGGGGCTCCCTATAGGGTCACGAAACGCTGCCCTGGGTGGGGGAAGCGCATGCGAACTGCGCCACTGGGACCTTCGGTGGGGCTCCCCTCCCTATGGGGCCACGCAACGATGCCATGGGTGGGGGAACCGCAGGCGGGCTGTGCCACTGGGACTTTCGGTGGAGCTCCCTATGGGGCTACGAAACGCTGCCCTGGGTGGGGGAACCGCATGCGGGCTGTGCCATTGGGATCTTCGGTGGAGCTCCCTATGGGGCTACGAAACGCTGCCCTGGGTGGGGGAACAGCATGCGGGCTGTGCCACTGGGACCTTCGGTGGAGCTCCCTATGGGGCTACGAAACGTGTGAGGGGTGTGCCGAGAGCAGAGGCAAGGAGGGGGAGGAGGGAGGAGGGAGAGGGCAGCGGGAGGAGAAGGAGACGCGGGGCACCGTTTTTTTTTTCTTCTCGAAACGAGAACCCAACACCACAGGATGGTTGGGAACTATGGATGTGTGGTCTACACTTTTTTGCTACCCCCCCCCCCGCCCCTGCCGCCAGAATACAACACAAACCAAACATAAGGACGTCAAACCACACGTTACAGTTTGTTGGTGCCTCCTTCCAGACTTTTCGGGGCTCCCTTTCAAAGGGAATACTTGTGGACAATTTGCAATGTCATCCTGATTGTGTGGACTACACACGGCATCCTTTTTAGAGGGCAATGATCTCGACTTCGTTTGTGGGCGATAGTTTGTTTGATCATGATTGTATGACTTCTAGTGTTCTGTCCAGCCTTGTAGTCATATTCCTTTGTGTAGCATATTGTCGTAGATTTGCACATTTGTTATTTTTTTTGCGCGCTGCAAATTCGAAGCTTTTGGCGACTCAACATTGTAGTATCTTGTTTGTGAACGATATACTCATTGCTTTGTGTTGCGCGGGGCTGTAAGGATGCAATGTTGTGCGTTGGGTGGATGTCGGTTTGATTCGTATTGTATGTGTACTACACGTGCAATATTGTTGTGCGGTGTTTGAACATGAATTTCTGTGGGCGAATTACACGATGATTCTTTCGTAAGGCACTCACACTGCGATTTCAAGCGCGCGGGTCTTTGAAACGATTTGCAGAACATTACGCCGCGCAACAAACCACCAAACAAAGCAGATCAAGCGAACAGCACTTGAACGTCGAGAAGCCGAGTCGCCATTGTGGGACCTCTCTGAGGCCTTTCTCGGCTGCTCTTCTGCCACTTTGGTGCCTTCCTGGGTCGTCATGAGGCTCTCGTGGGGGCCGCCTGGCTGCCTTGGCCGTCTTGGGGCCTTTTTGGGGGCCCCTTTGGTTCGGACGATCCTGAGGGCTTTGAGTCCACGCCGAGGCCTTCTTCGACCGTCTCTGGGCGGCCTGGGGCCATTTCCCTGACCTTCCAGGAGGAATAAAACATAACACCAGGACGTCGACGTCGTAATTCCTGTCGAGGTTTGAGGCAGTCCAGATGCATCCATCGATCCGTGGTGGCTTTTTTTTCACCACTCTGGGAGGTCAGGGCGGCTCGAGACCCACCGCGGCCGCTCAGGATCACTTCTGGAGCAGATGGCCCCCGCGGCGGATCTGGCGAGACTCCGAGGATGAAAAGGTGCCCACATCTCTGCCCTCCCCTCGTTCTCCTTTTCTTTGGGGGCCTCCTGGGTCTCCGTCGCCGCCCCCGCTGGACTCGCCTCGACATCCTGGCCAGGGCGCACTCCAGCTGAGGTCTGGGGGATCGCGGTATCGGTGCCTTGTACTTTCTCCAGGGGCCCCTTTCCCCTCCAAGCCGACCGGGACTGGCTCTCGGGGTGGGCGGGGGGGGGGGGGGGGCAACCCAGGGTCGGCGGATGATTGCTTCCCGACGCGAGGGGGCCGTTTTTTTATGCTTTTGCTGCGCAGCGCCTCGATGTGCCCATGTATTTGCTGTCAAAAGACCGACGCGAGAGGGTCTAGGGGCGCCGCGCGCGCCGCTCGCCGCCGCACGCCACCGCACGCCGCAGCCGCAACGCCGCCGCACGCCGCCGCCGCACGCCGCCGCCGCACGCCGCCGCACGCACCAGCCGCAACGCCGCCGCACGTTGTCGCCGCACGCCGCCGCCGCACGCCGCCGCAGCCCGCCGCCGCCACGCCGCTGCACGCTGCCGCCGCCGCCGCCTGCCGCCGCACGCCGCCGCAGCACGCCGCCGCCACGCCGCTGCACGTTGCCGCCGCCGCCTGCCGCCGCACGCCGCCGCTGTAGCCGCCAGACAGGGCTCGATTCGATTCGATTCGACTTTGATGTATTCCGATTCGCTTCGATTTCGGATTCCGATTTGGGCTCCGATTCCTCACTGGACGCACATTAGCCTGCCGATCTCTGCCGATTCGACCTGCCCCGACTCGGCCGCCGATCTCCGCCGCTCCTACTTCTTTCGATCGCCGATGCGATGCCTCGGCTCGGCCCTGGGCTCCCTTGGCCAGAGGCCGCCAGCGCCTCCTCCACCGACTACGCCGGGTCCTCCAGCAGCCGGGCCTGCAGCCTCGCCGGCAAGGCGGGCCCCGAGGCCGCCGGCCCCAGGGAGCCGCCCGCGGAGCAAAAGCGTAGCCCAGGCCCCGTCGCGTCGTGGAGGCGAGAGCGCGCCTGGTTCCTTGGCATCGCTCGGACGTGTGCATTTTTCCTTGGGCGAGGACCTTCGAGGAGCATCCTTGATCATTTGGCGAAAAAGCCACGCGCGAAACCGAAAAGAGCACAGGGAATGGACGTCCGAGCGATGGCGAGGTTCCCGGGCGACGGCGGGCGTTCCGTGCCAAGGGGGGGGGGCGCGGGCGACCGGCAGCGCCACGTGTCGCGGCGCCGCCGTCTGAGCATGTTCTGGAATAGCCGCCCCGACCTTCCCAGAGCGCCAGAAAGCGGCACTCCAGACCTATATAGGTCTATCGGGCCTGCCTCAGATCTCGACGGGAAGCAAGACGCCGACGTCCTGGTGCTGCTGTGTATAGCCCTCCTGGGAGGCCAGGGCAGAGCCAGCTCGGAGGCCCGCACGGCTCGTGAGGTTGCCCGGGGGGGGGGCAGGGTGGCGGCCCGGGCCAGCCAGGCGGCCGCCGTCGCGAGAAGCGAAGACAAAGAAACGCTCTCCGAACGCGACGGGAGGGTTTCGGTATGGCCAGGACCCCAGGGAAGCCAGGACCCCAGGGCAGGGGGCCCCAGAAAACCGGGTATAGCCAGGACCCCAGGGAAGGGGGCCCGGTGAGTGGTAGGGCCCCGGAGCCCCGAAATCGGGCAGGTCTGCCGTCGTCGGTGCTTTTGGTCGGGTGGCGGCAGTTTTGTTTGCGGAACGGGGCGGGGGGGGGTCCCCCAGTGCACATCATTAAACCACAGGTCCCTTTAAACCCAGTTCTGCCAGCGCCCGAATGCCTTCTGGACGGTCTGCGCGGATTGGTTTGTATCTGCGCAGGCCCGCTTTGGCGCAGCCTCTGGCGCCGCCCCTGGCACACTCCGCGCGCGTGGGGGGGAGGTCCAGCGCAGAGCCAAGAGAAATCCGCGCGGACCGTTGAACGTTTATGTTTATGCGTTCTTCTTCGCGTAGGTCGGGGGTGGACAGAACCCCCAACAGTGACACGTCGATTAGTGAATTGTCCGTCTTCGGTTCTCGAGATGGCGCCGTGGCCGTTATTTTCCAGGCTTGCGCCCGCCAGGTTTGGGCCTCAGGTCGTTTTCACTAAACCACGTTTTACTAAAGGGGGGTCTGTCCATCCCCGAGTAGGGGTGGGGCATGTTTCAGCCTCCAAGGGCCCTTGTCTGGCTTCGCGGGATCGCCAGAAAACAACTCAGGACGAAAGCGGGCCCCCCTTCCCCCGCTGGGCCAGCTTGCATCGACGTACACCCGAAAAGGCGAGAAGGGGCACAAGTCTATAAGATATTGCACGACAATCCGTAGTTGTTGCTTCTACGGACCTTCCAGCGAAATTGCGGCGAGTAACGATGTCTGCCAAATTGTCGGATCATCCATTGATTGGGTGGTTTTCCCTGGCGTGGTCATTTTCCAGAATTCCGCGCGGATTTTTCGGACCGGCTCCCGGGAGTCGAGGGGGGGGGGGGCCCAGCGCCGATCCGAGAAATCAGCGCGGAGTTCCGAAAATTGTGTTATATGCAGTTTTTCTTCCGATGCAGGAGGGTGCTCCTGAGGGCCTCTCCAGCCTGGGCGCCAGCCTGCACAGGCGGGGCGAGTGCACGCCGTGCAAATTCATCCGCTCCCTCCGCGGCTGCCGCGACGGCTCGATGTGCATGCTCTGCCACGAGCCGCACGAGGAGCTCTCGAGGCATCCAGGGGTCAGCGTTGGGGGGGGGATGCTACTCGGGGTGGGGGGCGCATCGGCACAAGATTGCTTCTCGATCGCCGAGGGGGTCCCGATAGCCCACCGCCCAGGCACGCACGCTCCCTCCGCGGCTGCCGCGACGGCTCGATGTGCATGCTCTGCCACGAGCCGCACGAGGAGCTCTCGAGGCATCCAGGGGTCAGCGTTGGGGGGGGGATGCTACTCGGGGTGGGGGGCGCATCGGCACAAGATTGCTTCTCGATCGCCGAGGGGGTCCCGATAGCCCACCGCCCAGGCACGCACGGCTCCGTTGTCGAGAGCCCATCGCTGATCCATCGGCGATGTGTCGCCGATGCCAGGTCGATGTCTGCCCCTTCGAGCCGACGCCCACTGACGCTGTTTTTCGCTGGTGTCTGAGACTTGTCATGATCTGTCCGTCAGTGCCGGGGAACGGTACGGGGTCCACGCTGGCCTCGCCTCGTTCTTTCGGTTGGCCCCGACATTCCTCCGATAGTTCCGATCTTTCTCGCTGGTGTTCGGCGATCGTCAGATTTTCCCCGAAGTCGCCTCATTTCGAGGCCAAGGTGGACAAAAGTCCCAAGAGTGGGAGCCCACGCCAAGAATCACCATGCGGTTAGCCAGGGTACCCTGGGCTTCATTGATTTGTCTTCGGATTGAAGGGTTGCAGCGGTCGCGAAGAAATCGCAACTGGCAGGGTACCGTGAGGGTGGTGACGCTGCGATGCTTTGCGCGAGTCATTCATAAACCTCCTGGCCCAGGATACCCTGAGTTTCTTCGCTGGCAGCCGCTGGGCAAGAAATCAAGCCCTCGGCGGAGAAACTTCGGCGATTTTTTATGCTTTGGTCTCCTGCGACGGGTTTCTCGTGGATTGGTGTTGACTGTTGCAGCCCTCCCCCCCTTGGCGTTGTCCCTCGAGGTCCGCGGTGAGGAAGGCCGCGCGCACCAAGGGCCTGCTGCGGCGCTCCATGATCGAGAGGGCGGAGGTCCGGGGGAGGAGGAGGAGGAGGAAGCGGAGGCGGAGGAGGAGGAGGAGGCGGAGGCGGAGGAGGAGGAGGTGGAGGAGGAGGAGGAGGAGGAGGAGGAGGAGGGGGAGGAGGAGGAGGAGGAGGAGGAGGTGGAGGAGGGAGCGGAGGGGCGGAGGAGGAGGAAGCGGAGGCGGAGGCGGAGGAGGAGGAGGAGGAGGAGGAGGAGGAGGAGGAGGAGGAGGAGGAGGAGGAGGAGGAGGAGGAGGGGGCGGGGGAGGAGGAGGGGGCGGGGGAGGAAGCGGAGGCGGAGGAGGAAGCGGAGGCGGAGGCGGAGGAGGAGGAGGAGGCGGAGGCCGAGGAGGAGGAGGGGGCGGAGGAGGAGGAGGCGGAGGCGGAGGAGGAGGAGTGCACGAGGCCTCCCTCCCCCCCGGGGGGCACCGAGTCGTACGCCTGCGCGCCCGGCCTGGCCAGGCCGATCCTCCGGGCCCGGGCCCAGGCCCTCGGCGCACGCGGTGCCCCGTTCCCGGGGGTTTGGTGGTCTGCTCCCGGCGACGCGTCGTGGCCGCGAGCCAGCGTTTGGTGATCGATGAGAGGGCGCCGATTCAGCGCCGATGAGCGTCGTGCAGCGTCGATGAGCGTCGACTCGAGTCGATTAGCGTCGGTCGATTAGCGTCGGTTAGCGTCGGTTCGGGGCGCTTCGCCTGGGCACCCGGCGGGCCGCCGCCACGGGCAGGCGATGCGGTCTGCTGGCGAAAGGCGTAGCTTTCCGGCTCCTCCCGGCGTCCTCCGCCCTCTGCGCCCCTCTCTTCTTCCCCCCTCTTGCTGCTCGTCGGTCGAGGGTTTAACCAGGTGGTTGCTCGCGGGGCTCAGACGCGGGATCGTCCGATCTCGACCACGTGCTTGCGCATTGAGCCTCTGATCTTTTTCTGTTGTTCCTTTTTGTTTTCTGATACAAGATGCGTGCCGCCTCCTGGCCTGGCGAGCAAGGCTCAGACACACAGACACTCAGACACACAGACACGCAGACACACGCACACACACAGAAACACGCACACGCACGCACAGGCACACATACACACAGACACACACACACACGCACAGGCACACACACAGACACATACACATACACACATACACACATACATACATATACACATACACACTTACACACATACACACATACACACGTACACACATGCACACATTCACACATACACATGCACACATACACACATACGCGTACAGACATACACACATACACACATACACACATACACACATACACGCATACACACATACATGCATAGACACGCACACGCAAACGCACACGCACACGCACACGCACACGCACACACACCCACACACACACACGACGCGACCAGCCGGCCTCATCGGCGCGACCCACTCGAGGGCGCGGGATGGCGAGGGCGGGAAAAGGCAGTGCACACAAACACACCAATGCTATTTTCAACCGGCACAGGCGACACTTGCATTCTTCCGCTTCGGCTCGTCCTTGGCCGCTTTCGCTGGCCGCGCCCCGCACGCACAGTGTCGACATGGCCTTCCAGGGCCCTCGCATCCTCATCGTGCGTCCTAACTAAACGAGCTGACTGTAGGCCCAGGACCTGCCCAGCCAGGATCGGCGCAGGTGTACAGTCGGACCGAGGTATCAGGCCGAGGTCGGTCTGGGGAGGGCATCCTAATCTTCTTCGTGCTTGTAAGCTGTTCTTGTGCACCCTGAGAGGGTACCCTCGGATGTTCTGTCTGTTTTGGCCGTCGGAGGGTCACGTGTTTTCGGAGGGTATTTTTCTGTTTTGAGGTCCGACTGTAAAGTGGTTGGCGCAGCCCTTCGGGAGGCGGCGGCGGCGGCGGCGGCAACCGACTGGCCGCCCGAGAGTGCCGCGCTGGACCCGCTGCAGGTGGGCGGCGTGGCAGCAGCCCGGGATGCCCACCGCGCGGGCCGTCGCGCGATCGAGCTGCCAGCGCAAGCGAGCGGTCAAGCGGTGGCGAAGCATCCTTGGCGTACCCATAGGCCCACCAAGCTATATTCGAAGAGGTCGTGTTTGAGTACATCGGGCTTCTGTTCTAAGCGCAGTGTCTTTGATCATAGAAAGCATATTGTGAGCACTAAAGACATGGCGCGGTAGGCCTACAGGACTGCTGGGACGGTCGCCCCCTGCTCGGAGCTGGCGCGTGGGCGTGCCTGTTTCGTTGTTGCCTTGGCATCGCTCGGACGAGCGCGCGCGTGTGTGTGTGTGTGTGTGTGAATGTGTGTGTGTGTGTTTGTGCTTTCCCCGGCGGGGACCATCGAGGAGCATCCTGGGTTCTCTGGCCAAAGCGAACATCACACCAGAGAAAGCCCCAATCAGTGGATGGTGTTGATCGATGGTGAGCTCGATCGTGGGATTTCGAAGTCGGCCCAGAACCAGAAACCGGGAACCTGGGAACCCGGGACCGCGAACCCGGGAACCCAGCCGGCTGCCGAAATCAGCGGGAAACTTCCGCCACGTCTTTGCCATATCCGCTCGGACCCCGTCAGTGCAATCGGTATCGCTTAAGCTTAACCAATCCCCATCCACACCCCCATCCCCTCCGAGACCCCCACCAGACCACCGCCCCACTTAGGGACACGCCCCCTTCGAAGCTCGCAGGGAACGGCGTACGTCCCCACCAAGGAGGGTCACCTTGGCCAGTGGGGCCCAGGCCACGCCGCCGGGGAAGGGGGATCGGCCAAGCGATTATTATCACAGAAGCGGGGGGGATCTCTCCTCGCAGGGCGGGGCAGCGGCACCGCTGCCCCCGCCCCGTTCTCTCCCGTGCTCGGGCGTCCCGCGAGACCCTCGCCGCCACCGCTGGAGTCGCCTCGAAATTCCACTCAGAGCGCACCCCTCCCCCTCCTCCTCCTCCCCCTCCTCCTCCTCCCCTCTCCTCCCTCCTCCCTCCTCCTTCCTCCTCCTCCCCTCCTCCCTCCTCCTCCTCCCCCTCCTCCTCCTCCTCCTCCTCTCTCTCCTCCCTCCTCCTCCTCCTCCTCCTCCTTCCTCCTCTCTCCTCCTCCTCCTCTCCTCCTCCCTCCTCCTCCTCCTCCTCCTCCTCCTCCTCGTCCCTCCTCCCTCTCCTCTCCTCCTCTCCTCCTCCTCCTCCTCCTCCTCCTCCTCCTCCTCCTCCTCGTACCCCTCTCCCTCTGCCTCCTCCTCCTCCTCCTCCTCCTCGTCCTCCAGGGGATGGGGATCGGTTCAACGATGCTCGGTGCAAGCACCGACTGGGGCGCCGCCCGAGCGATGGCGGGGCGCCGCCTGCCGCGCTGTCGGCGGGGGCGGCCCGCGCAGGCCGCCGCGGCGGGAGGCCGCCGCGCCGGCGTGCCGCCGTCCGCGGCCCCGTCCCCGCGCTCGTCGTCCTCCTCGTCGTCCTCGCCCTCGCCCTCGCCCTCGCCCTCGCCCTCGTCGCCGTCCTCGTCCTCGTCCTCGGCCTCGGCCTCGGCCTCTGCCTCGGCCTCGGCCTCGCCGCCGTCGTCACTCAGGTGGCGGCAGCGCCCTGGCTGCGCGACGGCTCCCGCCCTGCCCCGGGCCCCAGCAAGGCTCCGCTCGGACATGGGGCGGGGCCAGGGACATCCTGACCTTCCAGGAGGGCAGAACAAAATAGCACCAGGACGTCGACGTCCTAGTTCTTGTCGAGGTTTGAGGCTCTCCAGATAGATCGATAGGTCTAGAGTGATATTTTTAGGCACTCTGGAAGGTCAGGGCAGAAGGGGGTGGTGCGGCGGCTGCGGCATGCCGCCGGTTTGGGCCCAGTGGGGCGCGCTCCTCCGTAATCATTGGAGCCTCTGGCGACGGCAGGCGCCGGGAAAACCAGCCACGTCAGTTGATTCGCCTCCCCTCAAGTCGGGCAGGTCCCTCTACAGGAGGAATCTTCAACACTACTCAACAACATGTTTTTGTTGGTTATAGGTATATCTATGTATAACACATAGGATCCACACTTTGGACATATCTTGGGGTTATGTCTAATTGTTCGTCCCAAATCAGCCTGTAGGAGGAAATGCCCGATCTCTTTGCTTCGGTAGCACATCACAGGACCCTTTTATGTCCTCGGTGGCGTGCGCCAGCGTTTGTTGATCGACGAGAGGGCGCCGATTCAGCGCCGATGAGCGTCGTGCAGCGTCGATGAGCGTCGACTCGTGTCGATTAGCGTCGGTCGATTGGCGTCGGTCAGCGCCGGTTCGCAAGAGCCAGCAAGATGGCACGGGAGGCTCTCACGAGTTCGGGTGCAATTCCTGGGAGGCCAAATTCTTCTGACTTTGCCCTGGTCCGAGATCCGTCTAAATCCGGCTTCGTCCCGCTTGCACCAGCTTCTCCTCCTCCTCCTCCTCCTCCTCGCTGATTCCCGGTGCATCCGCGGCCTGATCTGGCGCGATCGCCCCCCTTCCGACGACGGCCTTCCAGTAGTTGCCTCCCACTATGGGAGGCTCCCGCGCGCTGCCGCCGCACCCCTTGCGGGTCCGACCCGACGAGGCGCCCTCGGTGAGCTCGGCGTCCTCGTCCCTGCTGGGCAGCGGGGTGGGCTCGTTCACGACGCCGCGGAAGGGCGGCCGCCCTACCTCCGCGCGTTCTCCCTCTGAGCGTCGGAGGGAGCAAGAGCGGCACCGCCTCATGGGGGGTTAGAAGCTCGAACCTGTCATACATATATACATATATATATATATATATATATATAAGGGGGGGGGGGGCACATGCGAACCCCACCCCTACCCCCCACGATTTCTGAGGGGGAGGGCAGGGTTCTCTTCGCTCGGGAGCTCCCGAGCGAAGTGAACCCCACCCTCCCCCTTAGAAACTGGGGGGTAGGGGCAGGGTTCGCATCTGGCCCCCTACTGTAGTGCATCGAGAAAAGATCGGCGGCGAAGGAGGGGGAGAGTGAGAAGGAGAAAGCCGTCTCAGAGGGCTCGGAAGGAAGGATACTCTCGCCGCAACACCGGCCACCTCCTTGATTGGGCACGCATGGTGCTGTCGCTCGAGTGCCAGCGACATCCGTGATAAGGAGTTGTGCGCTCGCCCGAGCTCTGGCCACATCCCCGTCTGGGAATGGTGTTGTCGCCTTCGCGCTGGCCACACCCCTCATCGTTAGGCCCGGTGCTCTCGCCTCGCGGCCGGCCACGTCCCTAGAAGTGGGCACTGTGCTGCCAGTCGAGCGCAGCCCGAGTCACGTGCTGCGACGCTTATGGTATGCATCTTGGAGGGATTGTCCAGGGATGTCCAGGGGGAGGCCCGGGGATGTGTTTAGTAGGAGTTGTTTTTCATTGAACGTACTGTTTGGGCCGTCTTGGGGACCTCTCGTGATGGTGATGATGGTGCTGATGGTGATGATGGTGCTGATGGTGATGATGGTGATGGTGATGATGATGATGATGATGATGATGATGATGATGATGATGATGATGATGATGATGATGATGATGCTGATGCTGATGCTGATGCTGATGCTGATGCTGATGACGATGAGGATGAGGATGAGGATGAGGATGAGGATGAGGATGAGGATGATGCTGATGATGATGCTGATGCTGATGATGATGAGGAGGAGGAGGAGGAGGAGAAGGAGGAGGACGGCGACGACGAGGACTGGGATTTTGGACAAAATCCTTTTCGCATTGAACGCAGTCGGGGGGGGTGCTGGCGTGTTCGTGGGCTCTGGGCGGCCTTCCCGCCGCGGCGTGTTCTCTCGGCAGCAGCTTTGCGCCCCTCCGAGAGGCGTTGTGTGGGGGGGGGGGGGGGGGGCGCAGCGTCCCGAACTGTCGTCGCCCGGGCGGCCCGAGGCAGGCGGAACCCGAAAGCCACCGGGCGCCGCAGGCGCCCAGAGATCCGACGCTCCGAACAATTCGGAGCGGCTGGATTTCAGCCGTTTTCGGTCTCCAGAGGCCCTCGCCGGGCCTCGGGAGCGTCAACATCGGGGGAACGTAAGACCCGGGTTTGCCAAGACTCGGGTTCGCCATCGTTTTTTGACGACCGCGCCTCGGATTTTGACGAGGAGGAGTTTCGTGGGATGTCTGCAGCGGGAGACCTCGTCAAAATGCAGGTTCGGCCGCGTCTTTTTTTGACGACCTCGTCGGGGATTTCCGAGTCCCCTGTACCCAGGTCTTACGTCCCCCTGACAAAACACGACTCAGGACGAAAAAGCCAGCCCCTGGGAAGTGGTCCAGACCTCTGGGGCCCACGCCTCGAACAAAATTGGAGCGGCCGGACGTCTGGGTGCCGGGGGCCCCCGAATGGTGCGGTGCGGGGCCCCTAGAGGAGGACCAGGCACCCATGCTGTAAGCCCAGGGGAGGGTCTGCATCTCTGTGGCAAGCATGGCGGCCCTGGCAGTCTGGGCGAGGCAGTTTGAAGGCCGAAATTTGGGGCGAACTTTTTCGCGGCGGCCGGGAGGATATCCGTCGAGGTGCGGGGCCCGGAGGATGGCCGAGGTTTGGGGCCAAGAGGAATGCCGAGGTGCGGGGCCAGGAGGATGGCCGAGTTGGTAACCTGCCATAAGGTGCGCGACCGTCCCAGACCCCCCCGTGGCTTACAATGCCTGTACCTCTGCCCCCTTGTTCCCTTCTTGGGGCCTCCTTGGAGGCCTTCGTCGTTGCATTCGCCTCGAGAGTCTGGTCAGAACCCACCGTGGGGTGCCCAGAGCGTCCCGATCGGCCGCCCCGGCGGGGCCCGTGACCCGAGAGCCACCAGGCGCCGCAGGCGTCCCTGGCCCCCAAGACCAGACCCCCTCGAGTCAGGAAGAACTTGGGACGGGAGCTTTCTCGCTATTGTGGGCCTCCCGGGGCTCGGGTATGGACAGAACCCCCACCCTGACACGTCGATTAGTGAATTGTCCGTTTTCAGTTCTCGAGAGGGCACCGCGGCCGTCATTTTCCAGCCTTGCGCCCGCCAGGTTTGGGCCCGAGGTCGTTTTCACTAAACCACGTTTTGCTAAAGGGGGTTCTGTCCATCCCCGAGGGGCCCTTGCCGGGCCTCGGGGCCGCCATCATCACGACTCATGATGAAACACCGGCCCCGGGGAAGGGGTCCAGACCTTTCTGGGGGTCGACAGGCAAGGAAGCATGACGCCGGGGGTCTGGGAATGGTGTGTGGAGAGTCCGTACCCAGACCCCCGACGTAATGATTTTTTCATGACGTCGACCCCCCGAGGTCCCGACCCTTTCCCCATGACCGGCTTTGCATCCTGAGTCGTTTTTTGACGCTCCCGAGGCCCAGTGAGGGCCCCCGGAGGCCGAAAATTAGGAAAAACCTCTTGTCGTGATTTTTTCATTACTCGAGGGGGTCTGGGTATGAAGGTTGTTCTCGGGGGGTCCGCACGGTTCCGGGCCCCGTCGCCCCGAGGCGGCCTCGGAGGGCGGCCCCGGAGGCCTCCAAAGGCGCGCGCGGTGGCCCGGCGTCGCCGCCGAGGCACCACGCGGAGGGGTCACCGCGCGCGGGGGGGGGGCCCCGGCACGCGGGGCTCGGGCGACGGGGGTCGGGGGCGGAAAAGAGGGGGGTGATGACTAGGGGGGGGTGGATATCATGGCGTGGGCCATGAGATTTCCCCTGATTTCATGGCGCCTCTTCTTATTTCATTACGTTCCTGGCCCCCCCCGCTGGGCCGCGCACATGCCGCCGGGCATGATTTGCACCCCCCCCTCTTGGACACCCCCCTCTTGGCCGCTCCCGAGGGGGCTGTGGGGTCCCAAGGCCTTGCGGTGACGGGCCGTGCGGTGAGGTCTCCAGAGGTTGCGAGGTCACCGCACGGTCCGTCGCCGCACAGCGTCGGGGCCAGAGTCGGCCAAGAGGGGGGTGGTGACCCTGACCTTCCAGAGTGCCAGAGCATAGCCTTCCGGCCCTATAGACCTATCTGGACTGCCTCAGACCTCGACAGAACTTCTAGACGCTTCGCGTATCCCCACCAGCCAACGAAGTGACTCTGAGGGACGCGTTTTGGGTATACGATGGTCCCGTCCCTCGGGTGCTACCCTTCACGCTTATGGGTGGCGCTGAGACACTTTGGATGTGCACTATCGGCTACGTGTTCCTACCGTGTGGCTTCGTGCACGCTGCTGCGCCCTTACCAGTCGCTGGACCAGGGGCCTGACGCATCTCAGTTGTGGAAGGTTCTCTCTGGCTACTCTGTTTCCACACCCTGGATGCGTGTTCTGACGTCGCGATGTTCTGATCCGCCGTCAGTGTTCCCCGCTGGACTGTGTCACCAGTCAGTCTGTGCTACCCGTCAGACTCCCTGGATTGACGTCTTCGGGACCGTTCCTATTTGTTCGTATCCGAACTGTTGGGAGCGCCTTACGCGCCATTTTGGCTGCGCTCGGCTTCCTCGGTGCCTGTGTTCAGACTCCCTGGATGCGCCGTTGCATGTTTCGTTCAGGGGCTGCCCTGCAGACTCCCTGGATTGCACGCCTTGGCTCAGACGCCCTGGGTCGCTGCTGCCTGCCGCCTGACCGCGGCATCGCGCGCGCCCGCCTCTTAGTCGCGGCCGCAGCCCGACCGCGACCGCCCGCCGCTGTCGCTTCCGCCTGCGGCTGTAAAAAAAAATATCCCCACCAGCCCATCCAGAAACGACGCCCAGGCGAGTAGAGGGTCGTCCTGAGGGGCTTTTCGGCGTCTTTGGTGCCTCGGGGGGGCCTCTTTGGGCCGCTTGGGATCCTCTTGGGGGCCTCCTGGGGGCCTCTTGGGGCCTGTTGGGGCCATCTTGGGGCCTCTTGGGGCCTCCTGGGCGATTCTTGGGGCCATCTTGGAGGACATCGATCAAAGAAGAGGGCAGCTTCAATTAGGGTGGCCCCATTTTCGCCTCAGGAGGCCAAAATGGGGCCAAAACCCAGGGAGGGGTAAACCCCTCCCCGAAGGGGAAGAGGGAGGAGTGGAAGAGGAAACGCCCTAAACCACCGACGCCCAGAGGGCTGGTGGGATTAGGAAGTCAGCGTCCTGGTGCTATTTGCTGAGCCCTCCTGGAAGGTCAGGGGACAAGGGTCTAGGCCTCCTAGATGGGGTTGGAGTAGATGGGGTCGGAGGATCGCGCTGCATCAGCGATGCGGCGCGATGTGTGGCCCAATTTTCTCCACGCCGACGTCGCCGATGCATCCCCGACACCGCCAGCGCATCGCCGATGCATCGCCGATGCATTGCCGATGCATCGCCGATACATCGCCGATGTATCTGCGATGCGGCGCGACCCTCCGACCCCATCTACTCCGACCCCATCTAGGATGCCTCTATAGGGGGGGATCTCATGGCGTGGGCCATGATCTCTCCCCAGATTTCATGGCGCCTCTTCTCGTTTCCTGACGTCCCTGGCGCTCCCCCCCTGGGCCGCGCACATGCCGTTGGCCATGGGTTGCGCCCCCCCCGCTTGGACGCCCCTCTCTTGGCCGACCCCCGAGTTGGGACCAGATGGCGTGGCATTGCACTTCTGTCGCGCCGGGTGCTGTCGTTCCGCTGCGGGCCCGGGGAGCAGCCTGGATCGATGCACTGCGACGGAAGCGCAGGGAGATCGGGTTCAGTGCTCCAGGTGGAGTTCTCGTGGGGAGGAGGAGGAGGAGGAGGAGGAGGAGGAGGAGGAGGAGGAGGAGGAGGAGGAGGAGGAGGAGGCGGCGGTGCTGCGAATCTTTCGAGATGTCGGATCTCAGGGGCCACTGCCGCCAGGGCTGCCACCTCCGGCGAGGAGATCCGCGTCGCCTCCCCGAGCTCGGGGCTCACGCCCCCCCCCATCGCGCCGTGGAGCAAAACACGACGGGAGTTTTGTTGGGGGGGAATCTCGCGCCTCCGCGGGCCTCCGACGAACACGCGGACTTCCAAGCAAGCTGCTCAGGACGCAGAGTCGGTCCCAGGAGGGGTCCACACCTCCTGGAGTCCACGTCATGACAAAAATCGCGACACCGGGTGTCTGGGCACAGGGGACGTCTCGGTTGGGGTGGGGGGGCGCGCCGCCGGGAGGACCCCTCCATTGGCTCCCAGCGCTGGTGGTGGTGGTGTCGCTTTTCCACGACCGGAGGCGCCTCTGAAGGTCTCCTGACGGGCCGAGGGGGAGGTCTCTGAGGGGTCGTGGCTGGCGGCAGTCTCGAACATCTCGGGGGAGGGCGAGGTACAGATGTCGCTGCTCGTGCTGGAGAGCCTGCGTTGCCACGGCGGGGGTTCTCATCTCGACATTCTGGCCAGAGCGCACCTCAGCGGAGGTCCGAGGAGCTGCGGTACTGTCTTTTTTTGCCTCCCAGCTGGTCGGGCGACCCCACGGCGTGTATCTTTTTTGAGGGACGCCACGGCTTCCCGCCATCAGTGTCACGCTGGCCGGTCGGACGACCCCACGGCGTGTCCCTGTCTGAAGACACGCCAGGAGTTTTGCGGCACTCGCAGGCCTGGAAGACGCACACAGTCTGAAAGACCATGCGCGTGGCTTTGCCCGCTTTGCCCCCCCCCGATTCCGAAGCGGGGGGGGGGGGGCACTTGGGCTTTTTCGCTCTCGCGTGAAGCCGGGTGCGTCCCCCTTGCAGGAGGAATACCCAGAAAGGGTCAAAGAACAGTCTGGGGTCGACATTTCGACTTTTTTGCTGTTTATGTTTTTTCGTCCAAAATCCGCCTGCAGGGGGACATGTCCGACCTAACTTTGGTGGGCAGCCTGGCGCCTGGAGGCTGCCTGCGCCACTTCGCGGGCCGTGTCTTGAACGGAGGCCTCTCCCCACCTCCAGCCCTCCTCTCATTTGATGTTCCAGCCTACTTGAGTCGTGTGATCGTCGTTTGTTCATGGCTTTGCCGATCGGCGCGGGCCCTCGCACCTCTCCCCTCCTCCTCCTCCATAAAGTTTACCAAAACAACCGAAAACTAGGATATGGGCGTCTTCGTGCGCTCTTCGGGGTTGGGGCCTTGTGGAGCCATCTTGGCCCGTCGTGAGGGCCTCTTGGGCTGTCTTGAGGCCCTGTCCGGGGCTTGTTTGGCAGTTTTGCATCTTAAGCCGTGTTGGGTTGACGGAAGCCCTAAACCGTGAGAGCATCGAAGGGCATTGAAACGCAAAAAGGTCTTTACATGGCGTTGTCCTCCTTTGGCCCTCTCGGGGGTCTTCTTGACGCCCTCTTGGCCGGTGTTTGGTCCTCGTCTCGAGGCCATCCAGGGGCGTCCTTGGATCTTCTTGAAGACGCCTGGGGCCAGCTTGGCGACTTTGGTGGTCGTCTGGGGGGCATACGGCTGGAGGTACTCTCATTCGGCACTCCTGGACGCCCGGGAGAGAGAGCGTCGGAGGGGCGTCGGGGCGGTCAGGGGCCCTCGGGGGAGGCGGGGTGCAGTGCGGGCGTCACTCTGTGAGGAAAGGGGGGGGTCCCTCAGAAGACTTCGAGCATGAGCGGTGATGGGATCCATTCGAGTTTCCGAAACTCGGCGGCGAACGAGGATTCGAGGTTTTTGGACGTTTTCGTCGGTTCTCGGCGGTTCTCCAGCCTCGGGATGCTGCCAGCAGCTGCGCCTCGCCCGAGGGCGTTCCGGGGGTGGCCAGATCGTCCCGAACGGCCACCAGAGACCAGAGTTATAACCCCAAACCGAGATTCGGCGGCGAGCGAGGGGGGGAATTGAGAAGGAGGACGCCTTCGCGGAAGTCAGCGAGGCTTCTCAGACGGCTCCCGGCCTTCTTAGAGTCGTTGTCTGAGATTGGGGGAGGCTTCGAGAACTTCTCCGAAGGCCGGGGGACTTCCGAGCCTTCTGAGCAGGCCCGCCCTTTTTCACTTCCTGGGCATGCCACCGACAACTAGCACCCATATGCCTGTGCGATGCCCAGAGTTCTCGGGGTGGAATTCTGGGGAGGCTATAGGCGTGTGTGTTGTCGGACGGGGTCCCAGCTCGATAGGGAGCCCCCCTCGGGGTCCAACAACTCGCGCCCGTACCTACAGCGCCCCCGTCGCCGTGCCGTTCCCCGCTCCTCCTCCCCGCAGACTTGGGTGTGCGCTGTCGCGTGAGAGGAGCCCTGCCAGGCAACACCTGGCATGCTGCTGCGCCTGAACCTGCCGAGGGGGTATGGTGGTCACCACCCACCAAACCACCCCAACCCAACCCGAAGGCTCAGATTTACCCTCGATTTCTAGTGGGGGGGGTCGGGAAACATCGAGAAAACACGTGTGGAACCCTTACCCCCCCCAACCCGAAATTCGGGTCTTCGGGTTGGGTTGGGGTGGTCTGGTAGGTAGTCAGTATGGTGGCGGGTGCAGAAATCCGCCCTCCCCTCGCGGCCCGCTCGTTGTGGACGGCGCTCGAGGCGTGCCACCGCCCAGGGCCAGGCCCCCCCCCCCCGGGATTGGGCTTTCGGTGGCGGCCTCCTCCTCCTCCTCCTCCTCCTCCTCCTCCTCCTCCTCCTCCTCCTCCTCCTCCTCCTCCTCCTCCTCCTCCTCCTCCCGTGCCTCCCCCCGAGCTGTCGCTGGTGTCCGCGGCCTCGTCGGCTGCTCGGGCGCTCGACGTTCTGATCGGCCCTTGCCGACACCCGCGCCAAGGGCGCTCCGGGAGACCCCCCCCCGCACGCCGGGCGGTGGCCGCCCTCCGCGAGCGGCGTCGCAGCGGTGTCGGCACTCGCATGGAAGATGCTGCCAGTGCTTTTGGGGCCCTTGCTCCAGCCTGGGCGGTGCAGCCCTGCATAGTGCAGCATCCGCATTTCCAGACTTCTTGCTGAGCCCTGAGGAAAAGGGCATGGCAGGAGGCTGGTCTTCATTGTCGACCTCGGGGCCCCTCGTGGGGTTCGGGACTGTCAACAAACACTATTTGGGATGAAGAACCCGTGCGGGGAATCAGTCGAGACCTATGGGGGATTTACGTTGTGAACAAAATCATGACGTCAGGGGTCTGGGTCCATCCCTCTCGATTGAAGTTGCAAATCTGCTTTGCGATCTCTCTTCGCTTGGCTCGTACTGTGATCTGTACGCATGCGGGCTAACACAAACAATACGAACAGCAGCTGCTCCAGGATCTGTCAGTTGGGGACGTTGATCAGAATCTTGCACCCTATGCTTCGAGCGGAGGTCCGCGCATCATAATGATGTGCGGGGGGCTCTCATCAGTGGGCAGGAGGACCCGAGGAGGGCGATGCGTAGGATGAAGAGGAGGACGTGCAGCGTCTTCGCAACGGCGTAGCGGCTGAACTCTGCTCAGGGTCCTGGTCAGAGCGTGCCCTGGGCGTTTTGGAATCGATGTCTGTTTTTCGCCCCGCTCCTGTGCCTGGTGGGTGGCACTGCCTGGGCGCGTGGCTCGCGCCACTCGCGCCCTGCGACTATGCGCTGCAGCGCGCGGCGGGGGCGTGCTGCATCTGCGCGAAGCGCAGCGCTGTGGAAGCGCTGCGAAGTGTTCTCCCCGCCCGTCGCTCCCTGGCCGTTTCTTCACAGGCTCACGCCTACGATTCGGCTTAGGTTGGGCGCAGGCTGAGGATGCGCATAGCCATTTTGCAGTAGTGTTTATTTCACGGGTGGCTGTATCGTGCGCTGCCTGCGCTAGGCAGCGGTGCCATCTGAGAAGCAGGCCTGTGTGGGAGGGCCCAATACTTCCTATAGATGTTTCCAGGCCTGCGCTAGTTGCCCAGCGGCACCTGCTTTCTGCTCTGCTCAGCGTACCTTTGCTGTGGCTCTTAGAGGGACCTGTCCTGCGAGACACCGTCGAGGTTTCCAAAATAGAAAAGGCAGAGGGTGTTGCGAACCACTCGATCTCCTGATCGCGCGGCAGTTGGCGGGAATGTCGACCCAGCAGCCTCTGCCTCAACCCCCTTGTGGACCCGGCCCCACTCCTTGGAGAAGAGGTGGTTCCCCCGACCTCGCCTTATGGAGCCGTACTGGCATGCTCCCTAGAGCCCCTCGCATCGTGAACAAAAATCACGACAGAAGGTGTTGCCATACAGTCGGGGCGCTGAAGAAGGAACCCTTTTCGTTTGGGAGGGGCTCCGTGTTCCTTAGCTGTTTTGCAGTTTGCCTTCGGTGTTCCTTGGGTGTTCGATGGGCAGTCGAAGCTTAAGTTGTGGTGAAAAGGGGCCTCGTTCCTTATTTAGGATTCCTTAGGTCAACGCCCCGACTGTACAGTCAACCCGCGTAGTAACGATGGGCAGCCTTCCCAGGGGTACCCTTTGCATCCTTGCCTCCTCGGCCCATCCTTCACCGCTTTCGTTGGCCGCGCCCCGCTCGGAAAGCTTCGACGTGGGCGCCCGAGGCCCTTGCCTCCTCATCGCGCCTCCTCACTCCGGGGGCTGACTGCATCCATCAGGAGAGGAAAAAACACACCGACACAATGAATCCTCGATTCCACAGAAAATGTAGGAAAATATGGGAAGTGGGGGGAAGCCAGAAACCCAGAACATATGGGAAAATAGGGGGAGTAGTTTGGTTTGTGTGTATTTATGTTGTGTGTCCTGGGCCACCTTCAATCCCATCTTCGGCCTCCGGTGGCCCCCCGCACCAGGCCCTGGGGCCGTCAGAGAAACGCTTCGGGACGGAGCGCGGGTCCCCAGGAGGGGGTCCAGACTCAGGAGGGGAAAAAACACACAGACACAATTAATCGTCGATCCCCCAGAAAAGATGGAAAAATATGGGAATTGGGCGGGAAGACAAAAACCCAGAAAATATACGAAAATATGGTGAATCCTTTTATTTGTGTATCTATTTGTGTGTCCTTGGGCCCCTTGACAGACCTCCTTGGGGCTCGCCTCGGCGCACGATGTCGGGGGTCTGCGTCTGGCACTGCCCCCCCTCCTCGTTTTGCAAGGGTTCCCACGAGGGCGCGGAGTGATTCGCGCTTCGCGGTCCTCGTTCCTTCTCCCCCTCCTCCTCGTACTCCTTTTTTCCCTTTGGGGGGGGGGGGCGCGAGAGCGCAAAGTTATTCGCGCTTCGCGGAGCGCGAAGCGCGAAGTAGGGAGCCCTAGTGTTTGTTCGCGGCCCCCGGCGTGCAGAGGCCTCCGAGCCGCGCCAGGATCGGACAGGACGCCCCAAGCGGGCCAAGGGGCCCCAGAGACGCCCACGAGGGGGCCTGCAGGCGATGAGGGCTCAGAAACTCCAGCCAGGAGAGACCCCGACGGGCAGACTGCTTCTCAGGCTGCGGACTCCCTGTGTGCAGGCCTAAGGGTCGGAGGATCGCTCCGCATCGCTGACGCATCGGCGATGCGGCTTGATGAGGGGCCCGATGTGCTTCACGTCCACGTCGCCGATGCATCGCCGACGTCGACGACGCATCGCCGGTGCATCGCCACTACATCGCCGATGTGTCAGCGAGGTGGCGCGATCCTCTGATGCCGTCTGCTCCGATCCCCCACAGGAGGCCTTTGCTGTGGCTCTCGTTCCGCAGGCAGGGTTAAGTCGGGCCTGTCCCTCTACAGGAGGACTATTCAAAAATAGTAAAAGATTGTCAGGGATCGATGTTTTGGGTATTTGTTTGACTATTTTGGGGTGTGTTTGGGTATTTAAAAGTTTTCGCCCAACATCTGCCTGTAGGGGGACACGCCCGACTTACGCGGCGGCCACCGCAGCGCGGGCGTTCTCGAAGCGGGACGCCGCCAGTGGCCCAGAATCGGCCAACTGGACCACGCGGCTGATCCAGCGTGCCCCCCTCCTCCCCCTCCCCCTCCCTCTACCCCCCCCCCCCTCCCCCCTCCCCCTCCCGCTCCTCCTCTTCCTCCTCCTCCTCCTCCGCCTCCTCCTCATCCCCCTGCTTCTACTTCTTTATTGTTCCTCCTGTTTCTCCTGCTCCTCCTCCTCCTCCTCCTCCTCCTTCTTCTTCCTTTTCCTGCCCCCCGGATGGTCCCCGCAGGTCGAGCATGAGTCAGGATAGCCTCCGACATACCCCCAAGAGGCCTCAAGACAGCCTCAAGATGGTCCAAGAGAGCTGAGCATGGCTCAGGATAGCCTCAGGCAGCCTCTAGCCGCAACCCGCGGGTCATCCACCCTGACCTTCTAGAGTGCTCAACAATAGCACTCCAGACCTATAGATTTATCCGTAAGGGTTTCGCCCCCTGCCGCCGGCCCCCTCTCTCCGAGAATGGGCAATGCAAGAGCGGAATCATGAGGCCTTTGCGCCGCCGTGAAGCAGCGTCGGGACTTCACGCGAAGACGATGGTCAATCGGCACGACAAATTTAGATTATGATGATGTGATTGGCTTCTGGGTCGCAGCTAGATTGTAATTTGCGCAGGTTTATGGCTTCGGATACGCGAATATTGCGTAATGTACGAGGGTTTATGGTTTCGGACACGCGATTGTTTGGTACTTTACAACGGTCTATGGCTTCGGGGTTGCAGATGTTGCGTCATGTACGCAGGTGTATGGCTTCGGAAAAGCGGATATATTGCCATTTGCACAGGTTGATCGCTTCGGATATGCGAATATGGGAGTAATTTGCGAGGGCATACCCGCCGACGGGCGATAATAAAGTACCCCCCTTTCTCCCCTCTAATGTTTGCATCCCCGACCAGTGGGATCTATGTGTGGGGAAGGCGCGGAGGCCGAACTTTCTAATCCACGGGCAAGTTGCGGGGGTCGAAATTGCTATCATACCATGTTGATTAGCAACAGCATCAAAAACGCTTCCGCAATCACGAGCGTGTGGCAGGGCTGTGGGATTCTCACCCGTTGAGTTTGCCCACGTTACGAACGCGCGGCAGGGCCATGGGATTCTAATTTTTCTTAGCCGTTCCCGAGTCCGGAACGTGTGGCATGCCATCGGGACCGTTAGGATCTTGATAGTGCGTGGACTTTTTTTCGAGCAGGCATAGCATTGGAGGTAGTTAGTTATGTGATTTTTTTGCGCACCCTTCACACGGTTCGTGGCCCTTCCTCCTCCGGCCCCCCATCCCCCCCCCTCTGACCCCGCAGCTGCCCAGGCCCAAGCTTCCGCGAGTCTCCGGGGCCCCAAGCTTTCGAGCCTCTTCGATGTGCCGAGCATCGTCGCCCCAGGGGCAGCGATAGGGGGGGTAGGCATGCCTATGCATCGGCGATGCATCGCCGATGCGTAGGCAGGCCCCCCCAGTGCTTATCCCCCCACGTCGTTGCCCCTGACTGCGCCGCGGGCCCCAGCGGTGGCCCAGCCCGCCAAGCGCGCAGCGGCGGCGAGCGCCCCCGTCGAGGCGCTCAAGCACGCGGCGGCGCCGAGCCCGAGCTCGAACGAGATTCTCGAGCGCATCGCCGAGCAGAGCGAGAAGATCCTCGAGAAGCTGTCCTACATCGCCGAGAAGGCTTCCATCGCTGAGATGCGCCAGTGCCAGTCGGGCGCGCAAGGCGCGGATGCAGCGAGGATGACGAGCTGCTCCTTCAAGGCCGAGAGCGCCCTGTCGTCGTCGAGCGCCCAGCAAGCCGCGCCCGCTCGAGATGGTGCACCAAGGCGGGTGCTACAAGAGCATCCGGTATGGCCGCGCCCTCAACGAGAGGGACAAGGGGCGCGTCGAGCTGGCCGCGGCGGCGTTCTTCAAGACCTACGTCGGGGAGAGCGAGCACGTGTGCGACATATTCGAGAACCGCGGAGAGCCGCCCGAGGACTTCTTCTGGCTCATGCCGACCTGCAGGGCCAAGCTGCAGGAGCCCGCCAAGAAGAAGGACGTGGAGCTCGGCGCCGAGGACGTCAAGAAGCTGACCCGCGGCCCCTGCGCCGAGCGCATCGGGCATGCCCTCCCAGGCATCCCCGCCGAGCTCCTTCACCTCCACGAGCTAGTGCTACCGCCCAACAAGAAGTTCGAGCCCGTCGAGCATTTGGGCGAGAGGCCCGCCGAGGGTGCCGAGATGCTCTTCCAGATGGTTCCGAGCAGGGCCCGAGAGTGCGCCAGGTGGTGCTACGAGACCTCCATGGTCTCGATCGCGTCCGACGGGGTCGCCAAGGCCACCGCTCAAGCAATTGTCGAGTGGTGCTGGTCCATCAAGAAGACCGCCGACATGAGCACCGAGCTGCACGAGCAGAGCTACCAAGATAAGTGCGCCAAGCGGGACTGCTCGAAAAACGTCAAGCAGCAGCAGCGCGAGCAGGTGCTTCTCGAGAACCACATCAAGCTGCGCATCGACAAGTTCGCGTCGATCCAGGCCGAGTGCGACAGGCTCACCACGCGCAGGCGCGACGACGAGAGGAGCCAGGCCGACGCGAAGGCCGAGTCAGAGCCCGCCTCGGTCACGCTCGCGGGCGCCTGGGCACACGAGCTCCCCGGGCCATGTGCGCCGTGCTTTTCGCTGCGAGGGCGCCGTTTCGCAGCGCGCGCTCGAGCCCCATCTGTTTGCCAAGCTCCAAGAGAGCGCCCGAGCACGCGCGAGTGGCGTTCCAAGCTGCGGGGCGCTACTCCCCCCCTCTCGCCGAGTGGCCCTCGATCATGCATCGAGGAACCAAGCGGGCTCGATCCTTCATTCTCGGATCGAGGATCCGAGTTCTTGCGCCCGAGCATCTTCGGGCACCTTGGGTCCTAGATCCGAGGGTCGCCAAGCTTGGGCTCGAAGACCTCGGGTTTGCGATCCGAGGGTCGAGGGTCGAGCCTCAGCGATCTTCGATCGTCGCGCTGCCACCGAGCATGCTTGATCCTCCATCCTCGGTTCGAGGATCCGAAATCTCGAGTCCAAACATCTTCGAGCACCTTGGGTCCTAGATCCGAGGTTCGCCAAGCTCTGGGCTCGGAGATCTCGGGTTCGGCGCCCGTGGCTCGAGGGCCGACCGTGAGCGATAGTGGAGTGCCCT